CCCCCCCCTTCCGTCTGTTGCCTGCGATGCTCTCCCCCCCTCCCCCAAATAGCATACACCATGTATGCCTTGTTCGTCTTGACGGCATTGCTGGTTCCGGATTTCCCATCAAAAGCATAAAGAATTATTGCGTCCACGTACCGCTTGCTGAGGTCGACATCGGCCTTCTTGCAGACCAGGTTGGAGTAACGGCGACCGACACCCTTGATCTTGGTCAGAGCGTACATGATCTTCTGCTTGCCGTCAACATTGGTGTTGAGCAGACGCAGAATGTACTGGAAGTTCGTCTTCTCGCCGGACACGAGCGCTGTTCATTCAAAACATTCATGGTCAGCCCGGTTTCATTTTTCTTTTGTTCATTGGTTTTCTTTGATATGGTATCAAGGTGACCAAGCCACCATCACCACCACCCATTCTTTCATCTCTTTCTTTTTCTTTTTTTCTCCAATCTGATTGCAACTGGGAAGCATTTCGGAAACAGGGATTGCACGTACACATGATGGGCGATGGCGCGACGGTATCGCGATGTGTTGTCGACAGAGGGATGAGGAGGAGTGGAAGACGACCAGCAGCTCCTGTTGAACTTTGCCAGTCTCCGTTGTGGGATCGGGTAATACACTTGCTAACCCTAAATGGAATGGTGTGCCCAGGGCTCGCTTGTAGCGCGCTAGTCCCGAATATGCGATTACGTAATTCGACTCTCCTCGGAGTCGACTGTTCTCTGATTGGCTATATGAGAATTACTGTACACCCTCAAATGTCGAGGTCTCGAACGCCTGTAGAGGGGAGTATTGGTGTCATCACAGAGCTTGACTATAACAGATTCGGGAGACAGAGTTAGATAGTAGTAGCTTTAGACCTGCGATTATCCCGTGCTGGCGGATGACTCGAGTGGCGATTCGCTGTTAGGGCTTAGGGCTGGCAATTGTTGCCTCAGGCACAAAGGACCTGTATTACATAATCCAGCCCTATCAGGTGTTCACCTCCACTGCTTAAAATAGCAGCTCTTCTTCTTTGACGACGTTCGACGATGCCTTTGTCTTTTGAGCGACGGAGGCACGTCTTGGAGGCCAGCGTGTTTCACAATCCTACCCCTGTGGACATCTCTGTCATGTGGCGGCATCTGCCAGTCTTTGAGGATGATCGAATATCAGGTTGTCTTCTTTGAATCTACGTAAGGACTAACGTGTCTACAGAAACATGCCCAGACCTTCGAGGCCAAATTCCACGGTCGAACCATGGCTGAGGATGTGCAGATGGAAGGGGCTCTTTCTTCCTCGAGGGCATTTGGCTCTATCGTCTTCGAGGTGTCTTCTTTGTTGTTGACAATAGCACTCGGATCGAGATGGCCATTTCGACAGCCAGATCTTTCTTGACCTGGCGGGGGAGCCGGCAATTCTTTGTCGTTGGAGATCGAGGACAGCCTCGATATCCCTTTATAAACGATAGCATTCCCAGGCCTCGAGGATGAAATAAGTCTGATCGTCATCGATCTCTGTTTGGCTCTCGTTTTTTGAAATTAATCCTACCTATCACACTATCATACAATCAATCTACCTTACCCCTATAACTTTTTTTTCTAAACTTAAGTTTACCTTTTTCAATTCTTCTTCTCTTTGGACGAATACAGAATGGCCCCCAGAGCTCCGAAGCAGAAGGCTCCAAAGGCCGCAAAGGCGCCTGAGACCGGCAGAAGAACTAGGGTTCGGCATCGGTGTATCGAACTGTGTAATACTCAGAACCGACATCTCCCTCCACAGCCTGGGACGTTATGGAGTCTGAGCAGTTGGCCGGATCCACCGCCCCTGGCTGAAGATGAGAAATTCATGGGGCAAGACGAGAGAAGCATCGTGTTGAGTCACGAGTGGAACAAATCCAAGATGATCGCTCTTCTGGAACATCACTCATGGGGCATCGACACCGGGATAGACCCTCAGTCGGCTTCAAAGAAACAAATCTTCCTCACACTATACGCCATTTGGTACAACACGGAGCCACGATTCCGGGCTTTCCAGAACGATGTCAAAGGGTTTCTTGACGCGTCGAAGGATGCTGGACCTCGCTTGCTTAAAGGGCCCAACAAGAACGGCGCCTGGGCCCATCCTATTAGCAGGTACTATCCTAGCCTGCCGACGGTCAACGAAGCGTGGGCTCCCAATTACACCAGACCTCGGGCTCATCCCAACTTTCCAGATTCAATACCATCCCATTTCTCTGATTCATGGATGGAGCGTTTGACGCTTGGGAATGCAGGTGGGCCTATGGATGGCTACGCAGAGGACCCCAGATATAATCCGCCGACAGATATGACCAACAATGTTGCTGACGACTCTCAGCCAGCAAACCAGCCAGCGACCCAGCCAGCGACCCAACTAGCGACAACACAAGCCCAACCAGGGACTCAGACAACCACGATTGAGCAGGATTTTGCAGACATGGTGGCGTTGATATCGACAGCGCTTGAAAAGGCATTTACAGAGCTTGCATACAAGGGCTTGGAACGACATCCGCGAGCTTATCCCTTAGAGATGGTTCCGTATGAAGGCCTGAAAATGACCGATCCTGCGCCCTACGCATTCATCCAGACTGGCGCCGCGAAAATCTCTCATTTCGATGTTGATGGTATTGAATTCCCCACGAACGGTCGAGGCCCTATGTGGGCCAACCAGTCGTGCGCCATCGACTGCTGCATTGTGGCCAGCAAACTCCTGGATGCCGGCTGCACGGTGATTGACCGTGGTGCCAACGAGAACTGGTTGGACAATTTGAGCGACACTCAACGCTCGTTTCTGAAAGTGGTCAACGAGTATAACTGGGAGATCGTCTCGCCGGCCCAGAGCATGGAAGTACGGGACAGGTTCTGGAAGAACAAGCTGGCGAGACACGGGTACCCCTTTGGCCACCAACTCTCGGCTGCATCGCTTTGGACGATGCTAACGCAGGGCTTTGGCCAGTTTGAGATTCAACGCCAGAGCATCACCTTCCCATGCTCGTGTCACCAAGGAGCCGCGATGACCAAGACCGACGAAATGGCGTACACCGTGACGCCTGCCAAAATCAACGTGACCGAGTCGATATCGCAGCTGTTGCAAGACGCATTCCCCCTGGGCCAGATAGCGGGCTCGGGCGAGCTCAAGGCCAAAGCCACCATCTGCCGACAATGTCATCAGAAAACAAAGCACGGGAGAGTGGTCAGAGTCCGGCAGATGCCTATGCGGCTGGCTGTGGAGCTCAACCCCGGCGTCCGAGTCACGGCACATACCTCGCAGATAGTCAAGTTCAAGTACCGGGACTGGAACAATAGGGAGGTAGAGGCGAAGTACCGCTGGCTGGGTGGGATCTACTACCAGGAGGGTCACTTCCGGGTGTACTGGAACCAGGACAAACGAGGCGAGAAGAGCGGGTGTATCCAGATGTACGACGATATGCAGAACCAAGCGTTTATCCTGGGCGGCTTCCCCTCGAGCGATCCAGACGAAAGGGTACGGCAGGACTGGGTGAGCGAGACGCCGCCCATGCTGTTCTACGAACGAGTCTTCACTCCCAGCGTGCATGAGTTCTACATGGCGACCATCTCTCTGAGCAAGCTCCAAAATCGCTTGGGGGTTCTACACCAGGCTCCACAGTTCCGAGAGATGGTCCTGCGCACGAAGCGGCTGATGGCCTTGCAGCGGCCTCCCCTCAAGACTGAGATTAAAGCCTCGATGAACTCAGGCAACTACCGCAAGAGATTTGTACTTGTGAACAATTACGAGGAAGATAATACTGCGCTCGACAAAGCGGAAGAATTGTCATATTCAGACTACCCTCTTCCAATGCAACCTCTTGCCAACGATTCCCCCGTGCTGGCTTTTGACGAAGATCCGCCAATGCAGACTTTTGACGACGACATGCCTCTCGACCCGGTTCTTGTGCAGGCGACACAAGATCAGATACACGCCCAAGAACAGGCTCTGGCTCAAGCATATGCCCACGCCCAAGCCCAGGCTCAAATGGCTTTGCAGCACCCTTCAGCGCCTGCAGGTTACATGCCCGCCCAGCCGTACCAGTCCTACCTGGATACTTTAGGCTATCAGTCAAACCCGGAATACCCACAAGCACCGATGGGGTATCAGCCTGCACAACAACCCCAGGCTTACGCGGATCCAACAGGCATGCAGCAGGGTCAAGGCTATATGCAGACCATCGACCCGCAGGCAGTTCAATATGACCAGGACATGGACCTGGACGAATCCATTCGATCCAACAATCAAGGGATAATTTACCAGCCCAACGACGAGATGGATGAAGATGCGAAGATCCTGCATCTCCTCGGTGGTCTCATGGGCGGAGCTCCATCAAGAAGGACCAGCAAGGGGTCCGGTGCCTCTGTTTCTTCGCGGCGGACGATCATTCACATCGAGGGCCCCGCGAACGAGGAAGTGATCACGTTCATTCGCGAGTCCTTGCAAAGGTCCGGCGAAGACGAACCCGACCCTGTCTCCGAGATCGAGCTGACGAATCTTCACAGGAGGAAAGATTCCAAGCCCAGACGTATCGTCGAGGAAATATCGGACGACGGACCGAGCGAGAAAGCAGCCAAGTTCATCCAAGACTCTGTACACAGGGCAGATGAGGATGAGAAGCACACCACCGTCACGGAGATTGAGCTGACGCGTTTGACCAGCAGCGGCGGCAGGAAGAGCCCCAAACGGAAACGCTCCGACGTGGACTCGGGCCACGATGATAGCAAAAAGGACAGCGACAACAAGGGCGACGACGACGACGACGACGATGACAAAGTATCAGTCAAGAAGAAAGCCCGGTTAGATAGAGACAGGCGTGAAAGCGTGGACTCGTTCATTTATACGTGTCGATCTGTGTTCGCTCGACTGACGCGGACACGAGGTAACGAGTAAACATAGTGGAATATCTGCAGGAGATGGAGGGGGTTTTGTTTTATTATAGACTTGTTCTTGGTATTTTGATCCTCTATAGACATAGATCTTTAATGCATTGATTAGTAGCTAACTAGTAGTAGCTCCTGTGTATATACTAGATATTAGCTCACGGAGATACTGCGATATATACATATTTACTGGTAGGCAGGACTCCATTCCTGTTGACCTCGGTTATAAGTCTCTGGCTAGTATTTATTAGATTAAATCCCATCCTAGTTACAGTGATGTAGTATGACCCCTTTGTATCACTAATAGCCGATATAAGACTGGTTGGTTGTCTGTGCGCTTCCCCGCATTGTTAGTCTGGGGTAATTCTCTTCTTCATCTTTCTATTTTTTTGTTCTTTCTTCATCTACAACTCATATATATGATATTCTAAATGATCCTGGTTATCTATTCCTATTCATCTACCATCTATCATAGAATGGATCTCATCTTGGAGAGCCGACATTCATGAAAGCAAAAAGCAGGTCTGACAGAAAGAAAAGGGAGAGCAAAAAGAAAGAGAGAGAAAATCTATAATCTGGCCTTGTAGGGACACCCCGTCGAGACTGCAGTTGAGGCAGATTCCGTCTCCAAGCCGGTCTCCGGCATATTGCTCTTCTTGGGTGCCGAGACGTACCCGCCGAGCTTGTTGTCGGTGTTGATGATGTGACCCTGTTCATCGCGTCGGATGCCCAACTCGATGAGTTTGGCAAACGCCTTGGTGAAGTGATCGAAAAACAAATCCTTGTCCTCGGCATACCTCTTCACCCACGGCAGGAAGTCTGGGTCGGTGATGAGGGCGATATCCGTTGGCAGCATCATCAGAGGCTCCTCCTTCTCGCCGTCTTCGTCATCACCGTCGGCTTCGTCGGCCATATCCGGGTCTTCATAGATATACTGCTGGACGCCATGCGGTAAGGTGACGAGCTTCCATTCGAGATTCAGCAGCAGGCGGAAGAACTGGTTGGAGAAACGCGTCGGGTTGTTGACCCACGGTCCCTGAAACCCACTCCGGTCAGCATGGCAACGGCCCAGATTATGCCCGCCAGCCAGAGCTACAATCTCCTGGTCCGTGAAGCCCATCCGGTAGAAGACGTCGCGCAGGTGCTGGGCCCCCAGCGCCGCGTCCGGGAGCCGCCCACGTGGCGGCACCTTGGAATCGTCCACCAGGTCCGTCCGTCCGCTCTGCCAGGGGATCTCTGGTCCGCCCATCTCCTTGATGGCCACCACCCCCGCTAGCGTCCACAGGTCCGCGTACGTGATCCATGGGTGTCGTTCCTTGACCGGCTCGAGGAATGCCCGCCCATGGGCCAGCCCGGCATTGGCCGGATCGCCTCCTTCTGCCTCATACCGCATCCCCGCGCCGTTCGAACCACCCGTGTCCGTCTCGAGGTCGTATGTGCCGGCGGAGTGCCTGCCGGTCATCGTTGTGGTCAGCCAAATGAGTTGATCCATCAGTTATCCATTCCAAGTTTTTTGCTCCCCTGCCTCTAATCTATCTTACCATGCTAGTCGCACAAATACCGGCCCAGCACTCCCGTCGTCGTACCCTGGCTTCTTCAACTGTGCAGCGATGTCCTTGCGAACCGCTTCGTAATCCCCTGGGGAACTCATCTCGGCCGATAAGCGTCTGGGGTTTCGTGTGGGTTTGAAGTGGGTCGACCTCTTTTTTTTTTCTCTCTCCTGAGAATGACAGGCTGGCAATTGATGAAGAAGTCAAAAGAAAGAAAGAAAGAAAGAAACGCGAGGGTATCAAGAGGTTCAGAGACAGACAGACAAAAAATAATGAAGAGGGAGGGAGGAAGCAGAGGAAGAAAAGAGGGAAGAGCGTGAGGAAGAAAGACATGTGAGTCCCTCTGCGGGCCGAAAAGACCCAAACCGAAACAGGAGATTTGCCAGTCGATAATGCCGAGGTTCGCCACGATGGGATGGAGTTGGGAAGAAGGGAGAAAAAAGACAAGGAATTGGGGGTGAGGCTATGCTGTGCATAGTTCATATCTCTTCTATGATTCTTGTACTGGTCTGCAGGCTACTGTTAACGATCATCATCAGTCAATTATGTGTTCTCAGATTCATCCCGATACGATACCATACAATTATTATTATCACATTAATTAGTTGTCCTGGGTAGCGCCTAGGGAGTGATTACATCGTCACCGAATTATGATGGCCAAGACCGAGTCTCATCCTTGAACCGCTGGAACCAGTGAAAAGTCCTCTGGACGTGATGGAGATGGACTAAACAGTTTCATGGCCTCTTCCGCCCGCTGCACTCTCTCTCTCCATCGCTCTGACACCTCCTCTGCCCGTTTGACCAGCCGGCCGAACTCGCGCTGCATCCAGCGGCGCTGCACCCGCCACCGGTGTTCTCGCCGCTCGTACCGCGCGACGCGGCGCTCCAGACTGCGCCGCTGCGCCAGGTCGGTGTCGCGGATGATTTTGATCACGTCGTTGATCGGCGCCGTCTGCGTAGGGGTGAGGTGGCCTGCCTGGGCTAGCTGTGCGATGGTGATGAACGCCGCGCCGATATCGTGGGCAACTGACTGGATCAGACGCTTCTTGCTCGGGGAGGAGAGACTGGACACATTGCTCAAACGGACCGTGATCGAGCCGGGGGTAGAGGGGATGGTCATGTCGATCGAAGAGAAGGGGAAGAACCTGGAAAATAATAGGTAATCTTTATAGGAAGGATATCACTGCTACCTGGCCAGATGGAGAAAAAATGACTGATATTCTTCTGTATTTATATGCCGTCTTTACCTATATATGCATATCTGATGTAGATAGCCAGTCTGGGCGACATTGCGGCTTTATGAAAGAGTAAGACACCAAACAGATTCTTTGTTGGCAACATATCTTTATATCAGTAGAGAAGTCTTTGACTGACTGATTTGAGCTTAAGCCTTTCAATTATCCACTAATTCAGATTATTATCTGATATCTGTGTCATCCCCCAGTGCCACTCAAGCCGAAAAGAACCCAGAGCAGCTGCAGTCAATGAAGTACTATTATGGAAACTCGGACAATGCTCAGCTGGATACGTCGGAATCAAAACCAGCTCTCTAGGAAGGGGCTCACCGTCAGATCTTCAAAACTCACAGTGGCTGTTTTATCGAATCATTTCCATATCTCAAGGGGCAGTCAGCAGCTATGGCTGACTGCTGATGATGCAGTTCCTGCTAAGTCTGTCCAAAGCTGGACTCTACCTGGGGAGTTTGTGAGTTGTGGAAGAGAGAAGTAGTAAATCATTTTTATGTGCGTCTGGCAAGGATCACCTGATCTTCTGGTACTTGACAGAGCAACCGACCTCCTCCGCCTGGCATTTTCTACGCCTCGCTTCTTATACCTTTTTCTTTCTTCCTGACAGTCTGTAATACCCGGTGTCTATATCTGCCTGTGGCCTGAATCGACTGGGTATTCCTAAAATCTCCGAGTTCTTCTCCTAATCCTCAAAGCAGACCATCCTCGCCGCGTTTCCCAAGGATGCATCTACAATGACGGGAAGGACGTTTGACTGGGCCAGGCCAAGACTACATGGCAGGGTCTCATGTTGTGGCCTTTTACTTACTATGAGATACGCATGGGATTGTCGTGGGAGATCTCGGTTACGGTGAGTTCAAAGTTGATGTCGATGGCAAGAGATCGATAGAGGATAACAAGAACAAGGTACAGCCCCCGTCCAGTCTCGCCTTCACCATAATGTTTAAACTGAGATCTCCCATTCATCGAGGCAAGTTTGAGTTCTATATCCATATTCAAGACATTAACTATTGCTAGTGGGAACTGATCTCTATTATCAGCTATATCACCCTGATGATCGCCGCTGCAGGATATTGTAGTATCTAGTGATCTCACACGGTAGAACGATCTCCCAAATGACAAGGAAGTTCCCTGCTAACGTGCTGCAAAAGATTTCCGGAGTAGAACGTGTTATTCCATATTCGCGCCGCCAAAGGAACTGCCACCGCCGCCTGCGCTCAGCTAATGGGAATTACTGGCTCCCAATTATACCATCTGATAGTTGGCCCACCCTACCGCGTCAGTTACGGGACTCCCATCCGATTGCTTGGAGGAGAGATTCTTTTCGTTCTGGAGAGCTGGTGGCTGATAAGCAGGGCAGAAAAATGATGGTTGAGTGCAATGTCGTATCTTCGTATGACCAGCGGCTACTATTGGCAAAGGGCTTCATGAATTCGATGGATAAATAATTATACTTCTATATGGCTATGACTCATAGTGGTTATCGATGGTAACTACGCCGATCAAGAGTAGTTTCAGCCGAAGTGATGATCATTGGTTGTGATCCTATGAGCTAGATTGATAGAGATCTGGTAGATAATCTAGTACGAAGAATCTTGATAAACTTCCCTCTGATAGGCACAGCGTAACTTGATTTATTCTAGTTCTCAGGTTTTAGTCCATGCTTTGATTATTGTTGTTTAGACAGAGATAGTGTCTCATCACAAGAAGTCAACATGGCAGACGAAGAATCTCCCCTCCTTGCCCCGCCAGACCCCAAACCGCACAACGCAAAGCGTTCAGACGCCCTCATCATCTACGGAACCTTTTTGGGTATTTGTTCTTCTCCTCGAGCGATACTAGTGACCTGATCCAGTTAATTGACGGCTGCAGGCGTCTTCGTCGCCAGCGCTGACGAGTCCCTGGTGCTCTCGACGTACAGTACCATCGCCTCGCAGTTCCACCAGCTCTCCGCTGGCTCGTGGCTGCTCGTGGCCTATAACTTTGGCTACTGTGTCTCTCTGCCTGTGGTATGTTGATAAGGGCCCTTCTAGAAATCCCTCCAATTCATTTTACTTTCAATATAGAGCTAATTCAGACAGTACGGCGCTCTGAGCGACTCCTACGGCCGCAAAAATGTGCTTCTCTCGTCATACCTTTTCTTCACACTTGGGTGTCTTGCATGGCAAGTGGGCTCTATATCTATACCCTTCTATCTCCCTTCTGATCTAACGTGAACAGCGGCGCCAGTTCATCCCTCACACAGCTTGTCCTTGCTAGAGTTATCGCCGGCCTGAGCGGGGCAGGAATGGTTGCTATGGTCTCCATGATAATCATGGGTATGTCTACTGTGACTGCGATGAAAAACCGTCTATTAAATGAAGTCCCATCATAGATCTGATGCCTCCGAGCGAGGTCGCAATATACCGGAGCTACGAGAATCTCGTCAACATCTTCGGACGCAGTCTCGGGGCTCCGATAGGCGGATTTCTGATTGACGCAATTGGATGGAGATGGTAAAACATTACACACATACTACACATACAGGAGAAAGAGATAATACATAGTGATGTATGCTAACGTCCCAGGTCCTTCTTCGGCCAGATCCCATTCATCATCATCTGCACCTTGGTCGCTGTCTACGGGCTACCAGCCTCGTTGAATGAGACCCAAAGCGATGAAACACCGCCATCATCGTCTTCTCCAGACGAAAGCCAGGACGAGCCCGCTCATCGGACGCGCCTGGGTGAACTCGACTTTGCAGGCCTGATCAGCTTCTCTGCGACCATCATCGCGCTGCTGTTTCTCCTCCAGGCGGCGGGCGAGGGCGCCGCTGACGAAGGGCCAGCGGGGCAAAAATCCATACTGGCGTTGGCTCTGACCTTTGTCCTCTGCGGTGTGGCCTTTGTCATGATTGAGGTTTTCTGGGCGCGCAGACCGTTGATCCCAATGGATCTTCTGTCGAAGAAATTGGGCGCGTATTGCCTTATCCAGACCGTGCTCTTTACCGGTCGCTCAGCGGTACAACTTACCCTCTCACCTTCATCTAGTTTTTAAACTGACGATTCCCAGTTCAACGGCGCCATTGTTCCTTACTTCATCCGGGTTGAAAATGCGAGCGAGTTTGCCGCCTCGGCGGCTTATATCCTAAACGTTCTGGGCGCCTCGATGGGAGGCATCTTCGCAGGGCTAGTGATTAAACGGTATTGCTCCTACTACAAGCTATTTAGCTACCAGGTGCCTACGATTTTCAGATAAACTGATCATGTAATATAGGACACGACGGTACAAAACCATGACGGCGCTCGCCTACCTGCTCACCATCGTCTGCTTCCTGCTCGTCCTCCTCCTCTGGCGCACGGGGTGCTCCATCGCGGATTCCCTACTGCTGCTCCCCTCAGGGTTCGCGGTAGGTATCATCTTCTCGACCTCGTTTATCGGCATGTCCTCCAGCTCGCCGCGGGACTCTCTGTCCATATGCATCGGCACGTACTACCTGTTTCAACAGCTGGGGCTTATTATAGGTCCTGCGTGTGGGTCTGCCATGATCCAAAGCCTGTTCGAGAGAGAGCTCTCTGCACGGCTGGTGGGTCCAGGGAAGAAGGAGGTATGGGATCGATACGATACCAAGATCAAACTGTGGTATCCTGTATTGACACCATCAGATCATCAAGCGGCTTCTTAATGAAGCCAGGTTCTCGAGAACCCTGCCCGAGTCTGTCCAGAAGGTGGTTCGTTCGGCTTACCTAGAGAGCTTCCAATCCATACCCTGTAAGTAGATCAGCCCTTCCCTCCGCCCACGCCTCGCTTTGAGCCTTTGACCATTAGTCCCGCTAACAAACCCAAGTATTCACGGTGATCACTACAGTAATCACATTGGCCATCTTCCTTCCATTGAAAGAGGAACAGATCTACTAAACGTATACAATTGGTTCAATGCCTAAAATGAATTATAGAGACCAGGAAAGGAATGACTCATACCTATAAGTATATATATAAGAATAAAATATCGGGCTTGTGTCTAAGCTTGGGTACCCCTAGATGTGTCTAGCTCTCCAACGCAGCAACAATAGCATCCCCCACATCCTTTGTTCCCGATTTCCCTCCCAGGTCTGGCGTCCGAATGCCTGAATCCAGTACGGCCCTCACGGCATCCTCGATCTGTTTCGCCTCTCTTTCCATCCCCAGGGAGTAACGGAACATCAACGCCACGCACAGGATCATAGCGACGGGATTGGCGATGTTCTGGCCGGCGATGCTGCTCTCGTCAGTAAAGAGTTTAAAATACTTTGACCTTTTTTTTTTCTTTTTGGCTTTTTGCGATGCTTACTCTGGAGCAGATCCGTGCGTTGGCTCGTACAGCCCGTATGGCCGAGTCTTCAAGCTTTCATCACCGGGTAGGCCGTTGAGACTCGCACTAGGCAGGACTCCTAGACTCCCGATGATGGAGCCCGCCTGGTCGGAAAGCATATCGCCAAAGGTGTTATCTGCGAGGATCACGCCGTTCAAGGCGCGTGGATTGGTCGCCATGATCAACGAGGCCGAATCCGCAAGCTGGTGCATGAACTTCACCTGGGGGAACTCTGTCGTCATTGTCCGCTCGACCACGCGCCGCCAGAGCCGCGAAGACGCGAGAACGTTCGCCTTGTCCAACGAGATGACCGGCCAGGCTGGCTCGTGCCGCATGGCGATTTGCGCGGCTAGGCGGGTGATGCGTTGGATTTCGGCCTCCGAGTATCCCCATTCATCCATGGCTGGGCATACGATCAGATCCAGGCCTCCCCGGGAAGGAGTCTTGGGGGGGGGGAAAGAGGGACTTACCGTATGTCTCTTCCTCGATCTTCTTTCCAAAGTAGGCCCCCCCACAATTCTCTCTCAACACCAAAAAGTCCACTCCCCGAACGACCTCCTCCTTGAACGGGCTGAACTCCCTCGCGATTGATTCGCTGGGCGAGCTCGCCGAACAGGGTCTCAGGTTCGCGTAGATGTCCATTGCCTTACGAAGCTGTAGGAGCCCACCTTCGGGCCCGTCGAGCCCGCGTCTCGCGCTGTCCCATTTCGGTCCGCCGACGGCACCAAATAACACCGCGTCGGACTCCAGCGCCGCCTGCTTGACTTCCTCCGTGACAGACTTCCCGTGGGCATCTATGCTACAGCCGCCGATGAGCTCCGAGCGTAGAGAAAACTGGCGAGTCGGGGTTTCAAAGGCTTGCAAGACTTTGGTCGCCTCGGCCATGACTTCGGGCCCAATTCCATCACCGGGAAGGACAAGGATGTTGAAGTTTTGCGACATGATGGCCGACCAAGACGATTGATTTCTATTCCCAATAGCAATGAGTTCGTGGCAAATCCGGAGACAGACTCTTGGGCCAGAAGATCATTTCCTCTATATACTTCCCCCTCCCCCCATTTCTCCTCGGTCAGCACGGCGATAGTGCGGGGTGACAGCGCCGATTGTCACGGCGTTGCCCCGACCGTCGTATTGTTCTCGGCTGCTACCGCAAGTGGTGCATGCTAATATACCTTGTGCCATCAGTCGTGATTATTGAATGCTGAGTGTGTTCTGCTGGTTCTTTTGGTGTATAATATGATAGACTGGTTAATTTTGGGTAGAAAAGGAGATGAAGAGTTGCCTGTGAGGTACAGATACGATACGGTAGTTATAATTCGAAGTTGGTTGGTCAGTGATAAGAGTCTTACATAATACAGTCCCCGCATTCCATTTTAGGACTTAGGGCCTAACCCTGCCCCTCCTGTTTGTACTGTTTGTCTTGCCTGTCAGGTTTCTGTCCGACGACGACAAGACGCATATCACATATTTTAATCTGAGAGAGAAGCCTGAGAACCAGCTAGCTAGCCATGGGCCAGATCGAAGAGCTTCCGGACGATTTCGACGAGGCGCTCGACCTCAACAAGAAGGCCCCGGCCAACCCCGCGACCGCCGAAGCAGACGAACCCTTCCAGTCCGTCATCTCGCATCTACCACCCAGCGGTCTTAAAGACATCGTCGGTCTTCAGCAGCCCCAGGATGAATACTTACCGCCGTCGGACGAAGTTCCCTTCCCGATCAACTTTGAGAAGTTGAAGGAACTCCAGAATGACCCTACTGCACCCCACATGCCGCCGGCGATGGCGTCTGTCAAGTCGCATACGGCTGCCGAATTGATGGACATGATGAATAAGACACCCTTGTTTATGACGGATCTGGAGAATGCAGGAGACGAGAGTGCGTTTTTTTTTTCTTCTCTTCTTTGCTTTTCTTTTTCTATCTTTTGCCCATGATCATCTGTCACCGCCACTTGCTAACGGGTGATTGGATATACAGAGGGTGAAAACGTCCTACTGGATGCGCTCCGTGCGCTTCAGAATGAAGGAACCCGCGGAGAAGTTGCTCAGAATTTCCGTGAGCAGGGAAATGAAGCTGCCAGGGAGAAGCGGTGGATCGATGCGAAGGAGTTCTACACCAAGAGTATCACCGTGGTGATGGCCAAAACGGATCAATGGGAGAAGCCCGAAGACGCGGAGAAGGAGAAGAAGATGCTGCGAGAGGCGGAAGAGGCGTCATACATCAATCGGGCTTTGTGCAATCTAGAATTGAGTAGGTGTTCTTGAGACCCGGAACCGGAGATGCCCGGGGCTTTTCCCCCTTCCATCCTTACCCCCCCCTTTTTTTTTTCCGATTCTGACACAGGCCTGGTATAGAAAATTACCGGTCAACGACATTAGATTGCGCCTCAGCGTTGAAACTCAACCCCAAGAACATCAAGGCCTTTTACCGCTCTGCGACTGCGTTGTTGGCGCTTGACAAAGTCCCCGAGGCCGAAGATGCTTCCTCGCGCGGGCTCCTCCTGGATCCAAACAACAAACCTCTCCAGCAAGTTGCGGTCAAGATCGCCGCTCGCAAGGAGGTTTTGGAACGCATTGCAGCGAGGAAGAGAGCCGAAGAAGAAAAATCTCGCAAGGAGAACATGGTGCTTAGCGCCGCCTTGAAAGCGAGACAGATCCGCACTCGCAAGACAGAACAGCCGCCTGACATGGAAGACGCTAAGATCTGTCTAGTGCCAGATCCCTTGTCACCAGAGAGCTCGTTGGACTTCCCCACCGTGCTCCTTTACCCAATGGATGCGCAGTCCGATTTCATCAAAGCCTTCTCAGAGATGCACTCGATCGCAGATCACCTGGAGTATATCTTCCCTTTGCCCTGGGATAGAAAGGGCGAGTATACCATCAATGGCGTAGAATGTTTTATGGAGACCGTCACCGGGGGGTTGATCAAGGCGGGGAAGAAGGTCCCCTTGTTGAAGATCCTCAGCGGAGGCAAAACCGAGGTGGTCGATGAGATGGTCCGTATATACGTGGTCCCTGTTAGCAAGACCACTCAGTTCATCTCCGAGATGAAGGCTAGAAAAACCGGTTGAGGGGTGTTACAATGAACCGTCACATCCTGCTACTTTCGCCCCAACACAGTCTCACGCCACAAGGCAGCATGAGAGAACCCGACACAATCCATGTGTATTGAACAACAGGATCACGGGTGTTTCCATCCCTCTCCGCCCCCGTTCCACACATTCTCTCTCTGCCATGGCTATCGTACGGCTATATTTTGTGCCGCATTCTTGGTATAGTGCCTAGCCTGACTTTGAGCGTGCAGGATGGAAGGTTGGAAACGTACGAGCCCATTCCGTCCGGGCAATCTTGATGGATTGGACTAGTCTGGATCACAAGGCCCTGCCATGTCATTTAGTCCAATTTCTCAAAAGAGCAAATGAAACCATCTCGTGTACTGGAGGTTCCTTTCCCCCACTGTAATCATCACCTTTGCATGAACCTACGCTTTTTTTTTTGAATGAACCGGATTCTCAGAAAACGAGCCAGGTCGCGGCCCAAAGTTATGCCCGCATCTCTGTTGACCCAAGCGACGCTTCTGCTGCTCATAAACCGCTCAAGGGATGGCCCAGGCGATGGGACTCGCCGCCACAGCCACCTTGCCCTGTTGAGCCTGTTTCGGTCGGGTGCAGTAACAGGTTTTGGAATCGTACTTTCCGAAGAGAAGGGCCAGCGACTTGACCAGAAGAGAAAACAGATCCCTGGCTGACTGTATCGTTGTATCTCGCATCGCAATCTCCGGCGTCCCTCGGTGAACAAAGATGCCAGATAAATAGATCCAAGGTTTTCGCGATGTCGCAAGGACAAACAAACCTGTGCCCTCCAAATCTGTTTATTCTAATTTGCGGAAAAGAATGTATCAGATGGTACGGTGAAATGGCATATTATAACTGGTAATTGTGAAGCGTCCCTAAAGCCGAGCAACCCCATTCGACTGGGTCTTTTGTCGGTGAGGGACAACGGAAACGCCCCCAGCAAACGATGCACCATTTTGAATAGCTGAATCTAAGGGTTTTTCTCGGTAGTCGCCTTTGAAACCGGTTTTTTTTATCCAGCCTCTACTAGTAGCAATTAGCCAGCCTTTGGTTCTTAGCAGATGTCTTGGGGATTTTCAAGTTCTAGACCGGCAAGTTCCACCCCTTGATGCTTTGTTCTTTTATACCCTGTTGAGTTGAGGCGAGAGATCCTCGCTATGTTTCTTTCTGAGAAGTAAAGCTTGACATCTTTTCTGTTCTGTTCGGTTCTGCAGGGTTACATGAAAGCATGGGAGGGCTGACGCCATGCATTAAGTCCTTAGATCTAATCATGATCCATAGGGCTCGCCATACTGATTTTAGGGCATCTCAGCTACCCCTTGAATCATCTAAGTTTGAGTATACGTTTCGGATTGCTGATTCTCAAAGCAGGATATGGCACTTTAATTTTCCCCCCCCCTGAAGGGCAAGGGTGGCTGGAATCAACCAGGTTTCTGGCAAGTTGTCGAGATTCATCGGGATTGATATTTAGCCTCATACTGGCTAAATGAGTGATATCGGCCTCCTTGTTATTGACAGAGAGTGGCCAAATCCCATTTATCATAAGCCAGGTATCATAATCAAAGGTGTAAGGCGACTTTGGGAGCCAGATGGATCAAAGTGGTCTGAACGAGGTAACAGTGCAGATGTCCGACTAGCCGAGATGTATGCCAAGGTCCAACGCTCCTTTGCATATATTTTGGAGCCTATCATGATAGGCTCCAATCCGTCCGGTCTGATTAGATAATCCCTTTACTGAAAGGAAGGGAATACTCCGTTCATCTATACATTCATAGCCAGCATATGAATGGGCTGTTGGATTGTACTTACTCATTTCTATCCACCACCTCGAATGGCCAAGCCCATGGGAAATGATGGAGAGCTGCAGTGTCACATAATCACTAGGGGATTGCAAATGAAACATGCATCTCAAGGAAAGGTTATTGCATCTCATCACTTGCGTTCTTTAGAACCGGAAATCTAAAGCCGCCCAATCAGAACATATGCGGCACCACAGTTCGCGGAGATTCTGGTTGATGAAAAATCAAATTAACCAAGCATCTGTAGACAGCAAAGCAAGTAGTTAAAAGCCATGAACTACTCAGTTCTCTATACCTATAATAATATAAATTTCACTCAACGGTGCCTAGGCAACAGCAGGCGGTCACTGTTGCATATGATGCGCTGATCTCATTCGATACCATTTATTAATGGTATCTATCCCTCGGCAGTCGAGGTTCAGAAGTGCTGCGGTGATGATCAGTCCTTCAACGCAGTCACAGTTGGATGTCAAACGTACTCCGTAAAGCTTAGTTCCTCGTATTCTAGAAAGCCATATTGCTGAATTCATAGTTTAGATGCTCCTCTTTAGAACCGTAATGGTGCCAACCCTACTACTCTGCGTAAAATAGCTCATGTATCAGGTTGGTATTCCTTTTAGACCATGCACATTCTCGATACCAAGAGCAGTGATCGACTTGACTCGCATACGAAAAAAAAAGTACTGGGGAGAATCTCAAGATCCAAGGGCCATAGATACCGTGTTTCTCCATGCACTCCGTACAAGAACTGACGAATAACGGATATACCGGATCTTATTTCCGGAAGGTTTGAGAATATGCCTTTCGCTGCACCTTGCGAGGCTATTGATCTTTCGGCTTCTTCGCATTTCAAGATCAACGATGGTGGGTATAAATGCATATATGCGGGATTCCACTCAAGCAGAGGTCGAGCCAACGTACTGCAGCAGCAATGAATTGTTCTTGCGTTGTAAGCGCATATGTTGTTCGACGAGTCATGGCGGTGCTCTGTCCTTCACTGTCACACCTCGACGTGTTTAGCTCCTGGCATCGTAAGCGAGATCATACCTTAAAAAGGGGCCATATAGTCGGAACAGAGCACATCGTCCATCATTTCAGTTGAGTCATCACCTCTAATATTAGATATCCTCCCCCACTTCATGTCGATACAAGCGCCACGTAGTGGTTTGAGATTCCGGCATTTTGCCTTGATCTATCTCAACGAACGCGGAGAGCTCGGCTTCGAAACTTCGCCCTCTATTGCAAGCAGCTCCGATGGCATCCTGTCTCCAGAGATAAGGGAGAGATTTCTCCAAGCTGTGGCCTTGTCAAACAGTGTCAGAATGCCAAACGATGGACATGCACCCAGTCAATCAGCATTGGTTTCGTCGGAGAGAAAGGATATCAATCATGGAACCGTGGCTTCAACACTTCTGGACCATAGTGAACAGCTGGAGATTCCCGTTTACAATTCCAAAATGCTCAGACTGTACTATGAAAAGGCCTTCGAGGCATTGCAGCAAACGAACTGTCGCGTTCTAGCAAAAGCCTATATCAAGCTTGTCGAGCCTCGAAAGCAGGTAAACTTCCCATATAACGGCCGAAGAGTCATCTCTGGCCTTTCTCGGCAGCTTGATCCAGAGGAGACCAAGCCAGGCTGGTGGCCAACAGGTGTTCCCCACCGTGAACCGGATCATCTTCTCAAACCTGGTACGGAGCATACTGGACAAACGCAAGACTTGTCCTGAGCAGAACCAAACTTACTGTCGGTAGAAAGGATTCGACTTCTCGTCCACATCCTCTGTGATTTGCGAGAGAGTCATGGAATGAGTGTCCAGAAACTATGGGAAGCTGACCAGGCAATCCGTTATCAATTCGACCCATCTGAACGGCTGAGGCTTCTGGACGAGATTTATCGCGTCCGTCGGCAAGAAGAAAAATTCCTCAATGAAGAAATCGGTCAGCATTGTCGAATCTCCAGTATGGCCTATTGCTTGTAAAAAACTAACAGTGATTAGATGGCCAAAGCATGATCCGTGTTTTTCGTGAATTCTTACCAGGTTTCGAGCCCTCCCGCGATCCAGAACAGCAGGAAAGCACGTTGAATCGATCAATCGTCGACTTCCCAGAACCTTTTGTCCGAGGTGCTCCTCTCAGCTTGAATGCCCCAGAATTGAGGGCGTTTGCAGGTAGCCACCAAGGTATCCATAGGGATCCAAGAGAAGGAACACCATCGAGTCGAACACCTAATACCGCTCTGGCGTCGTCCGTTTCTTTCCCTGTTCTATATGGTGAAAATAGAAGTGGAAGTGGAAGTGACCAGAGCACGCCCATATTTCCACCGAGCATGCCTGGGACAGCGTTTCCCCTGTATCATCCGTCAGGCATTCCGGCCTCGATGTATTCATCATCTTATAACGTGGATCTTTATTCTAACATGCCATCTGATCGGATCACGCGGCCGCCACAAGGGTCTTTGGGGCATGACGAACATCAGCAATATCTTTGAAGTCTTGACGATATGAGCGCAGGGAATCTTTCACGATTTTTTCTCTTTTCGAAAATGTATGGTTCAGGGTCTATTCGTGCTTGATAGAGTATTCTGCAACAGTTAGCAATCCGCAGGGGCTGCCAGCAAGGATAGTAACATTAACCGGGTCAAACCAGGGATATGAAAAAGTGATCCGCCAACCGTTCGAGTTGAGGTGAGAACGACAGATAGACCTTGGTTGGGCATTTTCTTAGAAGTATCCATCATGGTTGGTATTGGTCCTCTTCCTTCAAGGCAGTTTAGACGCATTGTTCGACAACAGCTTTGAGCTTGCAGCAGAATAATCAAAATAAAAAATAAACATTACCACTATTTGGAAATCAAACATTAGTTCTTTAGAAAGCAGTATATGGGATGGAAGTAGAGGAGATCCTAGGATGTTGTGAGAGAGAAGTACTCGGTCTCCCTGAGGATGGCTACCTCCTGTTCTAAGCCATCCAGGCCACTCCGGATCGAGTTGTAATCTGCATAAGCTACCTACCTAACATAACACAATAATCGAAGAGCCGCATGTCGACCGACCGATGCAAATTTTAATCATTGCTTTTTTTAAAAAAGAAAATTCGGGCCGACATTCCGGTGCAACGCGAAATGTTACCCTGTATATCTAGAGTTAGTACCAACAATGCACACTACAAGGTACGTAGAACAGTCGTGAGAAGACTTTTTCATTGGAATCGGAAAAGCAAGATATATGACGGTATCGAAAAGGATTATAGGGGCTGTTCGTCATATCTCTGTATCGCGTAACAGGCATAGGGAATCCCTCTTGCAACAACAGAGGCATAAAAACCAAAGCGAAGATAACTATTTACAAACCAGAGGGAAAATGGACGGAGTAAAAAGAAATCCGAAAGAAAGGTAGAGATCTTCCTGTGCATATAGGGGCCCCAGGAAAGGTTTCGGTGTCTCGTAAGTCGCGGGACCAATGGCCAGATTGACAAGGGTGGTGGCTCCATTGGGTCCTTAGGAGGGGGGAGAGCGGCGTTGGCCCATATACTCCTGAGCCTTAGCGCTGTAACCACCAAAGTACTGCTTCACCAAGCCTGTAGCATGGACAGTGCGTTCACCAGCCAGGTCCTTGAGACGATGAGCTTGCGAGTTGATGAGCTGCTGGGCATTCTCGATCTGGGAATCCACAAGCTCGTGGTTGCTTATATAGAAAAGGGGAACAAAATAGATGATAGTCACGGCGATCAGGGAAAGACCCCAGAATGGAATCCACTTGATCAGCCAGTAGGCAACGAAGGCAGCCGAGAAAGCCTATTGGGAAAAAAAAGACATATGGGTCAGCTATTGGCTTCTCAAGAGCTGCTGAGCAAGTAATCCCTACCGCAACTGTGTGAACAGCATTTTCGACAAACAGGACGCGCTGGAACTCCAGAAGGAAGAAGTCAAGGAGCTGTTCAACGTCCTCCTGAACAGCCTCGATGGTTTCCTTAGGAATCGTGTAGTATTTGCGAGGACGGAAGGAGCTTGCAAGGCCTTGGGAGAAAACGAGCCGACCGGCGAGTTCAATAGAAGCGGTAACTAGGAGAACGGAAAATCAATAACCTGTTTTCCAGCGAAAATTCGGTTCTAGCAACTCACATCCGAGGGCCAGATAGAGGAATTTGAAAACCCAACGGAGAAGAGGGAGAAAACGAGCGGCAACGATGAAGGCAACGATGCTGAAGTAGGAGACGGCAGTGGCTCGAGGCTGTTCCCACTGCAGAGACACTGTGTTCAGCTTTTGATTCAGCGAGTAGAAGGGGGCGTACGAGGAAGATACTCACGCTGAGAAGGCTATACAACAAGGAGTGATAGGCTACTCTCGTTAGCGGTGTTTCTCTTGACACCAAAATCCATCTAGTTCTCCTTTTTCAATTGAGACATACGGGTCAGAGGTTGGCCAGTCGCACTGGTGGTCGCGGGCGTAACCTTGGAGTTTTTCAAATCGTGGATTTCGTTTGCGGTCTCGTCAACCTCAACCTTGACCTTGTCCACGATGGGTTCTGCCTTCACGACGGGTTCTGGGTCCACGACGGGTTCCGGATCCACGACAGGTTCTGACTTCACGATGAGCTCCGAGTCCACGGTGGGTTCTGACTTCACGATGGGTTCCGAGTCCACGACGGGTTCTAGTAGTACACAGTCCGTCAGTCCGCTATTTCTTTAAATACAGAAAAGTCTATTGATATAGTCTTACCCTGTTTAATCTCATTTGCGACGCCTGTACCAAAGCCATCTGTCAGTTTTTGTTTTTTTTTTTGTTTTTTTTTTCCCTTCTTGGTTTTTCTTTTTGGTCCAGAGGAACTGCTTCTCTGGCCTGGAAAAAAGGCATCACTATCAAGAAAGACATTTATCTTAGCACAAGCCCTTCCAGTCATAGCTATTGGTTTTCGATTGTACCGTACCTTACTGTCACCGTTGGTTTCAGGGTAGCTCACATCAGCTGTGTCGGCCATGGCGAGAGTGTGGACCTTGAGAGTATCTCGGCGGGAGAAGCGAAATCCAGCAAACGCAAGGCAATCCGTCGAAAAGGAGAGCGAAAGTGAGAGGAAAGTGGGATTAATCTGATCGGAAGACAAGGCCGGAAGACGTCGGGACCTTGAGTTAGGGGATAAGGCAACGAATGAATGGAGTTTGGGAAAGTGGGCGTGTGTGCTCACGCAACAAACAAAACCAAGGGCAGAAGCTTCCGCGACCCAAGCAAAAACTACCAAATGGAAAATTTCCAGCACCTTCGGGGTGTTCAAGTTGGATCTGAGAGTGGATTCGAGTCTACCTATATATTCTTCAGGTTCTCATGCCATCCTTTGGCCAGGTATATTGCAAGGCAGTCCCCCTGACAGCTTATCAATGCGTCGGCGCAGGCTGGAGAGCTCCTGATGATAGGGCACACACCACACAACTACATAATTAGTCCGTTTCACATGTGATTGTAATGCCTGGCCCCGTACGGAGGCCTAATCCCAAGGTCTCGAATCCTCCCGGTGCTAATCATACTCGAACTTGGCAGACTACTACTAACTACTAAATACTTTATAGTTAACTAAACTAACGACTGTTTTACCATCCTACTAGCTTTAGAAGCTGGATTCAACGTTGAAGACAAGACTACCTACTAGGCGGTGAAGCGTCCTACTTTCTTCCCGGCGTGCGTTCAAGCAAGGAGACCAAGGAGACCAAGGTTCACATCGCCACCACACCATCTAATTAACTACAAACTAACACACACCTACGTCAGATTGAGTTTCTGAGGCTCTACAGGTGCCCCATCCGCGTTGTCATCGCATTACCACTTCTCCTGCCTTCCTGAATAGCACGAGCAGCAGCCTCCGACTACGCTGGCCGCTCACCTCTTCTAATAGACATTTCTCAAACTACCATATCATAGGATCCATCTGGCTTACCATTCAAAGCTCTCTTAAGCTGAGAGTTTTGGCAACGCAAATGAAATGCTCTTCGGAAGATCTCTGGGAGTTGCTAGACCCCTGAGGTGAAAGATATTTTACAGGCAAGAAGAATGACACCTCGAGTATTCATCTTGTTTGCAATATTTTCCTTCTAGACTAACTGTTCCTACTGATAATACCAATTTAGGCTTCCAATCTCAACTCAGGCCACTGAGCTGACCCAATGCTCATGGCCTATACACACAGGCTTGTTGCTAGATACCAGATTTTCACTAACAACCTTATCACTGTGCTCACAAGGTTTGAATTTCAATACGTCTTGACACAAAGACTACAGCGCTCACGAGGTCGCCTCCGCGCGCGGGGGTAAAGCATGCACATGTACCGAATAGCAGCGTCAATACAAGCCTTGGTGCGTCTCTCGGCTGATTAGAAAGGCGGTAGAGACGCACGATTAGAAAGGCGGCGGTGGAACCCTGGAGGCAGAACTACAACTATAACTATGTGTAGTTACTCCGTAGTTAGTTAGTTGAGATTGTTGTAGCCATCTCGAGGCAAGCATTGGTTATCGGACGGAGTAAGGAGACCAACAGTTGCATAGAGTACTCCATAAATAATGCCAGTTTCAAACAGCTCCACCATTTGAGAAATCGGAAATTCTGATAATTTGAATTCAAGCATCTCATTGTAGTTGACCAACTATCCTTTTGCTCACTACCCTAAAAGAAAAAAGATGAACAGTAGGATCGTACTTGAATGCCTGAATTACAAGGCATGGATTGTGATGTCAAGAGGATCACGTGATGTGCGGGTCTCACGCGTTGCCGATGTTTTGGTATCTCCCCGGCACACCATCTGAGGAAGCAACGACCCGCCTTGACGACAGCAACACCCGCCACAACGCCGAGATTCGATGTTCTTCTTGCCTGTTCAGCCTTTCTAGATGGGTTCTTACACATCTATTGACTTTTAAAATCGAATTTGGCTCGTTTCGACCTCGAAAAGGGATCAATCGCGCTTTGTTTACACCGCCATGGCCGCGAGTGGCACGAGGGCGCAGAAGCCTGTGGGCTCTGCTGCATGGATTTCGACAGAGAAGGAAAACATGGTGCAGCTGGTGGAGCAAGAGATGGAGGAGGCGGAATACCCAGTGCGCCATGAGATGGATTGGCTGAACGAGCACATGGCCGAGATCTTCTCGAAGAATCAATTGTTCGTTGCCGCCACCAGTCTTTGCCCCGGCAGGTTGATGGATTCGGATGCTGACCCTGGCGCAGTAACATGACAGATGTTTTTAAAACTCCGGGGAAGCTTCGCGGCAAAACGCCTAGGACCGCGAGGAAACGAGTGATGGATGAATCGCGCGTGGTACGTTGCCCTTGCCTTGCCCTTTGTTGGCTCTTGGCGCTGCTCTTCGACTGACTATCCCACAGCCTCTGAGCGAAATATTTTCCGCAGCTCGCAACCATGACGCAGAGGTCAGGCCGAGTCCGAGTCCTATGGTTTCGCGGGCACTCGCGAAGGCAGCAAGCTCTTCAGCAACACCCAGCCCGAGCAAAAAGGAAGCACAAGCCACCACGACGCAGCCGCCTTATCCAGATCTCACAAAGAATTTGAACTCCTTTCCGAAGTACAACACCGATTCTGGCTATCACGGCATGCCTGATGACGATGAAGTCGTTCCTGCTCAGACCCCGCAGCACGAATCGCAAACCTCAACACAGCCCCTTGAAGATGAATCCACACCAATCGCGCCTCATGTGAGCCGCTCATCGCCAGATCGTCGGACAACACAAGACTCCTTTCACTCTGCCCATGAAGATATCCGTCAGCGTGGAGATACAGTGGAACCAATGAATCTGGATTCGGTACCCAACCAGCCCTCGTCTTTATCACCACAGAAGAGCGAACAAAACAAGCCAGTTCATACAGTGACGCCAGAACCTAAACAACGCACAGAGCCTGAGCCGAAGGTTCAACAGCAGAAAGCGCCGGAACCAGTAAAAGCACAACAAGTGGAGGAACCCGGTTCAGAAGAAGTGCTGGAGCCAATGTCGGAATCGGAGGATGGTATGGATTCTGAGCCTGAACAAGTTCTGAACAAGATCCCGTCACCAATCAAGACCCCTGCAGTCTCATCCAAGGAAGAAAACAATGACAAGGAAGCAGACATTATGAATGATGATATGGAATTAGACGTGGATGATATAGGATCACCTTCGGACGGTTCGACTCCAGAGCGACCATTCATCCGAAAGAGCAGCTTGAGTTTTGCATCGCTTCCTGCACGAGAACCCTTGACAACAAAGAAAAGTATCGGGGCAACTAGAATGTCTAGAACAAGTCATATTGACGTCGCAAAACTGGGCAACAACGCCAACAATAACCGCAGCAGCTACTTTGGAAAGCATACCGGAGGTCCTCGCACGACTCAGCTTCTTTCAAGTGACAACGATCCCGCTGCGGGGACTGATAGAATGGAAGCTGATGGCAATCTGGACGCCGCTCAACAGGATACCGAAGCAGACAGAGCCAGCAAAATACATAACAAGTCATCGACTCAACTCCTGCACGAGAAGATAAGCATGCTCGGGAAACTTCAACCATCACGACCAACAAAGTCTATTCCAGCCGTCCAGGCTCAGGGTCCGTCTGCCTCTCAGGTCTCTTACCCTGAGCTACCAGCACCCAAAGCAGAGTCAAAATTGGAGTCTACCGCCGACAATCCTCGCGAGACATTGGCGCCCGAAACAAAGGATATCTACCAGGCACCCAAGCATCTAGGTTTATCCAAAAGTCAGACGACCGATGTCATGGAAAAGCTGTACGACAGAGCCGCCGCTACACCTGTAGAAAAGGAATATTCCACCCAAGAGCAGCCCCCCGTGGCTAAGCTGACTCGCAACTCCTCGACGGTCCGTACCAGATCTTCTACACCGGTTCCGACGTCCCCTCAGCGACTCGGTCATCAAAAGAGTGTGTCCGTCACAAATTTGGCTTCTGAGCAATCGACAACTCCTAATGGCTCTCCTCGGCGTCATGATGGTCCCTTGAGCGCCTCCAAAACGAGACTTCAATCGATCATGAAGTCAGCCAAGGGTTTGTTCACAAGCGCTGCAAGTGTTTCCGCCGCCGCGAAGCTAGAGGCTCGTCCATCGACACCCACCAAAATACAACCATCTACTCGCGCTCTCTCCCATGACGAAACAGAACAACAAGAGGAGCCTCGACCTGCCCCAGTTCCTAGTCGCTCTCCCAAACCTGAGGGCCGCCGGACTCGAAGCTCAACAGAAAGGGAAGAGCGGCGTAGACAGCAGGAGCTTGAAGAGCGTCAGCGAGAACAGGACCTTCGGGAAAGGTATCGGGAGCAGGAAAGACAGAAAGCAGAACAAGCTAAGGCTCTGCAGCAGAAGGAAAAGGAGAAGCAAGCAGTCGAGGTGGTTGAACGTCCCGCTCCAGTTCCCGCATTAGCCACCATGGCAAGTCCCAAGAAACCGACACAACTCCGTAAACCATCCTCGAAAGAGCTTGAACCAACAACCCATGACACAACGGCACGATCTATTGCACCCCCTGTCATGAGTCAACAGCCCCCGAAGCAAAACGATCGCCGTCCTATGAAACCAAGCCGTGAGACTCTTCAGAAGCCGAAGCCACAGCCGGTATCGATCCGTGTTGGCAGTGCTCTTTCCCGTATGCCACTGCCTTCTGCCCCAATTCCTCCCTCTGTACAGGAAGTGAACGCACCAGCGCCGACACCTGCTTCGGTATCAAAACCGCCAACCCTCAAGAAGAAAGCCAGCAACGCGTCCTTGCATACAGCGGCGGCTTCGTCAACAAGCAGCTTTAAAACGTCAGTCTCCAGTCAGACTCAACGAAAGGCCCAGCTTGCAATCGAAAGGAAGCGTGAGCAGCAGGAACGGGAAGCACGAAGAAAAGAAGAGCAAAAGCGGGAACTGGAGCGCAGACGGGCAGTCCAGCAGCAAGAGGAATCACGACGCCAGGAGCTTCGAAGCCGTGCAGAAGCTGAGCGAGTGGAGAAAGAGCGTGAGCGTTTGGCTGCTGAGGATCCAAAGAAGGCGGCCAAGATGCAGGCCATTGAGAAGCGCAGACTGGAGAATGCCCGAAGAACTGAACGCCAGGGAAGCCAACAACCCACCCTTGAATTAGTAGGTTTTTCTTTTTTTTTTTTCCCCTCGGTCATTGTGGGTATACCAAAGGAAGTTGGCTAATTGCAATTTCTCTACCACAGGGCTCTATTCTTCAGCAAGAAAGAACTGGTCCCCAAACCTCACAGCGAAGCGACCTTGCAGCTGCCAGACCTGCTTCTAGACTTGGCTCGATTCAACCATTCGGTCGGTCGATCAATACGCCAGCACCCAATCCTGCCAAACCACCCAAGAGAGCACTGGACGAAGAAGCCAGCCATCGCCCCGTCCCAACCAGGGCTAGCACCGCTTACCAATCTAACGACTCCAAGCGCAGAAAGACCGAAGACGAGCAACCGCAAGTGCCTCCTGTACGGCCGACCATGGCACCACCAATCCGGCAGTCTGCCATTCGCAAGGTGAGTTTTTTTCTTCTTCTTTACTTGGATGTTGCTATATGAACAGCAAACTGATGCTCGGCTACAGGAATCGGTTAAACCTCTTGGTTACAACCATGGTCATCCTCAGCCCTCACTGTCCCACCAATCTGGGTCATCGATTTTCAAGACTGGGTCTCTGGCCAGCAATTCTCAGCCGCAGAGGCCTGCTCATCCGATGGACATGGCCAAGTACACCAGCGGCAAGATTCCCTTCGCCGATCCTCCCACCAACCCTGCAGGTCCTCCCGCTCACCATGCCTCGTCTGCAGCGAGCGCATCGAAATCAGTCGCCAAACCCTCACCGAAATATCCCAACGGAGAGAATATCCATCTTCCAGAGATCCCGACTGACAGCGAAGACGAAGAGTCAGATACGGAGATCCTGCCTGTGCCTAAGTGGGCTCAGCCAAAGGAACTTGATGCTATTCTGCGCCGCCAGGAGGGCATGGAGGTGGATTCAATATTCGGGCCAATCGCGCCATTCTCGCTGGAGGAGACGTTCAAGGCAGACAAGAAGTTGAAGAAGTTCCGCGAGAGAACCAGTAGTGCCAACTGGTCCGGGCCAGACGGCTTGACACAGGAGGAAATCCGACGAGACAATGCCGATCGACAGCGGCTGCGAATGAACGGTGCCTGGACGTTTGATATGTAAGCGTTTGGGAGGCAGTTGTATTTGACTTTCTGGAGTGACCATAAGGTTGTGGGTTATGTGGCGTTTATGGATACGATTTTCAACAGTTAGTTCTGACTGATGGATGCTGAGGGTTCCGGATTGATACAGCTCGTGGCCTGTATTCAAACATTATTTGGGGAGCTATTTTTCGAGTGGCAGCCGTTGTATTCTTTTTTTTTTGCATGTTGTACTACACGACATGGGGTTTCTTTCGATAACAAATTAAATGATTATTGAAACCATAATTTATTACACTCGAGCGTACCTAAGCATATGGACGGTATCACTTAAACCTCTCCTACAAAAGCGAACATTAATGATGATCTATGATACTGTAGTCTACCATGAGCTACTACATGCAATGAGGATAACATATAGTGAGAAGAAAAGAAAAGAAAAGAAAAAAAAAAAAAAAAAAAACCCCTAGCATGGTATATCCGTCTCCCTATGCCGAGGAAAGAACAATATGAATATGTGTGAAGAGCCTATGAATCAATCCATTCTATGCAGAGGTTTCCGTAAATTATACATTGGTCTCGGGCTCGACCTCGCTGGCCCCCTCGTAGGCCTCGTCCATGGCGTCGGCGTTGAGGTTCGCAGCGTCGGGCGAGGCACCCAGCTTATCTTTGCCCTTGTCGTGAGACACGGTCTTCCACCCGGCGGAGGTGGAGGGATCTTTGATATATTCAGACATGGGGAACTATAGATGATTAGAAAAATGAAATTGACGGAAATTAAACGGGACATGACATACGTAGTGATCGTTCTTCTTCATGGTTACCACCCACGGCACATTGTCAAAGGTGACGGCGCGCAGGCGGAAATATGTGTTGTCGGGGATCTTGCTGACCTCGCGTACAAAGGCGTCGAGGTCGGGCGTGGCAACGCCATTGACAGCCGTGACGAAGTTGGTGGGCGAGAGGCCATACTGGTATGCGGGAGAACCGCGGCTCTAGACACAATTAATAAGAAAAATGAACTAGGAATGGCGGAAAGAAAAAAGAAAGGCGGAAGAGTCGAAAGAAAAACATACCCTTGCGCTCACGTAGACCTCACTATGGAGCTTGGAAATCTGCTGTCTGACGGCGTGGTGCGGTTTCTGCAGAACGGCACCGCAGAAGACGACGGCGCGATCTGTCTCGAGGTCCTCCGTCGGCACAGTGGGCACCTGGATGTGCATTTCCTGGCCGTTTCGGACAATCAGCGCGTCCAGAACCTCCTTGTCGTACATGACGTCCAGCTCCGAGACGCGCGTGATGAGCTGCCCGTCTAGAGTCAGGATAATGTCGGCCTCCTGCAACCCGTCCACGGCCGAGGTGAACGAAGGGGGCAGACAGTCGACCTTGCGGACCATGAACAGCTGGTGCCGCGAAGGGTTTGCCTGCGCGACCTTCTGGATCCATTCCTCGGAGACGCCCATGATACGCGCCTGGCTCATCTGCACCACGTAGCTTTCCATGTTCAGGATGCGCAGTCTGGGGATCACGCCTTGCTGAATCTTGGTTGTGATGGGTAGGAGCGAGGGCGTGGCAAACCCTAGGTGGTACTCGACATCCTTGTGCGAGTTGGGCGTGCGTTCGCCCAGGTAGTTGAGCCACAGCGCCTGGACGACCCCGTCTTCGCCGATCAGAACACCGTTTGTGCACTGCCCGCTGAGCCCCGTGTCGACGGTGATGGCGTCGAGATTGATCGCACGGTACCGGGGCGCCGAGGCATTAGCGGGGATCGAGACGGTGGTGATGTCAGTGACGGCAGTCTTGGCCACCACGATGCGGAAGTTCTGGTTGAAGCCGACGAAGATGGTATCCTGGCCCTGTTTGATGGTCTCCGTGCTCAGTTTCGCGCTCTGCACCGGGGCGTCCACCAGTTTCGGGTCGTACTGAATGATCGTGTAGTTCTGCAGTGGATGAAGGAAGACGACCTTTGCGCTGACGATGACCGAGTCGGCCACGGTAATGTTGATGTCACAGAGGTCGTACGGCACGATGGCCCGGGAGACCACCACGAGACCCTTGTCGGCATCGATCACCAGGCCAAAACCGGTCTTCTTCGCCTGCGGATATCCGTCCAGCTTCAACGGCATCGTACAGGACACCCGAACAAAACTGCGCACAATCTCCGCTGCCGCTGGCTGACTGACGCCGTCCAGCTGGATGAAATCGGCTTTGCGAGGCACGGGCGGTTCAGCAGCGATCGGGTCAGCGAGATCAGAGAAATCCCATAACCCGGATTCATCGTTCCGGACGGCCAAACGCATCTTAGGATGCCAGTGGCGATCGACGTAGATGATGCTGGTGCCACGAGTATGCAGATCACGGATATGTCGGTAGGAAATCACTACGCGAGATCGATCTAACAGAATCAGAAAACGGTTTCCAGCAGCGGAAAAGGGGGGGGGGGATTACCAGGAATACTCTTCATCACTTCCACAAATTCATCCAAATTTCGCGTGGGCCGTTTGTCCACTGTATCGATAATCCATCCGGACAGGGTGTTCTCCAGTTTAAAGGAACCGGCGGCCTCACAGACGTAGACGCCGCGGGTGGCAATGGCATATAGCCGAGACTGCTGGTATGAGAGATCGTGGAAAGTCGCGCCGGCAACAGTGACAAAGCGATCCGGAGTGATAGCATGGAGATCCCCGACCTCACACTCCACCTCAACTTCCTGTCCGCCTCTTTGGACCAACAAGCGGATCGTCTGCCCGACTTTTGAGTCGAGGATGTCGTCCAGCCGGATGAACTGGGTCAGCAGCTCCCCGTTAACCTTGAGGAGCACATCGCCTTCCTCCAGCTTGGTGTCTGCCGGGCCCTCGGGCAGAATGATCTCCGCCACCAGCATGCCAGTCTCATTGGGGGCGGCCTGTCGCACGGCCGCCTCCCAGTTGGAGGTCAGACCGAGACGCCGGCACTCGTCGAAGGGTTTCAAGATCCATTGCGTCTGAATGGTGCCGCGAGTAACCGCCTCGCCTCGCTGGATGCACTGCAAAGCCCGCAGAGGGCGGTCCAGCGGGAGAAAGTAGTCGGTTGCCGCGCCGTCTGCGCGCCCGCCGGCCTGCAAGGCGACTGCGTGGCCATCAATATTGACGACCGGACTGCCCGAACTCCCACCGCTGGCCGCCGCCGCCGCCTGGATGTAGTTGGTATTGAAATCGCTGTACCCTTCTCCGTACTCCGGGGCGTTGCGGTCCAACCGACTGATCACGCCGGACAGGATGCTCAGTTTCTCCCCAGCATCGTTGCCGACCACACGGATCTCCGCGCCCACCTTGGCCGCGTCGGGCTTGAGTTTTAGCTCCGTGAGCTGCAGGTATCGGATGGCCTTGGGGTCGAACTTGAGGATACCGAAATCGTGAACGGGGTCTCGATAGACAGGCCGGACGTCACACTAGTAGAAACATCGACATATTAGCCAGAAGATCTTTTTTTCCTTGAAAAGAAGAAAAGAAGAAGAGGAAGAAGAGGGAGATAAAGGGAGGACAGGAAGGGAAAGGATCTTACCTCCTCATGGTTATCAAAGATACAGTAACCCCAAAAAGGCCCCGCGCAGACAACATGACGATTGGTGAGGATATAGCCGCGTTCGGCGTCGACGACAAAGCCCGTGGCCTGGCTGCTCATGGACAGGTCGGTGTCAAAGGAGCAGGTCTGGCAGAAGTGGATGGAAACGACGCTCTTGACCACGGACTCGATGGTGGCCTGCCACTCGGGCGAGTCCGCCTGCGTAGGCCCGACGGGCAGCAGGCGACCGGCATCCTCCTCATCCTCGACGTCGTAGACGGTGCCATTCGCGGGAGTCGCGTCGCCGGGCGTCAGCGTCGAAGCTTCCGGTTTGAGGTGTTTGGACGGGCGCTCCGCCGCGGAAACAGAGCTGCGTTTACGCTTGGCCCCGTCCATCGTGTAGAATCGGCGTTGATTGTAATTATTGTAAGGAAGTTGTATCGCAGGCCCGGATGATAGGAGCGTCGGAGAGGATAAGGTGCAAAAGGAGACCGGGAAGGCGGTGGTTTGCGCGGCGTGTAGAGAATAAACCCTCTGATCAGAGGGGGAGCGAGCGACGGTCGACAAGCTGCTACGACACGGTCGAGCAGAGCACGGCAGCGATAGAAATAGAGGCCGTGATCGAAGCCCCGATACAGAGCTGGCAAGTCGTGGTCGGGACGAGGAAGACGCAGACGACAAGGGTGCGCGTGTAGCGATGGACAAGCTCCTCCTTGTACAGCAGGGGAGCAGGACGGCGGACATCCACAAGGCCTTCTACAGCAGAAGGACACTGGATGGGGGAGGGGGGTTGTTGTAAAACAGAAGTGTTTAACACAAGACAGGAAAAATAAGAAAGAAAGAAAAAGGAGAAGGAAAAGAGACGATAAGCCTGAGAGGGAGAGGGAGAGGGAGCCAGAACAAAAGTTCTCCCCGAGCTGATTCTGGAGGTGAGAAGCTTTGGCGGGCGGTGATTGGTGCAGCGAGCTGGACACACGAGACAGATTATTATGATTATTAGATAGTTTTCTTTTATTATCTTGATAGATATTTAGAAAGATTTAGTAAAGAGTCCTGGAGAAATAATTATGGAGCTGTAGGAGACGGAGGTGTGCAAGGTTCTAGGTAAGGTGCCTAACCAAGGTATAATTTTATTCTATTGGTACAGGAATCGCTATAGACAGACAATATATATCAGAAAAAGATGATAGGCCTGGCACTGATTCTCACATGGGCCATTGCTTGCTTCCCTGTACTTCCTGGGGAGAGTACAGGCTTGCTTGCCTGTTGGACGACATGGACCTTGCCCGTCGAGAGTTCGGGCTGCTCGGTTCTGGTCCGGTAGATCAAGCTTAAGCCTATACAATGTTGCGCTCAAGGTAGGATTCTGCTATGTAGTATATAAACAGCGCTGCCGCGGCCTCGTGCCTGTGTCTGTGGGCTATGATGAGTGGACTGAAGAGTTGTACTCCCCGTTTCTGGTCGGACCAGTAGGTCTCGCGTCATTTTCCGGCGCACGGCCACACAAAGATCGACAATTGAGTTTGTCTTGGGTTCTTTGTAGTACTTCAAAGGAACTCAGACAGACTCGGCAGCGGGGGACGGGCTCGGTTGGCCGTTGCCTTGAGCGAGCTGCTGCAGGCCGGGCGGCCGGTACTGTGGAGTCCCCATGGCCGGGCTACGGCCGGGCTTGGGGAACAGCTCGTTCAGCTTTCGGTAGACGTCGTTGAGCGACGGCATGTTGGGCGGCGGAATCATGATAGCGGGCGCAGTGGGCGGAATGCCGCCGGACTTCTTCGCTCGATCGGCGATGTTGGCCAGGTAGGAGAGATTGGCCTGCAGTCGACGCATGCACTCGAGATATTCCTGACTCGGCTTCAGCGCCGGCCCTTTGGCCGCCTCGGTCGGCTGCTCTGATGTGGGAGATGGGTTGTTGGAGTCTGGGGCAGCCCCGGACTGTTGCTGCGGCGGCGGCGCGGGGCCGCCCGCCTTGCCGTTCGCTTGTAGACTGATGACTTCTTCCAGCAGCAACGAGTTGATCTCCAATAGGACGGCGACTCGTGCTTTCTCGCGTGCTATTGCCTGAGCCTGCGCAGCCGTCGCTTGCGGCGAATTCTGCTGTTGTGGCTGTGGTTGCGGCGGCGGCGGCTGCTGCTGCTGTTGTTGTTGTTGTTGTTGTTGTTGTGGTAGCGATGGGTGTATCCCTGGTCTTTGCGGCGCAGTCAGCATCGTGTTGGCCATGGTGCTCGCCATGTTTTGTGGAAGGGTCTGCGCAACAGTGGTGGTTGGCATCCCGGCGGTAGAGGTTGCGTGCATCATAGGGAACTGGCCCGGTCGCGTAAATGGTATAGAGGAGAAGTCTGCTTGGGAGGTTCCTGCTAAGAACAAAACGCCAAGAGTTAGTTAGTCAGGCACTGGTTGCTGTAGCCTGCATGTAGGGGAATGGAGAAGAAGAGTGAGTGGAGTGGGTTGAGAGACAGCAGAACGAGTCAGGAAGTTGTAACGCACCTGGGGACTGCTGGGGGAAACCAGATGGCATCATAGCTCCTCCCACAGGGTCGCCCATCTGCAGTGGCACCGTAAACGACTGCTGCTGGTGTTGGTGCTGGGATGGCGGCTTGGACGGGGGGTACGAGGGCGGATAAAACGACGGCTGGCTGGTGACGGGGTACATGTAGCCCGCAGAGTTGGGATCCATCTCGGGGGACCCGCGAAGGGATTTTTTTCTCCTCAATAACAACGATCTGACAAGCTACCACAACCCCAATAATCTGGATTCGGGGCGCGTGGTCGCCCTTCTGGGAGCTGGTTGAATGGCTCTCTCACACGCAGCGGCAGATGGGGCCAATGTGCGGTCGGGCGGACGACTAGCGGATGGAGACGGAGCCGAATCCAGGGGTTGTGAGTGGTGATGATATTAAAATAGCTGTCCCAGAAGATCGACCGGTATAGTTGGCCGGAGACTTGGTATTTGAATGGCTGGCAGACGGTGTGCGTCGTACAGACATCGAGCGATCGCAGAGATTGGCGAGCGAGACTGAAAAGACTAGCAGGGAGTGTGGCAGAAGAAGGGCCGGGTGAGACGGCGAACGAGAGAAGGGCTGGACTCGTCAAGAACGTGCTTGTCTGCGTTTCTGAGACCGACCAGACAGGATAGGAAGATGCCCGGCGATCCCCCAAGACGCTCTCGATGCTCGAACGCCAGCGCGTGGTGTGCAGGGGCTCCAGGGAGTTTGGACGCTGTCTTATTCTTGTTGAAAGAGAACGTCGAGAAAGTGAGAGACGCCCGGATCGAGACTAGTGGTTACCTCGTGGTTACATGACGGTAATTACGAGTATATATCTATCATTCTAGGGTATTACAATACACGACTCGAGCTCCATCTCAGCCCTCTCAGCCCTCTCAGCCCTCTCAGCCATCTCCCAGCTAGAGCTATCCTTTGTGGTTAAAACGGCGTGTACAGAGGATATTCTTCTGCTATTGAGAGTAGGATGCCCCTGCTGTCGATTCCTAACAAGCCTCGTCTCCATCTCGCTCTTTATTCGCGCCCCAAACACCCGGACGAGCCTCACTACGCGCTTCTGGTCACCAGGAAGTTCTCTCACGCCGACTGCCAAAGAACCATCTCTGCAGTCAAGTTCCACGTCAAGAACACCATTCTGCGGGGTCCTGATGGATACATATCCCAGCCGTGGCGTTTTGAGCACGTAGACATCGCCGACCTGGCACAGGAGTCGCGGCTCCTCGTCTGCGTGACCATCGGCAAGGTCCGATCACTCGAGAAAGCCCAGGGAGCCTTTTCTCGGATCGCAGTCCCACCAGAGGCAGATCAGGACTCTCGGGAGGATGGGGTATTCGATTGTCGAACGTGGGTGCGAGACGCACTCGAGACGCTTCGGCTGTCCGACTCCAGCGATGCCGTGTCCGGGTTACGAGAATGGACGGCCGTGGAACAGCAAACGAAAGAATACCTTGCCCGGAAGAAACAAGAGGGTCGGTGGAATGCATCATCCTCAACTATGGGTACCGGTCTCGTTCCTTGGTTCGACCTGCTGACAGGACAAGAGATATTCTCATAACAAGGCATCGGAGGAGAAGATATCAACTTATTGAACAACGGCCAGTGATCTCATCACGATTCTTCCTACGCGTAGATAGCCAGGGTTTCCGCCGAATCGACGTATTTGACGCGCTGCGGCTTGCTACCCCAGATTGTCAAGTGTCGTACAGGGGTGCCGCGATAATCACAGCATCCAGAAGCACATATCTTGGTGAGGACGGCGAAACAAGCAGAGCCCCGAATCATCAGACGGCCTACCATGCACTGTCAATCGGCCCGCCACCGTCAAAGATTGAGATCTTTCTTTTGTTATACCTCAATCCGCCTTGTGTCTGAGATATGGTCTTTCTACCGCCCTTCCAGAATCCCCCAAAGAGCAGTGGAAGAAGAATAATGACTGCTAGACCAAGAAGAACACGCCTCGCTGTCTTTTCAAAAGGTGGCCGACCGCCATATCATCATGTCTCGGATGTTGGGAACCACTGCTTTCTTGGGCTCCCCTGCACCTGTCTCAGAACAGTATGCCTGCATTCAATTTAACCATGAATGCAGATTCGACGATGAAAGTCGGCCAGTATCTTTATGCCTTCTCCACGGACTACCACAGCACTTGTCCGCCAGCAACCGCGTCAGCAAATAATGTAACTCAATAATTAGCAGAGAGATTATGACTTGCGTACTTGCATTCGCTTGTCGGGAGCAGAAACGCGTCTCTCCCAACAAAAGGGGGCTTTCCTTTTCCTCTATTCTCCACAAATGTGTCGGATGTCTGCAGAGAAGGATGCGTGGAAGCTTTTCTCCATGGCTGTATACATGGACGGAGATTGGGTGTGTTTGCAATCTGGGGAGACTCGCTCAGAGCGGTCAATCGAAGGACTAGGAACCAGTGTTGAAGAAAAGGGCTTTTTTTATCTAATAAAATATTGCTAGAGTGTACGATATGGGATTGTTCTCCTGGACAAGAGGCGCGTGCTCCAGAACAACAACCACAATAACCACAACAACACCTCCTGCCTCCCTCCTTCACTCTCCCACCTCAGCCTCACAAAGGCCCATAGGAGTCGAACCACAGAGCCCTGTCAATGGCCTTATTGGCTTCTTTATTTGGTTCTGTACACAGGAGGTGTGATCTTGTCCTTGTTTTAATTTGTTTTGAACCCCCCACCGGTTCCTGTTTCCAGATCGTGGACGACTGACAATCTGAGACTCGCTCGCTGGCAGCTGCAGCAGCTTCCCGCGACAAGAGAAGCCTCCCCATGCAGCTTTCCGTCCTTTCCCTGGCCTCCAGGCCTTGTTGGCAGCGGCCTTAGCAAGCCACCGCCGTTGAGGCATGTGTCGATTGGCCCGGGAAGCCCGTCTTGACGTTGCTCCGGCGGCTGAGGTCAACCCGGTCTACCGTCGAGTTTTCCTCATCCTAACACGGCTTTGGAGGGTCCCTCATGGCGACCAGGAGGAACTTGTCGATTGTACACAATCATGATCGATCGGTTTGGGCTTGCTCGGGAAGAATCTCCCGGCTGGACGCAGCGCCTGTTTGATGACACCCTTTTCGGCCACACAATGGGTTTTTTTCCCACTCTTGCACCCAGGTAGATGGGCCACATTTTGTCTCGATTCTGTTTGCAGATGGTGACACTTCTTCTACATGGAGGGGACGGTTCTGAATTGATGCAGAGACCTCCACATGGTGCGTGTGTAAGTTGCTGAAACGTGATCCACCACGACATATCACTTCTTTTTTTCTTCTGGCTTACATTGCCTCCCGGCTTGGGGTAACCATATAGCGGCAATGGAACGGTGAGAGCCTCGAAATTTGGGGGGCGAAGGGGTCCGAAGGTGGTTACAGGGCCCCGTGGTCGGGAGATTGCTGGCGACACGGCTTGGAAGTTGCCATGGGATCCGAGGGTGGTCCGCCCATGAGCTCTTATCCCAGTCTTGTTCAACCAGAAAAGGCCCATTCTTTTTAGTTTAAGGGGGGAGGGAATGGTACTCCATATCTGATGAAGGGTTCACAAAAAGCCTGGACTCGCAAGTATCGTTCCCGGCCCGAGCTCGACACCTGTCCATCGTGCCCCCCCCCCCCCCCCCCCCCCCCCCTCCCCTCTTTCCTCGTCTCCCAGTGCCTCGTGGTGTTTTTTTGATGTCCGCGAACTACCGGTGAAGGGAAATGCGCCTTTCGGAGCTTTCTTCTTCTAAGACATGGGCCAGACAGTGTGTCTAGATCTTGATCCAATCGTGGTAGGCCCTTTCACCGCTGTCCTGTCAGGTAGCGGTGCCTCGAAGGAGGGTTCTTCAACGTTGAGTGGCTATTGCCGCTTTCCTAAAGGGCAAACAGACATAGTAATTTGTCCAAGCTTTCTCTTCGTCAGATGCCGTCACAGTATCCACTCTTGGATGACCTTGTGTGCAAAGCGACAAACCCTCCCGACAAAGACAGGGCTGAGGTTCCTCTCCCCTCTCTCCCTCTCCCTCTTTCTGTCTCTATCATGGGGCTGTTGAAAGCCCTGGAATAAGCTTAAGGGCATTTCCTTCACCGATCCAGTGATGGGTGCGCAGGTGACCTAAGCACTTCAGATATCCGTCCCTGAAATTGGACTTTTGTCTAGATCCTGACCCTCTTTTTTGTCTCCTTCAATTCTTCTTTCTTTGACGTCTCCTTCCCTTGTTGTGTCCTGCTGGTATCCCACTGTGTTTCTTTGATCGTGTAGACACTCTTCTGGAACCTAAAACAAGGTGTCTGGGATCGTGAAGGAAACAAGAAGTGGGCTAAAACCAGCCGATCGTATCTTTATATCTTGCAGGGGGGGTCTTCCCTAGCTTCCATCAACCTTCTTTTTCTTCTCCCATCTTTCTCAACCTTCGAATCTAGGATGGCGTCTATAGAATCCTTACTCAATCCTCTTCCCGAGTCCTCTTTCCCCTTCGCTGTTCCAGCGCCGTCGAAAAGGGTCTTTACTCCACTGAAGCCTCGTCCAAAGAAGCCCAAGGTGGCCAAAGATGCCCCGATCTTCACACGCGGCACTGTCAGAGGCGATTTGCGCTATCCTCCATGTGAAGAAAGAGACGAAGAACTCGCCCAGATGCATCGCGAGTTCCAGATTCATCCCATGGGAGAGATTGCTTCGTTCCCACGGCATATCCCATATAACAGCGAGAAAAAGTCATTCCAGGAGAGAACTGGGCGGGAAAGCTTTGAAGGTAAGGCCACTCCGTCTGTATTCAAAACCTTACAATTAGTAACCGTGAATCCTGCCAGTGTTCCAGTATACATTCAAGATTCCGGGCGAAGAGAAGGAGTGGACCGTGATGTGGGACTATAACATCGGACTAGTCCGAACGACACATCTCTTCAAATGCAACGACTATTCAAAGGTAAGTCCATCGTCTCTATTGGAGACCAGCCTGCGGTATGGCTAATTTAATGGTCAGACTACACCTGCAAAGATGCTAAATGCCAACCCGGGGCTCCGCGACATCTGCCACAGTATAACCGGTGGAGCTTTGGCGGCGCAAGGTAACATACTCCGTACATCCCCGTCTGGGTTGATTTTTCTGTGATATTATACTGACCCACCGTACAGGCTACTGGATGCCGTTTGATGCCGCAAAAGCAGTGGCGGCCACTTTCTGCTGGAAAATCCGATACGCGCTGACGCCGCTGTTTGGCATCGATTTCCCCTCGCTGTGCGTGCCGCCTCACGACCGCGCGCGGTTCGGCAAGATGGTGATCGACCGGGCGATTGTCGAGAAAGCCGCCGAGACAGCCCACCGGTATCGAGTCTTGGAACTGCGGGCCACGATATCCAGCTCTGTCTCGTCTCTGCCTCGGAGCAGCCCCGCAGGACGGCATGTGAGTCCCCTGAGCGAAGACGAATTTCCGGCGCGGAAGAAACCAACGATCCTGCCCCGGCTCTTCCTAGACAGCAGCAGCAGCAGCAGCAGTAGCAGTAGCAGCAAGTCATTCCGTGGCAGCGGGGTCGAGAGCCTACCGGACCGATACTGCGTGTCCCCGTCGAGCCCTAGTCCCTGCCAGAACAACACGTTCACCCCCGTGAACACTCCACGCAGCACCGAGACAGCCCCATCCTCTGTGCCCTCGCCGGGGGCTGTGCTGGCCTCTGTCTCAGACATGAGCATGTCGGGGCAGATGGACAGCGAGGAAGAAGACGAGGAAGAAGAGGGGTGCGCCTCGGACACCGACTCGACACGGTACTCGGAGCTGACGGGTACGCCGAGCGAGTGTATGTCAGTGACTGGACCTGAAGATGGCGACGAGGGAGAGCATGCGCTCGGCGCGGCAGGGACGACGAAGCTGTTTGTCAAGGAGGTCAAGGCGGCGCATGCACTGCTGAGTCTGCACATGCAGCATGCGAGTGGGAGTGGGAGTGGGAGTGAGAGTGCCGTGGAGTCGACGGGGTCGGGGCGCAAGAGACGGCGGGTGTCAATTTAGTAGTCCTATTTTATCAATGTCCTACATATCTATTATTCTATCTCTCTATTCTATCCATCTATCTCTCTAAGTACTATGTATATGTAGTCTCTAAGCTGCCAACTGTTTCTCCTTCCTTGCAAACTTGGACAGGCCCCGAATAACCTCTCCATAGCGATAGAAGACATAAGGAAGGGGTGTCATCACGGCACTGATACAAGCCAGGATAGTCAGGGTGTGATGCACGCCCAGGTTGGTGTAGAAGGGCACACCGGCGACGGTCATCCCGCCGGCAACCGAGTAGCGCGAGACAGTCATGAAGCCCAGGGCGGAGGCGGCGTAGATGTCGTACGTGTCGATGACGTACATGTACGAGCTTATAAACACCATCACGGTGCCGAAGCCGAAGAAGGCAGATGCTATGATGGGAGACCAGATGGATACATTTGCCTAGGAGAGTTAGTATATTATATTTTGCGGAAGTTTTATCAGGGGAAAAAACGGTAAGAAAGAATGTACCCAGTCAGTCCAGCCCATCCAGAATAAAGCGATGGGAATACATGGGGCGCCGAACATGGCGAACCACAGTCTGTTCTCTGGTCTGGTGTGGACGTGGTCAAAGACATGACTGCCGGGTTGTTCGGTCGCTGCAGGGTCTCCTTCCCCCGTGGTTGCACGAACAGCCAGAAACTCGGCCTTGGTCCACTTGTAGATCAGGGGGATCAGGGTGCCGCCCAAGAGGATGCCGAGGTACATGGCTACCCAGACGACATTGGTAAGACCCTGCGAGAGATGGTGCACGTCGGTAAAGATGAAGGTGTAGCCGTCAAAGAAAGTAAAGAGCACGATATAGATGACGGTCATGTACAGGGCGATGAGGAGGATGATGGGTTCATGGACGGTGAGCCGGAACTGGCGGTCCAGCGCACCCCAGATGCGCGGTAGCAGGTCCGCATGCTGCATGTCCATGGGGGAATGGTATCGAGAATCCCCCGTTACGGTGCGCAGATGTTTCGCCTTCCATCGCAGCAGGAGAGGCGAATACGTCTCCGGTTGGAAGAGGAGGATCAGGGCAAGGATCAGCCCGGACATGATGAGGATGATCCAGTCGGTCCAGCGCCAGGAAAGCACCTTCCCACCCATATACGAGGCGATGACGGGGGCCAGGACGGGCCCCCCAAAGGACACGATCGAGTATAGCGGGAAGGCAAACGTCTTCTCTAGGGGGGACCATAGATCGGCCACCGTACCGCCGGCACAGGTCAACGGCGGACAGCCAAAGACGCCCGCCAGGAACCGACATGCCAGCTGGGCGCCGATGTTGGGCGCCAGACCGGACGCCATGACGAAGAGCATGAAGATGACCAGCGAGCCGGAGTAGACTGCGTTACGGCCGAGGATCTCAGACAGGGGGCCGGAAACAAGCGAGCCGGTCGCGAAGCCGAGGAGATAGATTCCTACAACTATTAACGTTCATCTTTATTACTTCATTTTGGTTGCATACCCGTCGTTAACGATCCCACAACATCACTGACGTGATACGCCGCGTCGGTCTGCGGCACCACAGCAGAGGAAATGGACGAGGCCGCCGTAACAACAAAGGCCATCGCCGTGACAATCAAGGTGGCCGCCAGTCGACGCGCGAGGCCATAGTTGCGCGGGTTCAGCGGATCGTTCTCGTCCTCCCAGCCGACGATGAGCAGCTGGCCGTCATCCGATGGACGCACGCCAGGAAGAATGGCAGAAGGAGAAGAAGGAGAAGAAGGAGGAGGAGGAGGAGGAGGAAAAGTAGAGCCTGAGGCAGGAATCTCGCCATTCCTAGTCGAGTTGATCGGCTCGACCTGCCGTCGGACGGACTGTTGGATCCGACGGTACTGGAGGTACGACTGCATGGTCTGGAGAGGTGAAAGAAATCATTCATACAACGACAGAGGGAGCCAAATAGACAGTCACTTAATTAATGAATTCTTTTTTTGCATGCTTAATAATACAAAATCTGCAATCCACAATGATATCAGTAGCCAGTGAGTGAGTCGTGACTCGTAAGTACAACTACCAAATCGTCCCGTCGGATAGGATGGGCCCGATGGGGGCGGGATCGGAACAAATGCCGATGACTCGTAGTCCGTATAAGTGCCCAGTATCATCAAGTATCGGAGTCAGTAGTATTTAGAGGGCGGTTTCGTAAGCAGTGTTTCAATAATAATGGAGGTCGCAATTCGATCTTAATCCCAATATGCATCACTCGGTTTTAGGGTTAGGGTTAAGGTAAGTAGTCTGGCGAGGACGAGGCAATAATAGTATCTCTCTCTTATTCTTATAGTAATATCTAGCCAAGCTTTACTACTACTACTACTACTACTACTACTACTACGCTGGCAACTTAAACAGAATAGGAATAGAATAGATAATACTAATTACAGAGCACCTGACCCGAAAAGAAAGAAAAAAAGATGGGAGAACAGTCTGGAATCACTCGTCATCGGAGAAATCATCGCCCGAATCTGCATCCTCATCGTCGTCCTCGTCCGGATCGCTCTCCACCACATACTTCTTCCGTGCCACGGTCGCCGTGCGTCGGGCAGGCCGGGCGGCTGGCTTTCGCGTCGCAGCAGCGGCCGGTCGAATATCCTCCTCGTCATCATCCGACACACCGGCGCCAGGCCCCGCCCCCGGAGAGTCCAGAATGTCGTTCGCCATCGCGTCAATGTCGTCGTCCGACAGATCGTCCACGATCTTCTTCTTAGTGTTCTTAGCCTGCTTCGACGCATAAGCCTTGGCCGCAGGAGACAGGGCAGTCGCCTTGGTAGCCTTCGCCGTGGTCGTGGTGGCTGCCGATGCGTCCTTCTTGGGCCGGCCGCGAGGTTTCGCCGCCGTGGTGGTGGTGGTCGCCTTGGCCTTTGGTCCCGGCTTGGCCTTGGCGGCCGGCTTTGCGGGCGCCTTGACCTCTTCCTGGTCGATGTCCATGGCATCCTCCTCGTCTGCGACCTTGGCCTCCTTGGACTTGACCTGCAACGACCGGCGAGGCGAGTTCTGCGGCACCAGCTTGCTGTAGTCGGTCTCGTCGGGATCAAAGTCACTGTTCAGCTTGGATGGCCTCGCCGATGTGGTTTTGATACCGGCACTGCTGCTGGCACGCGGTCGCTCCGAGAAAAGCAGTCGGGAATCCGAGGTCGGGTCTGCGCCGCCTCCCCCAATACCCTTCACCATCTTGCTGACATCGCCAAGCAAGTCATCGCCGTTATCGCTATCTGAATCGCTCGTCGCAGCGTACTTGACGGGTTTCTGTGCGGCTATGCGGCCGGTTTGCTTGGACGGCCGGGAAGTCGAAGGTTCCTGGGCGATTGCTAGGAAGTCATCGTCGTCCTCATCGTCGTCTTCTTCTTCCTCCTCTTCCTCCTCCTTGTCCTTGGTAGCGGAGGCAGCTTTAGCCAACGACCTGGCGGCCGAAGTCTTGGCGGTCTTCTTCGGAAGAATCTCAATATCAGAGTCGTCATCTACTGCGACCTCCTCCTTCTTGACCTTGGAAGCAGCAGCCTTGGCAGGTGCCTTTTGTGGGCCTCGACTCTTCTTGGGAAGTATCTCTTCAACCTCAAAATCATCGTCTCCTTCGGACTTGGGTTCGGCCTTGGGCTCGGCCTTGGGCTTGGCTGCTCCTCGGCTCTTCTTGGGGAGAACTTCAGCTACAAAGTCGTCATCCGAATCATCCACACCATCCGCTGGCTTCTTCTTGCCCAAGAAGTCCATCAACCCACCCTTGGGTTCGGCTTTCTTGGTAGCGGCTTTCTTGGTCTTCGGGGCCCCAAAGTCCTCATCGTCCGGGTCATCGCCCAGTGCAGCCTTGCGCTTGCGGGCTGCGGGGGCACGTCCGTTGCCGGTCATGAGCTTCAGCGACTGCCGGCGGCCCATCCCGGCCACCTTGCGCTGGCGACGGTCCTCGTCGGCCAACTGGAATCTCCATTCATTGATGAAATCCTCTAGGTCCTTCTTCCAGATGTCCTCCTTTGAGAGCTTGATCAGGACGTCGATTTCCATCTCTTTATCGCCGATCTGGCGAAGCAGTTTCTCGACCCGTTCTTGAGTCAAAGACCACAGAGGCATTCCCAAGAGGTAATCGTAGGCATTCGATAGGGCCTCCGAGTTGTCCGACGGATCCTCTTCTTCCTCGACAACCGGATGGTCCTCGCCGGCCTTGACAGCGTCGGCCACCTTGGGGAAGGCCTTGAATCCCTTGTCCTTCAGCTCGGCAACAAGGACGGACTTCTTCTTCTTCGAAATGATCAACTTATTATCGATGATCATCTGAACAAACCGGGCCTGATTGGTAAGCTTGTCCAAGGCCTTTTGCATCTCAGACAGTTGGTGTTGCTGCGAGACATTTTGGTCAGTACAAGTCAATATTCATGTTTTTTTTTCTTCCCTCACAAAGTAAAACATACCTTGCGCTTCTCGTAAAACTTCAAGCGGACGTGGAAGAATTCCTTCAAGATGTCTTCCACTGAGGCATACTTGGTGATACGGCCCTCCGGGTCGAAGGCAACGAGGTTACTCGTGGCGACTGTCCTGGAAAGTTTGAATTTCTCCATCAGACCTTCCTTCAGGGCCGCCTGCATGTGTTTCTCATCCATCTGGATGACAAAGTGCACTTTGGTGTGGTTGTTGTAGTCCTTGTAATCCTTGATGAAGGAGGGCACCTTTTCGGCCTTGATGATATCTTCGAGCTTGTCCTTGAAGTCCTGAGTCCACATGCGGATCGGAAGTTCGGTGATCTCAACCTCCTTCTCCCCGGTCTCTCTAATGATACCGCTGAATCGGTAGCGGTCGGGGGCGATGGCAGTGACTTCGCCGGTGAAGCCGCGGAACCAAGGCTGCATGGGCTTGAGTTCGCTACCCTCCATCATGCGGATCAAGTTCTCAACGATATCTTCAGGATTGTAGTTGGGAATCGATGAACTCCATCCGGTACCGATACCATCCGCCCCGTTGATTAGAATCATCGGGACCACAGGCATGTAGACTTCCGGTTCAATCTTCTCGCCATCATCTTCGTTGTAGGTGAGAAGAGGTTCATCCGCCACATTAAACACACGACGGGCAAAGGGGGAAAGACGCGTGTAGATGTAACGAGCACTAGCACAATCCGATCCACCCTGAAGACGACTACCAAAGTTACCACTGGGTTCTAGGGTATTGATGTTATTGGATCCCACAAAGGTCTGGGCCAGGCCGACAATCGTTTGCTGCAAGGACGTATCGCCGTGTTGGTACGCAGTCATACCAGACACATGACCCGCCAGCTCAACCACCTTCATATCCTTCTTAAGGTTGCGGCGGAAACAGGTGTACAGCACTTTGCGCTGACCGGGTTTGAGGCCGTCAACCACTGATGGGATAGAACGAATGTTATCCGCCATACTGAACAGGATGAGTTCCTTGTTGATAAAGTCCGTGTAGGTGATCTTCTTGGTGGTGTGGTCAAGGAACGTGCCAGGTTTGAATTGACGCAGCCACTCCTTGCGCTCGTCTGCTTTCTTCTTGGAGAAGGCCAAGTCGATCAGCTCGGCTTCGTTTTCCTGCATTGTGTGGAACTCCTTCAAGTGGCGGTCCAAGTCGCGGAAGTAAATCTGGGCATCTTCGGTGGTGCTGGTACCCAAACCCTTGTAATACTTGTGCTCCCATCCGCGCTCATTCTTATGGGCCTCCTTCCAGGCTTCATACTCGGGCATCGTGAAGAAGGACTGGCTCTTGCTGGGATTCTTGGGGTCGCCCTTCCACACCTTGATGATCGGGGTGATGAACTCGATCAGGAACTCGGGAATCTTGAGCAGACTGGGAAATTGGGTCTGGAGAAAGTTGATGAGCAAGCCTTTGATATGACTGCCGTCGTGATCCTGATCGGTCATGATCATCAGGTGGCCATATCGCAGACCGCGGGTTTCCGTGTACTCCTTCTTATGCTGGAGACCGATGAAATTCTTGATATTCTGGATTTCCTGGTTCTTGGCAATCTGCTCAAAGGAAGCGTCACGAACGTTGAGAAGCTTTCCCCGCAGGGGGAACACACCGAAGAGGTCAGGACCCACGACAGCTCGACCGGCCATGGCCAGACCCATGGCTGAGTCACCTTCAGTGAGAATGAGGGTACAGTGATGACCGTCCTTGGTGCCGGCCTTGTTGGCATCTGTGAGCTTGGGGTTATTCATGCGGGTGCGTCGGCCACCGTCGGTCTTTTTCAGCATCTGATCGGCCTTCTGCTGGGCGAAGTGCAGGATATTCGACATGACCTCGGTTTTGAGGATCTTCTTGTAAAAGTCCTCTTCCAGCACGCACTTGCTACCAAACTGGCTCTGCTTGGTCGTCAGCTGCTCCTTGGTCTGGGAATTGAAGGCCGGGTTGACGATAAGGGCGTTGACGAAGACGAAGATATGATTCCGGATCTGGGCAGGCTTCAGCGTGGCGCCGTTCTTGTTCTTCTTCTTTACTTTGTCGGCTAGCATGTTGCAAATCTGATCGGCGATGTAGTTGACATGGGTACCACCGGAGGTGGTGGCAATGGAGTTGACAAACGACACCTGCTGGAAGGAGCCGTCGGAAACAGCAAAACCAATCTCCCAACGGGGATCTGGCTTGCAAGTGATAATGTCTTCCTTGCCGATAGCTTTGGTGTACATCTCCATGTACTTCTTGAAGCTGCGAACGGGAACACGACTACCGTTCAGTTTGACGGCAACGCTGGACGTTCCCGCCAAATCATACACACGACGCTTGACGAGCGCCTCAAAGTCGTCATCTATGCCCTCCATGCCGAATCTGGCAAAATCCGGCTTGAAGGTGACCTTTGTATAATCTTCCCCCTTGGAGACATCGGTGATCTTGGCCTTGCCCACCTTGCTCATATTATCCGACCATGTCTGCTTATACTTTTTCTTCTGACGCGAATCCTGAGTCTCGATAGTGAATTCGGTAGAGAAGACGTTACAGAGCTTCGCACCGAAACCGTTGCGACCACCCGTGACTTTCTCTTTGGTATCGTCGTAGTTGGAGGATGTGAGGAGATGGCCGAAGATGAGCTCCGGAACGTAGATCTTCTCTTTCTGTTCTTGTCATTAGCCGGCGCGAAACAAACGAGTAGACAGGTGGCGAGGACCTACCGAGTGAATCTCCACAGGAATCCCGCGGCCATTGTTCCACACGCTGATTTCACCCAGCTCACGGCTAATGGTGATCCTGATTTCGTCCATTTTTGCATCGTTCTGCTTGTTATCGGCGGCGTTGACGAGGATTTCGTCAAAGATCTTGTAGAGACCGGGGACAAAGGAGACTTCACGGTTCTCCATCAACTCGGTGGTGGAGTTGTAAACCCACATCAGCTGGGTGGTGCGTTCGATGGAGCCAATATATGTATCCGGACGTTTGATGATGTGTTCAAGTTGGGTGAGCTATCGTTACGAGTTAGCCGACAACGCAGACAGCCGCGAACCAGCTGTTAGGAGCACCCTACCTTCTGGTACTTGTCTGACGCCTTGCCCGTACCAGCCTCCTCCGTGCCGTCCACGCCGAAAGACTCGTTTTCGACGTCAGCGAGAGGCTTCGACCCCGCTTTCTTGGGCGCGGCAGTCCCCTTCGTTTTCTTCGGAGGGGTGCTAGACATAACCGAGTCTCCATCGGACATCATGTCGACATCCGAGTCCTGTTCATCTTCACTGTCCATCTTGGCCTTCTTCTTCGCAGCAGGCTTTGCCGCGGGCTTTGTCTTCAAAGTCGTCTGGGTCAGTTTCTTGGGGGCAGCAGCCTTCTTGGTGGTCTTGGCCTTGGCCTTCGGTTTCTAGTGAGACACAAACTTATCAGCAAGGAGGACGGACATCCCCAAAAAGAAAACCCCTCCCTCAAGAGTCTCTCTCCTACATACTGGCGCAACATCAGGGACAAAGTCCGAGCCATCGTCGTCAAAGATCGAGTCGTCGTCCATGGTGCTCGAAGCGGTGGCGAGCAGCGCGGTCCAAACTACCTAGGTAGGAGAGAGAAAGGGAAAAGGAAAGGAAGGAAAACGAAGAAAAGGCGACAGCAACAAGGCAAACGTGTAAAGAGCGACAGCAGTGTTAGATACTCGAGAGGTTGGCTACCGCCTAAAGAGCCAAAGCCACGCCTCCTGAATGAAGAGCGAGGGGAGAGCGAAAGACAGTCGGCGGCTTCTCTTTTTGTCTTTGTTGATGTCGTCGCGCGCGCTCAAAACTCGTGGTTGCGCCCAAAGAGGACTAGCCCCGGAACAACTGTTGATACGGAGCCCCGCATGGCCGGAATAGGAAATCTCCAAACAAAGCGTTGCCGAAAATAACTCAAGGCAGGAACAGGAACGACAAAGAAAGGGATTAAAGAGATGATTGGGAGTTGACCAGCGCTGAGTCTAGAGTTATTAGAGAGGAAGGTTAAGAATATTGAACATTCAATTAGAGCAACACCTCAATGTATAACCACCCAGTCAGCAAGGAAGAGAATGCCTCGAGAATACTGGCTCGATTGCCCATTAACTACTCTGCAATGAGAATATTACAGTTGTAAGACTAAATCAACTGAACAAGGAGGGAAGGACAGTGAGTAGAAGAAGGTGTCAAGACCTCGCCACTGAGACGACTGGAAAGAGACAACCGGGTACTCCCTCATGTTAGCCACCTGGGAGTCAAACTCCATGCTGTCATACCAAGAGCTTCAAAAAAGCTACAGACAGAAGAAGTCTCACTAGGCACAGCCACTATCATCATTAGTATATCTTGCCTATAACTAGTTGGGAAGGTCGTGGGGACCGGTTATTTCCAGGTCACTCGTGGAGAAAGACCTCAGATCTCATAGTCGACCTGATTTTATGGCTTTCTGTCGGATTGTGGTACCTCTTGCTGTCACTGAAGCAGACCATGGTATTGGAGTCAAAGCGAAGCAAGACTGTTTAGTATGTTCTAGGTAGTTATCGTTCACTGGTAGAACGCCGGCAGTAAAGAGCAAGATCAGAGTGTATAAAAGGTGAGACATGTCAGGAAGGGTGCTAAGATCCCTGGGCGAAACAGTCTCATTATCTCCTTCCATTCACTTTCCAACAACGAGACCGGGGGCTGATCATGGGGATTGCTGGTAGATCTGCGTTGACCGAAGGCTCGATGATAAGGAAACTACGGAGTATCAGAACCCATGTGAGAGCCAAAACCAGCACTCCATATTATATGCACTCGGTATCAAACTATACCAATACTCCTAGAAGCATGCGATGATCGAGTGGGGAAGCATCCCGATCAAGGTCGGCAGATCGACGAGGTGGAGAAGATGCAAGTGATGAACAGCAAGTTAGCAACGAATAAACCGGAGGACGAATATTATGTGATCCATCATCAGTGACAGAGCACATTATTTACGCAAGGAGCGCTGTCATCACCGCCCCTTGGAGTTTCTTTGTTTTGATCTCCATCAACTTGGTATCCGTTCTGTTACCACGAACAGAACATTCTCGGTCTCCTTCGGGCTTGATATGCTGATAGGCCGAAAGACTGATAGACTAACTGATAGGACCGATAGGCAGGATTCTGCTCATGGTCTCGAATCTCTCGATATGTCTGCTGAGAAAGCCAATACTCTGTATACGACTGACTGGGCAGTCAGCTAGAATCCACGGTCTCCAACTTGCCTTCCAGATTGTTTTAGGAGTTCTGTTATAACGGCACCATCAACAAATCATCACCCAGAGATGATGAACTCAGTCCATTCAGTCCTCAGTAATTACTGCGTGCTCTAGAAATCAGCCCTGTTTCAAGTGGAGCAAGTGTTCGGAACAGCGGCGAGGACAAACCCAATCAAAAGACACGGCATTCCAATGCTGATTCGCAGGCCTGCCGCCACTTCAAGGGGCGCTCTCCCAAACGCTGGCTTCGGACCTGGGTGGCTTCTGGTTTCGCACCAGAACTGGCGGCGGAGTCGAATGGTGTCGCCGTGTCTGGGATGCGTAATAGTCGACAAACCTAATCCACGCGCCAAGGACCTAAACTTGCGATTTCTCTAGTCCAGAGCCACTGGCTTCAGACAGGCACTTTTCCAGACCCGCCAGGCGATCTCAAGAAGCCATCTTTGTTGTACCGACTGATCGAGCGTAGAACTAGTAGTTCCCCAGTTGCTGCTGTAGACAAGGAACATCTCTGCCTCAAACGCACTTCTGGATACTTCCTCACACATGTCATCGACACCGTGCACCTGCAGACACCTGCAAATTAACGTTGTGGGGATAGACGGGCCCATCCATCGGAAGCAAGGGGGTTTTTCCATGGAACGGTGTTGTCTCGTTGAGGAGGGTAAAGGAGGGGGAAACGGGCACCCAGCAAGAGTCAGCTACTAGTATTCAGGCTCAATAAAACAGCAGAGCAGAGTATACTCCGTATAGTAAGAAACTTATCAGAATATTCTTTTCCTTCTCTCAGGAGTCGGTGTGATTGACAGGAACAGGCTAAGGTGGGATCGACGCGGCGAGACTGGCCGAGGGGAAGGAGACAAGCCCCTGTGGATAGGGAGTGTCCCTGAAACACACTTCTGCTCCTGGCCCTCCCTCTCTCCCCCTCTCTGTGCTCCAGCTGTGAGAAAGAGTTCTTATCGACGGAGAACGAAGGCGTCGCTGGCGGCTGCTTACTCGTGTCTGATCTTTCGGGTTGGTTTTCTGCTGCTGTTGTTTTTTTTTTATCGTTTTCATGTCGACGCCCGCTTACCAAAACAACCGCCCACCGCCACGCAGATTCCTCTGATCGCCAATGCCCACGAAGAACCTCGTCCGTTGAAGAGATTTGTTTGAATTTTCTGAGTCCCTCGTGTCCCTCGCTAGTAGTCATGGAGACTGCAGAAACACCTTCGCCCGGCTTTCCGTCCGACCCCGTGCATAAACCGACCGACTCGATGGTGACCGTCTCGTTGTCCGATACCATGTCGAATCCCGAGCCTGTAGAGGCCAATTGGGCATATCTGAATAGTCCACGCACGCCGGTCGAAGCAGCGAGTCCGGTGGAGATTACAGAGAGATCGGAAGAACAATACCATTCCACACCGAGGAGCAGTCAGATGATGCAGACAGTAAGAGCAGAGGGCTCTTACGTCAACTCGCGGGACAGCAACGCAGGCTCCGGGGGGGAAGATGGTTTGTCGGATCAGGAGAATGACTGGGAATCGCTTGACAGAACAGAGGAGCAGGAGCCGCGCAATGGAGGGTCGGATGAGGTGCGTCAGGACTTGTCCGAACTGGGAAGCATAAACATTTCTACAGCGACTGACTGGCTACTTTCTTTCTAGTCAACTGCTCTACTTCTAGCACGTCTTGAGCAGGAAAACGATGCTCTGGCCACGAACCCAAAATCGGGGCTGTCGAGAAGCCCCAGTGCTCACCGAGAGTCCCGTGCCAAATCCCTCCACCACATCCAACGCTTGATCAACGAACCCACTCGTTCTTCTCTACGCTACTCCCAGCTTCCAACACCCGCGATGACCGAGCTCGAGTTCTGGGCGGCCCTCGTGTCGGACTATCCGCAGACCGCGCAGCGATTGCCTACGCTGACAACGAACAAGATCCGAGCCGGAGTTCCCCCTCCACTGCGAGGAGTGGTGTGGCCAAGCTTGGCTGGTGCACGCGACATGCACCTCCTAGCTGAGTTCCAGAGACTCTGCAATGAGACGAGCCCCTACGAAGGTCTCATCGGCAAAGATATCGGCCGCAGCTTCCCCAACGTCGAGATGTTCAGAGACCCCAATGGCGAAGGCCAACAAATGCTGGCTCGAGTGCTGAGAAGCTTTAGCTTACACGACACCAAGATCGGATATTGCCAAGGCTTGGGCTTTGTTGTGGGACCTCTGCTCATGCATATGACCGACGCCGAGGCATTCTGCGTTCTAGTCCGGTAGGTGACCCGGCGCGTGCAAGAGGACTAAAGAGGGAATGTACTAACTCTTCTTTAATTCAGCCTCATGGAGCAGTACGCACTTCGGGATTGCTATCTTCCTGATCTTTCCGGCCTTCACCTCCGTATATACCAGTTCCAGAACCTCCTCGCCCGCCACCGCCCGGCTTTGTTCGCTCACCTAGAGTCTTTGCATGTCGAGCCGATCTACGTCTCGCAATGGTTCCTCTCCTTCTTCGCCGTCACCTGTCCGTTGCCTATGCTCCTTCGAATCTACGATGTCATTTTCCTCGAAGGGGCTTGTGAAACACTGATGCGAGTGGCACTTTCGTTGATGCAGCGCAACGAGAAGAAGATTCTCGCTTGTACCGAGTTCGAAGACGCAATGCAACTTCTACTGTCTAGGAGTTTATGGGATACGTAAGTTGTTCACCACGACCAAAACTGGGTCCCGACTAACAGCTGTTGAAACAAAAAAGATATACTTGCCATGCAGACGATCTTGTAGAGGACTTTGTGTCGTTAACTTCGCTTGTCACCAAAGAAAGCCTTCAGGCCCTCGAAATGAGCTATAACCAGTCGCAAGGAGTCACTGCGGGGATTTCTTTCCCTCAGATGCAAGCCGCTGCTTCACGATTCCTCGGCCGACTATGGGCGGGTTCCTCCCACAACTCCGTCCGATCGAGTGCTCTCAACCCAGGTCAAAGCAATGCGTCGCGGCCAGTCAGCACCATCCGACGCTCAACATCCAAGCAAAGCATGACTTCAACTCTAAATTCAGTTGAATCCGCCTCTGACGCCAGCACCGCACCGACGGAGCTGTCCGTCTCCAACGACATGCAGAAGCCGCGTGCAAAATCCGCCATGTCCCATAACAAGGATCGTGATCTACATACTCAGATCGAAGATCTCCTTATGGCACTAAGTGACTTGCAGCGTCAGCATGCCGATATCACACGTGAGTTACAACAGGAGCGGGAAGAACGCGAAGAGGATCAAAATGCGGCAAAGGCAATGCTGGAGTACATCAAGGGGCTGGAAGATCCCCCTACCGATCTCCTCGCGAAGGCAGAGGACCGGTTTGGCACTCTACGATCAAAACGGACCTCGATCATTCAGACGAAGCATCAGCTCCGCGACGACGTGAACAAGTTGAAGGAGATGCGGGATGTGGAGGCCGCGCGGTGTCTCGGTCTCACCCGACAGCTTGACGAGCGAGAACAAGACAACGCCCGACTACGAGACCAGCTTCGCGAGGCCAGAACTCGGATCCAGGATGGGTACCGCGACCGCCAGCGTCTGGAGCGGACCATCCTCGATCTCCGGGCCATCAAGACACCGTCCGACTCCCCGCCGGATATCACATACTCGCCCTCGAGTGAGGACAGCTATACCTCGTCCGGCCTGCGCGAACTCAAGCTTGTCCGCACCAACTCGCAGAATAGCATCAGTAGCGGGCACAACACAGCCCGGGGATCCTTCAACAAGCGGACGAGCAGTCTCGGCCTCCAGTCGGTCCTCGCAACGGAGAACAACAAACCTGCTGCGGAGGAATCCTTGCTCCTCGAACTCGTCCACTCGAAGACGGCCGAAGCCGTTGCCAAGCAAGAACTGGAAGAAGTCAAGGCCAAGCTGGATGCTCTGCGCAAACTCGTCTCGGGCTCTGGCAAGGGATCGCCACTCCTCCAAGGCCGCAATTCCCTCAATCTCTCGGCTTCGATACCCAACGGCTTATCCAAAGCCAGTACGGAGCCTGCCGGGTCCAGCAGTGGCGGCGGGGGCTTCTTCAGCGGATGGGGACGACGTGCCGCATCAACGAGCGGAGACAGCTATTCCGACACGAAGTAGTGTCTCTTTGTTCTTTTTTTTTTTTTTTTTTTTTTTTTTCTAATCCTGTACTCTTCTTCCTTTGCCTCTCCTGTTTACAGATATACATACTTTGTTAGAGGTGCACATATATCTTTACCCTCATGATTTTTTAATGGCGCTGTTACAGAATATGATACCTATTGTTTGGTTTAATTGGTGTGTACATACTTGAATTGAATTCTCCGGAGATGTCTGGGTCTAGGTACGGTAGTAAATATATGGCTAGGGTCACAATATATATCCATACACCCTCGTGTTCAAGGAAGATACAATACTATCTATTCTATATTTTTATAAATACCCCATACAACTCATATCGTCTGCTGATCAGTATAAATCATGAAATATTATTGCAATAACTTTAATATTCTATGCAGAAGGTGATCAACATTTCCATATGGAGTGCAGAGTGATGACCACGAAGTGATTACTGATGGCTTATATTTTCAAAAACCGAGCAAAACAACATCTAAGACACTATGGCCGAGTGGTCTAAGGCGGCAGATTAGAAATCTGTTCTCTTCGGAGGCGTAGGTTCGAGTCCTACTGGTGTCGTTTCTTTTTTTTTTTTCCCCATCACTTATATGGCCCAGTCCAAAGCTGAGGATTGAACATATTTTTATTAGGTTTGCTAGTAACTACAGTATATCGCGTATTTGAAATGTACCCTAGAACACCAAAATGTTGGAAGATGAACAGTTACAGTAAAGTGTATGGCAAGGACCAGTACACTCATAAAAATCTACCTCCCCGTCTCCGTCTCCAACTGGGGCTCCCTGCCCGTCAAATCCCCCGCTCCTAGCTTCTGTTTGACCTTGCGCAAGGCAAACTTGGTCTCATCCTTGACGAAGAGCGCGTTGCGGGCCGGTTTCCACTGTAACAGGCCGCGCTGCTGTCGCTGCTCGCTGCGTCGGTTTGCCTTGTTACCATTCGAGGACTTGCTGGACCCTGCTTCTGCCGTGGTGGAGACGGGGGAGACAGGGCTGGACTGTGTAGTAAGTGAACGTTGCTCGGAGGAAGCATTGGTAGTAGTGTTGGTATCGGGGTTGGTATTACTGTTGGTGTTGCTGCTGCTGCTTGAAGTAGAACTAGGCGTCGAACTCCTATCATCCTGAATGTTCGGATCCCGTGCAGAATTATCGTCAGTATAAACCTTTGGATCATGACCAAAAGCACCGCTCCAGTCTTGGCCCTCGTGGTCGATCCAGCGCCGCCGCTCAGTCGGACTAAGTTGCTTGAGGACGTCGCGGCCCTCGACGAGAGACCGTGCGTGCAGCGCCGCCGTCTCCTCGGGCACCTCGAGCTCGATGCTCCGCGGCCGCACCCCCTCCGCGATACAGGCCTCCCACGTTTCGAACGTCTCGCGCGAGTTGTTGTCGACGACAAACCGTTCGTGCGACTCGTCGATACCCGGCGTGAACATCCCGCGCAGTCGTAGGCGTCCGACTTCCTGCAGATCTTCGAGGCCGGGAACTCTCTTGGCCTGCCAGTTCTCCTCTGTGATGTAGTTCTGCGTCAGGCGGCTGCCGTTGCGGGCCGTCCAGATCGGCAGGTCGAGTGCGGTGTCTTCGTTGTCCACCAAATGCTGCAGCCAGAGCACCGCGTACGCCGCTGCCCCGTGTTTTCCTTGGGTGTGGAACTCGAACACGATCGGTGATCGGTACCGGTGCTTCACGGGGAGACGGATGCTGTCCCGGAATGACTCGTCGGATAGATCATAAACGGCTCCATTGTTTTCATTGCTGATGGCGCCATCACCGTTCATGTTACCTTCTTCGCCATTGTTGAGCTTGCACATCGACCGAGGAATCTTGCCACTACTGCCCCCCGTACGCAGCCGGATCTTAGCCCGGTAGGCGTACCCAGGTGTACTGATCGTTTCCGAGGTAAACTTGAAAGTCCCGACGTCCCAGCCTAGCATCCGTGGCGGGAGCTTGGTCTCGACGTGCCGGAAGAGCAGCGAGATGCGGATCCGGCCGAACCCGATCCCCCCGTCGAGAGGGTACCACCGGGTCACCTGCGAGCTGGTCTGGAAGATCTCAGACAGTTTCAGTGGCACGACGCCTAGGATGGGGTCGTGTTCGCGGTATCGCTGGTCACGGACAGTGACCACCACAATGGCCGATCGCCAGTCGCGGACGAACCGCTCGGTGCCTGCATTGAAGATTGGTTTGGAGCTGACGGCTTTGGGTCGAGTTTTGTAGACCTATCATTATTAGTGTATAGAGAGATAGAGAGAGAGAGAGAGAGAGAGAGAGAGAGAGAGAGAGAGATACCAATTCATCGTTGAGAATAATCTTGCAGTAGCTGGTTGGAAGGGACTCGCCCTGCTCTTCTGTGTTTTCGCCATAGGACTTTGCAGGTTCGTACTCGCGGCCCTTGCGGTTGCCCTCACTGCCCTTGATATTGGCAAGCTGCAGGTTAACGATCTGGTGGACGACGACGTTGAGAATGCCGCTGGGCCACAGGGGATCCGGGGGCGTGTGGGTGATGGCATCCTCCTCCTCGTTGGTGATGACACCCTTTTCGTCCTCAAAGGCCGGGTTGCCCTTGAGCGTCTCGGGGAGACTCTTGTCCTGGCCGTCGGTTCGCAGGCCCGGGCGGAGCTTGGGCTTGCCGAAGAAGCCGACCTCCCAGTGCAGCTCGCCGGGCATCTCGCTGCCTTCGTCCAGACCCTGCAGCCTCGAGATCTGGGGGTACATCTTGCCCGGGTGGTCGAGCATCGCGCGGATGGGCAGTTCAATCTTGCCTACAATGTCGTCGGCTGTGTGGCGGTCCGAGTCCCAGAGCTCAACGCTGAGGTTCTCGTTCGCCTTGATCAGGTCCGGGGTCACCAGCAGCGCCGCCGTCTCCTCCCACACCGGGTTGAGGTCGTCTGTGATGACGCGCGTGCAGTACATGGGTTTGCCGTACTTGGAGAACGACAGGTTGATGTACGGGTCGCTGCCGCCGCCTTCGCTGCCGCGCTTGTCCTGTTTGCTGAGACCGATGGCCCGGTGGATGCGTATCCACATGATCCCCAGCGCCTGGGTCTCCTTGAGGATGTCGTCGCCCTTGAGCATCATGCCCAGATCCATCGTCATGGATTTCGGGGCCGCGAACATAGCGCAAGCCGTGCGGATGGCGTAGTTGACAAAGTTCGAAATCAGCGGCAGGTTCAGGATGTTCACCCCACGCTTGATCATGGGGATGCACCCGGCACGCACATGTGGGATGCCTACCAGGCTGAATGTCACTTCCTTCATGAAGGGCGCCTCGGGCATCATCTGGAAACGCAGGCGTACAGTACCCACCAGCTCCGACAGCTCGACAAACACGGGGAAGGGCACGCCAAAGACACCCTTGATCCCAAGGTAGAAGACCAGATGCATGTGCATGTTACGCGCCTTGGACGAGGCGCTGAGGCCGCTTGGTTTCGCATGGTACGCAAACGAGGCCTCCATGTTGTAGTAGCTTCCGCCTTCTTCGATGGCTGCCGCCTCCTGAGGGTCTTTCTTCTCATGGTTCTCTCGGTGGATATTGTCCTTGAGCTGTTGGACATGGCTATCTGGCAGAGCACGCATACTCAAGATCCGTAGAGGGTTGCTTCCTTGATCTATCTCGGCGATACGGACGTTCTCAATCACCCCGGGGGCAGAGGCCTGCATGATGTCTTCGATCGTGTCGGCGACTGGGGTCAGCATCTCGGGATTGACGAGTCCCCATACCACACCGAGGAAGGTATTCATCCATTCGACGGATTCGGGAAGGAGGTTTGCAGTAGCCTATAAATAGAACACATTAGAATACACGATGAAGAATGACTCCCTCAAAAGAAGAGAAAAAAAAAACCCACCGTTTCTCCACGCAGTTGCTCGCTACTCCACTCCATTTCACGTCCACTGCGAATGAGCTCCTGCATCCAGAGGAACACACCGCTTGCAACACATGCTCCAAGCGGAATCAAGCCCCAGAGGGAGCCACCGAAGAGGTGACCGAGGAAGATGATGGCCAGGAAGATACCTGTGCAAACACCCGTTGCCTTCAACTCTAGCCGCTCAAACATGGGCTCGAACGTGACTGTCGGGGTAGGATGGAACAAGATGTTGGTCTTCTCTCCACGGATGGGAACGTCGGAAGTGGTGCCATCTGCAATGGGGTCCGGAGGGGCAGTGATGTCTTGGTTGTACTTGTAATCCGACAGGGACTGATCGTGGCTTGTCTTGACGTCCTGAAATTATTAGCGGGTGATGCAGTCGTGTGTGTGTGTGTGTGTGTGTGTTAGCAATGCAGTTCTTACAGTTGGTAACCCCAGGTTCGCGTTTGGTACCGTCAGCTGTTGAGTCTTAGCAACACCCTCAGATCTTATAGGAAAGGGGAAATACCATTGGTTTCTTCACGGTATCCATCGAAGACTCATCCTGATCCTCCACCTCAATGTCCTTGCCCGTTGTCGGATCGGTGACTGTCCTCGTCTTCCTTTTGGACACCTTGCGAGGCTCATGTTCGACAACGTCCCCGTCCCTCTTGACAGGAGTGTCAGGTTTGGGTTTGGGATCTCTCTTGGCGAGTCTCTCCTGCTGCTGCTTCTGCTTGAGCTGCTCGTCAATCTGGCGGTCTCTCTCCGCCTTCTCTTTGTCGAGCCGCTCCATGAACTGGCTAATCGTTGGGACTGGGTTATTTGCACTCCACGGCTGCCCGACACGATGCCCCTGGGCCGCGTTCCCTTGAGCGGACGACATATTGATTATAGTTGCTTGCGTGTTTCTTTGCAATAGCACAGGTCTGGGTTTTATATGTTTGTTACACGGACAGCCAGACTATACAGCCAGACTGCAAATGACACACCAATTGATATCAGTGTTGTCAACCAGTAGTCGTAACCGCACAGCTGGTGGAAGAACTGCGTGTAGACCAAGGCAATGGTCAATATTGCGAAGGTAGTACGAGCTTAAAAAAATCAGCAAAGCAGGTTGACGTCGTGAGCTGGAGGGATACTACCCATGATATCGCCTACGTCATCGTGGAGAGCCCTCTTGCCTGCCAATGGCCGACAAAGGATAAAGAACTTGCAGATCGATCCATCGAAGGCCTGCAGTGGAACGCCTCGATCTGCAGTCTCGATCGCCCTCCAGTCTCCGCATTTGAAGGATGCTGGATCCTGTTTTGTCGTCGAGGCCGTGGTGCCATCGCCATCGCCATCGTTGCGATTAGATCGAGAGAGGGATGGGAGATATCAGTGAGAGTACTCGGTGAAACTGTTTTAAAGAATGCAATTTTATAGACTCCTGTACTCCAGGGAATTCCTGGTAGGATGGTTGTGATGGATTTTCCTCGAGGTAGAGAGAGAGGAGGTTAGAAGTTGGAGGTTGGGTGTTTCTGCTATGATGTCACGATATCATCCGGAGTACGGAACAGCTGTACAGAGAATACCTGGATATTCCATGGGACAGCTATTGAACAGCATTCTAAATCAGTATTCTTCTGATCATATTTTGGTCTATTCTGATTATATTATAATTGATTTGATTATCTTATCTCCATTTATATGCGAACCTTCGTCATAGAGTATACGGTTGCTGGTAACTGTACAGGTAGATATTGTAGAGAACCAAATTATCGATATTAGTAGACACATATAGTGAACTATTCAGATATCTGACAGACTATAATCAATATCATTGTCTCCTTATTATTGTCTCTTTATCATTGTGAAGCAGAATAGCTGCGCCACATAGAGTACACCTGCACAGCCGCATCCACAGCCACAGGCCACAACGTCGACAACAGGAAGAAGCGACGGACGACGAGCTTTTCTCAACAACGCATCAAGAAGAAACCAAAACAGGCAGGGAGGGTATTTTAAATTCTTGCTGGCGTATTATTCATTGATAATTTTTTTTGATCCCCTAGATCTGGCCCGAGTTGAGACACTACTGCCAATCTACCACCAGTGCTACCACAGACACAGACACAACAATGTCGGAAGAATCACCGGCTCAAAAGGCTGCTCGCCTACGCAGAGAACGGCGTGAAGCTAAGATTCGCGATGGCGGTGCTGCTCGTCTAGACAAGATCACCAGTCTAAGCGGCAGGACGCCAGCTAGTGGTACATCTACACCTTGCAGCTACGAAGAAACAACCCATCGAGAAAAAAAAAAAGAAGAGAAAAAAAAAGCTAATGACTCAGTGCGTGAAGAAGATGATCCCCCAACCTCCGTACCAGGAAATATCACACCCTCTCCTCCCGTCGAGCCCGAGATTGCCGCACCCGCAGCCCTACCCCCCTCCCAGGAGGAATCGGCCGAAGCCCTCCGCGCGCAACAGGAGTATATCCGTGCTCTACTGCGACAGGCGCCTGCAGAAGAACAGGCTGGGGTTTCCAGCCCGCTCGATGAAGACCCGACAATGAAAATGTTGAATGCTTTGATGGGTGGGATGGCCGGTGGACCGGGCGGGTTACCGGGGGGAATCCCCGGGTTTCCCGGAGACGCTGCAGGTGGTGGTGGTAATGGTGGCGACGGTAATAACGGGGGAACTGGGTTTTCACCTGCAGCGCTGGCCTCGATGCTGGGACTACCGCCGTTTGTGGCGAGCATTCTGGGTGCTGTGACTGGGAAAGAGAGCGACGAGGAGAAACGACAGGCGCTGGTGTGGAAGCTGCTGCATACGGTGTTTGCGATGGCCTTGGGTATCTACGTGCTGGTGCTGATGAGCTCGTCGGTGGCGACGTACGGGTTCCCGCCTCCGCGGCCGGCGACGGCACAGAATCCGTTCCTGGCGTTTTTGACGGGGGAGATGGTTCTTGGCGGGGGGCGGGCGGTGTTGGGCAAGGGGGATGCGTGGTCGATGGGGGTGAAGACGGTTGGGGATGTGATGAGAGATGGGAAGATTGTCCTGCTTGTGTTTGGGCTGGGGAGTTGGTGGTTTGGGGGGTGGACGAGCTGAACTATCCTCCATACCATGTAGTACAATCCAGCCTGCTATTCTACGACTTTTCCAGTGCATCTAGCCACGCTTTTTTAATTCGCTACTGGGAGGCCTACTTTTTTTTGCAGAGCTTCTGAAATCCATGCCTGAGGCACTTTAGTGCCTGAGGCAGAGACAATGGACGCCTTAATGCCTAAGATCTGCGGAGGATTGGGCTAACCGGATGCAGCCAGTTCTGCAAACGATGCAATATATGCAAAGTGATTGGTGGAGCCCCGCATCAGGGCATCACGTGGGGAGGTCAGCCGTGGACCTTCCCAAACGGGCTGCTTGACTTTCTCTACTTACTTTAATTTACTACTATTACTTTACTACTTTAATTTACTACTATTAGTTTACTATTGCTTTACTTTACTACTATTAGTTTACTACTATTACTATTACTACTATTACTATTACTATTACTACTACTATTACTATCACTACTATCACTACTTTACTATTACTATACTACTATCACTACTTTACTATGCGGATCCAGTGGGGCATAGCAGAGAGCTCTACGGACTTCTCTCGGCAACCCACCCCGAGTTAATGCCAGAATAGAATAGATGAGAAGCAGTAAAGAATAACAATAATGGTAGGAATAATTATCATTCTACATCCTACATAGTAGATACTATCCCAGGTACCCTATAGCCTATAGCCCATAGCCGGAGCAACGGAAACAACCCCGCAGGCCCGACCAACGACAGGCACATCTGCTTCGCCCTGCCTAAAACAGTTCCTCTTGGCCGAGTTGATCAGTACCTAGGTTAGGTACCTACCTAGTAGTACCTGTCAGAAGGTACGGGACACTGGACAGTGTTGGTCTTCTTGATATTCTCTGGCTAATAAGAACAATACGATTGCTGACTCGACGAGGTTCCCCTCCCCGTCTCGCCCATCTTTTTCGCATCTGCCCCGCTCTTGCACGCCCAGATCTTCTTTTTTTTTTCTCTTTTGAATTTCACTCTTCCCTTCGTCCTAGTTGATCCAGATCATTTATCACTCTGCTTCTCCCTGGTCTACCTGGTCTCCCTGGTCTACCGTTGCTTTGGTGTTGGTTCTGTCGCTGTGAACGGTAGCTCCACTCCGAATCGGGAAGCGTCCCAACACTTCCGGACAACAAGAAAGACCTTCCTCCTCCTCTTTCTTCTCCTCCTTTTCCCTCCTTTTTCCTCCTCCTTTCTTCTCCTTTCTTCTCCTCCTTTCTTCTCCTAATTTCTACCATCAATAATATTCAACCGCCATCATGTCTGACGGCGCAGTGAAGCCCAGATCAAGAGTGGTAAGCAGAGAGATTAGGGGAAACCAAAAAAAAAAAAAAAAAAAAAAAGAAGCGAGAGATTATGGCTAATATGAGGAAATTAGGTCCTCGAAGCCCACGAGGTCGATACCTTCCATGTCCCCCAGGCATTCTACGAGAAACACCCGACCCGCCCCCATCTGAAAGATCTCGATGAGTACAAGACGCTGTACGAGGAGTCGATTCGCAACCCCGACCAGTTCTGGGCCCGGATGGCCCGCGACCTGCTCACCTTTGAGCGCGACTTCCAGACCACCCATATCGGTTCCTTTGAGAATGGCGACAACGCCTGGTTCGTCGAGGGCCGCCTCAACGCCTCCTTCAACTGTGTGGACCGTCACGCCATCAAGAACCCGGACAAGGTCGCCATCATCTACGAGGCCGATGAGCCCAACGAGGGCCGCTCCATCACCTACGGCGAGCTGCTGCGCGACGTCTCACGCGTCGCCTGGACCCTCAAGCAGCAGGGCGTCCAGAAGGGCGACACCGTCGCCATCTACCTGCCCATGATCCCAGAGGCCCTCGTCGCCTTCCTCGCCTGCGCCCGGATCGGCGCCGTGCACTCGGTCGTCTTCGCCGGCTTCTCCTCCGACTCCCTGCGTGACCGCGTCCTCGACGCCCGCTCCAAGGTCGTCATCACCAGCGACGAGGGCCGTCGCGGCGGCAAGATCATCGGGACCAAGCGCATCGTCGACGAGGCCCTCAAGCAGTGCCCCGAAGTCTCCACCGTCCTCGTCTACAAACGCACCGGCGCCGAGGTCCCCTGGACCAAGGGTCGTGACCTCTGGTGGCACGAGGAGGTCGAAAAATACCCCAACTACATCGCCCCGGAGTCCATGAACTCCGAGGACCCCCTCTTCCTGCTCTACACCTCCGGCTCCACGGGGAAGCCCAAGGGCGTCATGCACACCACCGCCGGCTACCTCATCGGCGCCGCCATGACCGGTAAGTACGTCTTCGACATCCACGAGAACGACCGCTACTTCTGCGGCGGCGACGTCGGCTGGATCACCGGCCACACCTACGTCGTCTACGCCCCCTTGCTGCTCGGCTGTTCCACCGTCGTCTTCGAGAGCACCCCGGCCTACCCCAACTTCTCCCGCTACTGGGACGTCATCGAAAAGCACCAGGTCACCCAGTTCTACGTCGCCCCGACCGCCCTGCGCCTACTCAAGCGCGCCGGCGACGAGCACATCCATCACAAGATGGAACACCTGCGTGTTCTCGGCTCCGTTGGCGAGCCCATCGCCGCCGAGGTCTGGAAGTGGTACTTTGAATCCGTCGGCAAGGAGGAAGCTCACATTTGCGATGTACCTCTCTCTCTCTCTCTCTTTCCCTTCTATCAGGTCGATACTAATTGATAGACGTATTGGCAAACCGAAACTGGATCCAACGTCATCACCCCCCTGGGTGGGATCACCCCCACCAAGCCCGGGAGTGCCTCGTTGCCCTTCTTTGGCATCGAGCCGGCCATCATCGATCCGGTCTCGGGCGAGGAGATCACCGGCAATGACGTCGAGGGCGTGCTTGCTTTCAAGCAGCCCTGGCCGAGTATGGCTCGCACCGTCTGGGGCGCCCACCGTCGCTACATGGACACCTACCTGAACGTCTACAAGGGGTATTACTTTACCGGAGATGGGGCGGGCCGTGACCACGACGGCTACTACTGGATCCGTGGCCGGGTGGACGATGTCGTCAATGTTTCAGGGCACCGTCTGTCCACCGCAGAGATTGAAGCTGCTCTCCTTGAACACCGTAAGTTTTTTTTTTCTCTTTCTTTCTTTCTTTCTTTTATATTTCAAAGAAGATCTTGCTAAAAGTGAATAGACCAAGTGGCCGAGGCAGCTGTGGTGGGTATCGCCGACGAACTGACCGGCCAGGCAGTCAACGCCTTTGTCGCGCTCAAGAGCGGCAGCGAGACGACAGAGCAAGTGCGTAAAGACCTGGTGATGCAGGTGCGAAAGTCGATCGGCCCCTTTGCGGCGCCCAAGGCCGTGTTTGTCGTCGAGGATCTCCCCAAGACGCGTAGCGGGAAGATCATGCGTCGGATCCTGCGCAAGATCCTGAGCGGCGAGGAGGACAGCCTGGGAGATACATCAACAGTAAGTCTAGTCTCTAGGAATGTTGTATTGTATTATATATATACTGACAGTTTAGCTTTCTGATCCCTCTGTGGTGGACAAGATTATTGATACCGTCCACGCTGCGAAAAAGCCGTAAGCAGTAGGTAAAATACCCCAAAAGAAAAAGAAGGACGTATGATAATGCCTGTTTATATTATATTTGATCTGTGGACTCCAATGATTACCCTGTTCTGTTATTAGTGTAGCTTTTAAGTATTAACAATAAAACTTAATCAATACTATCAATAACAAAGCATTGTCCTAACAATGCAGACTACTAGGCAGCAATACTTAGTACCTACTAGTTACTACTAGGTACCTACTAGGTAGTACCTTACTACCTCTATGTACTCTCCAACTCTCCAACTACCTCTCCTACTCCTACTCCTACTGGCTACTACCTACTCCTACCTTAGGCACTGCATGACTAAGCCAGGCATCACATGACGGAGCTCTGTCCTCCTGCCTGAGGCAACACACCCAATCCGGCCTAGCGCCAGACTTTCTCTCCGCTGCAACTTTTGCTTTCCTCAACTCAACCTCGCGTCGTCGACCTGCTGTCCTCCTCCTCCTCCTCCTCCTCCTCCTCCCCCTCTTCCCCTCTCCTGTCGCCCTCGTCCCTCCCTCTCTCCATCACAACTCGGGCGGTTGCGATTCTCTACTCGATTCTCTCGATTCACCCTTGCCAGTTTCTTACTTTTCGCCTCTGGTCGCGTTTTCGAACCGGGTCGTTTCGCCCTGCGTTCGACCTTTTTTTTCCGGCGCGCGTCGCATCTCGTCTCTCTCCTCGCCACCTGGCTCATTTATTTACAAATAAATAAATCTGTCGAGAGCTTTCTTCTGTTTTTCTTCTGTCGCTCCTCTTCTCTCGCATCTGGGGACTCCTACATGAAATAGAATTCATCCACCATGTCTTTCGGATTCGGAGGCGGAGGCTTCGGCTCTGGTAATCAGCAGCAGACTTCTGGCTTTGGCTCGGGCTCTGCGTTTGGAGGAACAGGTTCTGGAGGTAATTCTAATTCCTTTCTCTCTTGCTTTTCTCTTCTTTCTTTACTGATAATTCTAGGATTCGGATCCAACACTCAAAACCAGGCAAACCCGCTTTTCGGCGGCCAGAATCGCCCGGCCTTTGGTTCCAATACCGCCTCCACCGGCGGTAGCCTCTTCGGAGGCAACACTGCCACTTCGGGCGGCGGCGGTTTCGGTGGCTTTGGCTCAACAGGCTCTGGCGCCGGCGGGTTTGGTGGTAACACTGGTACCGCCACGGGCGGGGGTATCTTCGGAAACAAGACGGGGGGTTTCGGTGGCTCGACGGGCTCAACGGGTGCATTTGGCGCCGGTGCTGGCCCTTCCACCGGCTTTGGCGCCGGCACCGCGACCACTGGATTCGGTGGCGGTGCAGGCACTGCTCTGCAGCAAGGCCCCGTGCCTCCCTCGGACGGAACTGGAAGCACTCCCTTCAACCCCTTCACCGAGAAGGATGGCACCTCAACTACAACCAACCACTACCAGAGCATCAGCTTCATGCAACCCTACAGCAAGTACTCCTTTGAAGAGTTGCGTCTAGGCGACTACAACCAGGGCCGTCGGTATGGCAACGGAAGCGGTCAGGCAGGCGCCTTTGGCTCCTCCGCCTTTGGTGGTGCCAGCACCGGCGGCTTTGGCCAGCAACCCGCCTCGGGCTTTGGCACTACTTCCACCCCGTTCGGTGGTGCCGCGGCCACCACCACCACCAGCGCGCCCTCCGCCTTTGGCCAGACTACTCCTCAGACCACCGGCGCCTTTGGCTCCACGACGGGCACCAACAGTCTCTTTGGCGCTCAGAAGCCCGCTACCTCCATGTTCGGAGGAGGTACGAACACCGCTACCTCTCAGCCCAGCTTGTTCGGTTCCACCGCTGCCGCGCCCGCGACCGGATTTGGCACAGGTGCAGGAACCACCGGTGCGACCGGGTTTGGCACGGGCGCCACCGGCTCCCTGTTTGGAAACGCCCAGCAGCAGCAACAGCCCCAGCAACAGACCAAGAGTCTCTTTGGAAGCTCCACGGGCACGGGCACGACCGGCTTCGGCGGTGGGTTCGGTACTCAGCAGCAGGCCGCCTCCACCACCACTACCCCCTTCGGCGGTGCCGCAGCCGCAGCCTCTCCCTTTGGCGGAGCCCAACAGACAACCGGCACGGGCGCCTTTGGGGCCTTCGGCCAGCAGAACCAGGCCCAGACGCAAAACAAGGGGCTTTTCGGCGGTGGTACCACCGGCGGTGCTTTCGGTGGCGCCGCGCAGCAACAGCAGCCTGCCGCTGCTGGAGGCGGTCTCTTTGGGGGCTCTACTACCGGCGCTGGCTCGTCTCTCTTTGGTGGCCAGAATCCCGCCCAGCAGCAACAGCAGCAGCCTGCCGCTGGTGGCGGCTTGTTCGGTAACACGGCTCAGCAGACGGGTACCGGCTCTCTCTTCGGTGGCGCGCAGCAGCAACAGCAGCAGCCGAAGCCCGGTGGTCTCTTTGGATCCAGCACAACTGCTGCTGCCCCGGCCACGGGCGGTTTCTCGGGCTTTGGGAACCCCCAGGCGCAGCAGACAGGGACCGGTGGTCTGTTTGGCAACACCCAAACCCAGCAGCAGCAGCAGCAGCAGCAAAAGCCTGGTGGTCTCTTTGGTTCCACCACCGGCACCGGCGGTTCTCTGTTCGGACAGCCTGCCAACGCCCAACCGGTGGGCTCCTCTCTGTTTGGCAACACTCAGACTCAACAGCAACCCGCTGGCGGCGGCCTCGGTGGCACCGGTAGCCTCTTTGGAAGCATAATCCAACCCGCCCAGCAACAGGCGGCCCCGGGCAGTCTACAGGCCTCGCTCCTCGAGGGTAACCCCTACGGGAACCAGTCCATCTTCTCTGGTCTCCCTGCGCCCAACGCCCCAAGCCCTGGTCCGCTCGCCACCCCTCTTTCGTCCAGCGTCAAGCAGAAGCAGCGCACCCCCTTGCCCGTCTACAAGATCACCCCCAGTGCGGCCAACCGTCTCATCACCCCGGCCAAACGCCAAGGCTACGGCTTCTCGTACTCCACCTACGGCTCGCCCACCAGTGCCACCAGCACCCCCGGTGGTCTGGGGAACAGTCTCCTGGGTGGCGGTGTTGGTGGTGGTGGTGGTGGTAGCCTGCGCGGAAGCGTCGGAGGTAGTTTTGGCCGCAGCTTCAGCAAGAGTTTCTCAACCAGCAACCTGCGCAAAACCTTTGACCCGGAGACGGACAGCATTCTCTCCCCCGGCGCCCTCTCCACGGGTTCCTCTCGTCTATCCAGTGGTAACCTCAAGCGGCTCACCATCGACCGCAGCCTGAGAAACGACATCTTCTCCCGTCCGGCAAGCACCCCCGCGGCACTCACCGCCGCCCCCGCTATCACCAACGGAAGCGAGGAGCCTTCGTCCACAACAACCCAGCCTGCCGCAGCCGACAAGCTCAAGAAGAAGGTCAGCTTCGACTCGACCTCGCCGAAATCCGGTGAAGACCGAGCCGCTACCACTACTGGGGGCGAAGTCGTCCTGGTTCAGTCTACAAGCCCCGAGCCGACTCCAGAGGAGTTGGGATTCCTGCGTTCCGTCCGGAAGAGCACCAGCGTGAACGGAATCAACGGTATCTTGAATTCCACCGGCAGCTCTCGCCCCTCAGAGATGGAGGAGGTCATCCTCCGTCCAAGCCAGGACCACCTCCCCGCGGTGCCCGAGGATGCCGAGCACAGCAGCGTTGCCGCGACCACCAACGGCTCCCGGTTGCCCTTCACCCCCGGTGGCGATCCCCAACCAGGCGAGTACTGGATGAAGCCGTCGCGTGCCGAGATCAACAAGATGAGCCGGGACCAGCAGAAGCACGTGGTGGGCTTCACCGTGGGCCGGCAGCGGTGCGGATCGGTCACGTTCGATGAGCCCGTCGATCTGACCACCGTCGATCTGGATCAGATCTTCGGTGGGCTGGTGGAGATCCGGGTGCGGAGCATCACCGTCTATCCCGACGAGGGGATCAAACCTCCTGTAGGCAAAGGCCTGAACGTCCCGTCGATCCTGCGTATCGAAAACTCCTGGCCCCGTGGCCGCGGCATGGCCTCGCCCTCCCCGCTCACCAGCGGTCCCCTCTTCGAGAAGCACGTCGACCGCCTGCGCAAGGTCCACAACGCCGCGTTCATCGACTACGAAAAGACCACCGGTACCTGGATCTTCAAGGTTCCTCATTTTACCACGTACGGCCTTGATTATGATGATGAGGATGAGGATGAGGAGGAAGAAGGTGAGAGCCTCAATCACACCATCTTGAGTGCCGCACCTGACACCCCAACCCCGAAGGCTCTGTCCCCCAACATGGACCACACCGCCACCTTTGACACCGACGACTCTTTTTTAGGATCGGTGGCTGGGATCGAGGACGACACGTTTGATTTCAAGAAGCGCAAGATTGTGCCTGGATCCTTTGGCAATCAGGTGTTGGCGGTGGAAGAAGAAGACGAGGAGGATGATGAAGAAGAAGAAGAATACGATGACGACGACGTGGAGGAGGAGGAAGAAGAAGAAGAAGAGCAGTTTTCAGACGAGTCTTTTTTAGGAGAAGGCTCCACGGGTTCAACTATTGAGCAAGATGACGACATCACCGAGAGCCAGCAGTCTGGCGACGACTCGGAAGTTGAATCGGATGAGGACCGGGAAATGGACATGGCCGGCGCCTTTCCCAACCTTCATCACACCGTGGAGCACGACGATACCACTACTACCACCAAGATTACCGACCTTGACATGGACACCACCCAGCGTTCCCTGAATCCCTTCTGGAACAACACTCCCGCCAAGAGTCGCCTGAACCTCAGCGGCGACTGGGCCGAGCAGCTGCAACGGACCATCAGTCCTCGCAAACAGAACCGTGACGCCCTGCGCGAGATTCAGGCCAATGCTTTCCATGACAGACCCTTACGCGACGACGATGACACCCCCAAGGAAAAGAAAGCAGGCCCGGATGTTCGGCAAAAGGGGTTCACCACTAGCATTGATTTAATGAATTCTTTGTTCCAGCAATCTACTAAGCAAGCACCTCTTCCCCCCCGCTCCTCACCTTTAAAGAAACAGACTGTGCCTTCCAAGGGCTTTGAGGTTTGTCTCTCTCTCTCTCTCTTTCCTTGGCCCTTTCCTTCGAAGATGACTACTCAAACTGTATCCTATTCACTCAGATAGTTTTAATGAAATACAAGCTGACATTCAAATTTTCCTTTTTCTCTTCTTCTAGTGGCCTTATCATAAACAACCCAAGACGGCTGGCGAATCCAACGAGCTGACCGAAAGCGATCTCGCGTTCCATCATTCGTTCAAGCCGCGATGGGGTCCCATGGATACCTTCATCTGTGCGAAGAACGACATGAGGGAACGACTGCCCGACCCGAACGAACCGTGGGAACAGGGAATATCGGTGACCAGCGAGGGCCGGGATATCGTTCTGCTTGCCTTCAACAAACCGGACGAGTCCTGTCAAATGCTGGACATCCAGAAGCGCCAGTCTGTCATCCACCCGGTGGATGGCGTGCCCTTGGTCCGTCTGGTCAAGGCGGAATTCCAGCAGTTGGCCCAGCTGCCGTCTAGCTATTCGACGCAGTTGGATCGGGAGCGGCTCGTGTGGCAGCTGGCCAACGTGTTGTTCAACGATGAGCTGGAGGACGACATCTCGGCCGGCGTGCCTGCGCATCTGCGCGCCAAGTATCTTCACCGGATCAAAAAAGATCGTCTGTCGAGACTGTGGGAGGGCATTGTGCGCGAAAAGCATGCCCATGACCTGGAGCGGATCGTCTCTGCCGAGGAACGCGCCGTGCACCTGCTGTGCTCGCATCGTGTGGAGGAGGCCTGCAAGACCCTCCTGGAGGGTGGGAACCTGCATTTGGCCACGCTGCTGTCGCAGATTGGCCGTGACGCGACCGTTCGGGCCGACATGAAGGACCAGGTGGACTCGTGGCGCCAGAACAACGTCGACGCCGAGATGAGCGAGCCCATCCGCGCCCTGTACGGGCTGCTGGCGGGTAACACGGTCGGGAGCGAGGGCAAGTCGGCCGGTGCGCTGGAGGATCGCGTCTCGAGCTTCACCTTGACCGAACGCTTCGAGCTCGACTGGTTCCAGGCGTTTGGCCTGCGACTCTGGTACGGCATCACGGATGATGAACCCATCGAGCATGCCGTGGCCCAGTTCTTCAACCACCTCGCCGGCGGCGACGAGACGGCCTTCCCTTACCCGGCTCATCTGGATGCAACGCGCGAGCAGCCACCGCCGCCGTCGTCGGAGGATACCATCGGCCGCGAATCCCCGCTTTGGGTTTTGCTTAAAGCTTACTCGGTGGTGACGGCGGCGGCCCCCATCGGCCTGCCGGCGATCCAGCTTCCCCTGGCCGTCCTCCCGGAGGCCGTCACGGGCGATCGGCTCAGCAACCGGTTCTCGTTCCAGCTGCACTCCCTGCTTACCGCTGCGTTGGGCCAAAACGAGTCCATCCAGGTGCACGCCGCGCAGGCCGACTCCCTGGTCTGCGACTTTGCGTGGGAGCTGAACTCGACCGGGGCGATCGACCAGGCCCTGTTCGTGCTGCTGCACCTGTCGCAGGCGGCGGACCGCGAGCGTGCCGTCAAGGAGACGCTGGCACGGTTCGCTGCGCGGCTGCCCCAGCCTCTCACCGCGGAGGGATCCCCGGATGCCTTCTGGCAATATCTCACGGTGGACCTGCAGCTGCCCGAGGCCTGGATCTGGGTGGCCAAGGCGTTGTACGCGCGCACCACGGGCGACGCGACGGCCGAGGTCGACTGTCTGGTGCGAGGCAAGAACTGGAACGACGCGCACACGACCTTCTGCCGCATCGTGGGGCCCACGGCGGTGATCGAGCGCGACTATGCCACCCTCGAAACGCTGCTGTCGGGCTTTGGCGAAGGTCCTGATCGCAAGGTACGCGGCTGGGCTCGCGGCGGCGGCGTGTACGAGGATTTCCTGCGTCTGGCGACCGCCCGCCCGGGCAACAGGGACCCTGTCCGTCTCAACCGTCTGGTGCACGCCCTCGTGGCCATGGGCGACAAGGTACGGCAGGGTTCGGGGGTCGAGGGGCTCGAGGAGCGCGTGGCCTTTAAGGAGATGAGCCGGGCTGTCGCGGGTTGGACCGCCCAGGATGATGCCAAGGTATTTCTTCTCTCTCTATACAGATGGTTTATACAGATGTTGTATACTGACTTGACTTTCTAGTCTGTGGAACTGTCTAGCGTTCTCAACCTCCCTTTGACCTGTGAGGCTCGCATCCTGCAGACGGCTGAGATGGGTCGTCGTTACTATAATCTGATCATGGCGGGTGGCTACTGATCTCTTCTCTTCTTCTCTTGTCTTTGTTATCTCTTTATCTTCTTGTCTCCCTCTTCTTCCCCTGACTCCTTTGACTTATTACCTTGTGTCTCTGCCAGCGTTCGGTAGATCCTGTATCCAACGATCTGATGTACTCTGTTAGTTAGAATAATCACACCAAATCCACTGTTTACCATACTCTCTTCCAGTTCTCTTGTTTCACCTCATTATGATGTTTCACAAGCCGGTTCCGGCCTGTGTGTCCCTTGGTTCCTGGTGTGACGCATCCCGGGGCCGGGCAGGCAAACTACATCATCTTCCTCTCTTCCTTTCTCTCTCCTCTTTCCATCCTGACAGTCAGTGTGACCCAGGGAGTCTTGAGTAACCAGCCTTTCTGTAAGTTTGTACGACCGACGTCTATGATATCTGTCTCTTACCAAACCTAGCTCTCATTCCCTCGTCACCATCATCGTTGCCAATCATGGATACCTCTCGTGAAGAGCAGCTTCAGATCGAGCACCAGAATACCACCGACACCGACATGGACAGAGTGAGCGACGCGGACGACAAGCCCGCCGAGGCGACTCCCGGGTCTGACCCGTCGACGCTCGAGGCGCAGAAGCAGTCGGTGACGGTGCAGTCGAGCGCGACGGCGCCGCACTCGGCCTTCAGCCGGGGCCAGAAGGTGTTCATCGTGGCCATGGTGACGTTGGCGTCCTTCTTCTCGCCGCTGTCTGGCCAGATCTATTACCCCGTCATGCCGACCCTGGTGCGCACCTACCATCTCACCACCGCGCTGGTCAACCTGACCATCACCACGTACATGATCTTCCAGGGGCTCGCCCCGAGCTTCATGGGCACGTTTGCTGATTCCGGGGGCCGTCGTCCGGCGTATATCATCGCCTTCACCATCTACACCGCTGCAAATGTCGGCCTCGCCCTGCAGGACAGCTACGCCGCCCTGCTGGTCCTGCGCTGCGTCCAGAGCGCAGGCAGCAGCGGCACCGTCTCCTTCGGCTACGGCGTCGTCGCAGACATCGCCACCGCCGCAGAGCGAGGCTCGTACATCGGTCCCATGTCCGCAGGCGTCATGGTCGCCCCGGCCCTGGGCCCCGTCATCGGCGGCTTACTCGCGCGCTTTCTCGGTTGGCGCAGCGTCTTCTGGTTCCTCGTCATCATCTCCGGTGGCTACCTTGTTCTTTTCATCGTCGCCGTGCCGGAAACCGCCCGCAAGATCGTCGGCAATGGCAGCGCGCCTCCGCATGAATGGTGGCGGATGTCTGTCGTCCAGTACCTCCGACGTCGACGTTCTAAAAATGATGCCGCCGAGAACATTATAGGTGAGAACCACCACCACCACCACCACCAGCATCAGCAGCATCAGCAACGAAAACTGGCCTTCCCTAACCCGCTTGCCTCCTTCGCCATCCTGCTCGAGCGTGACGCCCTCATCATCATCTCCTATGTCGGGCTGGTCATGTTCTCCAACATCGCCTTGTTGACCAGCACCCCGAACCTATTCGGGACGCTCTACGGCTTTAACGATCTACAGATCGGCCTATGTTTTATGTATTTCCCCCCCCCCCCCCCCCTCTCAATAAGCTTTTTATCTACATTTCTAGTCTCATCATACTGATGTACAGCCCCCTCGGCGTTTCCGCCTGCGTGGCCGCCGTCTGCAACGGCCGACTCCTCGACTACAACTACCGCCGCACCGCAGCAAAACTGGGCCTCCCCGTCGACCGCAAACGAGGCGACGACCTGCGCCATTTCCCCATCGAACGCACCCGGCTGGCGACTTTCTTCCCCGTCATGACTCTCGGCGTGGCGGCCTTCCTCCCCTACGGCTGGGTCCTGCAGCGGCACGCACCCCTCTACGCACCCCTCATCCTCCAGTTTGTCATTGGCTTCTGCTTCATCGCGGGCCTCAACACGCTCAACACCCTCCTCGTCGATCTGTTCCCTGATAGACCTGCTACCGCCGCCGCGGCGTGTAACCTGTTCCGCTGTCTGCTTGGCGCCGTCGGCGCCGCCGTCATCGATTACATGCTCCGTGATATGGGATGGGGGTGGTGTTTCACTTTTCTGGGCTTGGTCATGGCTCTCGCGCTGGGCTTGCTTGTCCTTGAGAGTCGGTATGGTATGCTCTGGAGGGAGAAGCGGTTGCAGCGTCTCGACCAGGAGAAGGAGGAGAAGAAGAAGGAGGAAAGTGAACAGAAGGGGAACGTGTAACCATGAGTAGCAGGAACTGATGATATTGATACATTACTTGCTAGTCCATTGGTAGTTTAGGAAGTTTTAAAGCTTGAAGTTTTAACGTTTTAGAATTTGAAAAAAAAAAGAACTTGCTGTACATGATATAACGGAAAACAGCCATTGCATCGAAAGACGAACCAAAGATCACTCTTTTACATGCCCGGAGAGATCAGCTTGCCCTCAGCCCGGCTGTCCGGGTGCCAGCCACCAGCAAAAGGCCGCGTGCCCAGCTCCTTCTCGTACTGGCGGATACGGGCCTCGAGCTCCGGGCGGAAGTGGCGGATGAGACCCTGGATGGGCCAAGCAAAGGCCTCGCCCAGTGCACAGATGGTGTGGCCCTCGACCTGCTTGGTGAGCTCCTGCAGCATGTCGATCTCGCGTTCGCGCGCGTTGCCCGTCTCCAAGCGCTGCATCATCTTCATGGTCCACGTGCTGCCCTCACGGCAGGGCGTGCACTGGCCGCAACTCTCGTGCTTGTAGAAGGTCGACAGGCGCGAGATGGCGCGCACAATGTCCGTGGACTTGTCCATCACGATCACGGCCGCCGTTCCCAGACCGGTCTGCGAGTCCTTGAGGGCGTCGAAATCCATCAGCTGCGTGTCGCACACGGACTTGGGGATCACGGGCGTGGACGAGCCGCCGGGAATAATGGCCAGCAGGTTATCCCATCCGCCGCGGACGCCGCCGCAGTGGCGCTCGATCAGCTCGCGCAGCGGGATGGACATCTCCTCCTCCACCGTGCACGGGTTGTTGACGTGGCCGGAGATACAGAAGAGCTTGGTGCCCTGGTTACGCTCACGACCGAACCCCGCGAACCAGCTGGCGCCACGGCGCATGATGGTCGGGCATACGGCCACAGTCTCGACGTTGGTGACGGTGCTGGGGCAGCCGAACAGACCCACGGCCGCAGGGAAGGGGGGCTTCAAGCGGGGCTTGCCGGCCTTGCCCTCAATGGACTCGATCAGCGAGGTCTCCTCACCACACACGTACGCACCCATGCCACGGTGGATGAAAACGTCAAAGTCGTAGCCGGTGCCACAGGCGTTCTTGCCGATCAGACCGGCGGCGTAGGCCTCGTTGATGGCCCGCTGCAGGATCGTCGCCTCCTGATAGAACTCGCCACGGATGTAGATGTAGGCCGCGTTGGCGTTCATCGCGCGACCGACGACGAGGCAGCCCTCAATCAGCTTGTGGGGGTCCTTGCGCATGATCTCGCGGTCTTTGCACGTTCCGGGTTCACCCTCGTCGGCGTTGACGACCAGGTAGCGGGGTCTAGGGTCCTGATCCCATCCTTTGAAGTTCATAAACGACTTTATCTCGTTAGCATGGGATTTGTTCCGATATTTATTCTTCCCCCCCTCCTCCCTCTCCTACTTACGTATTTCAATCCCGAGGGGAAACCGGCACCACCACGACCACGAAGACCCGAGGCTTTGATTTCGGAAATGAGCTAAACCATTAGCATTTTTGAAATTAAGGATATTCTCCAATTGAACTTTTTCTTTTTGGAAAAAATCCAGATAGACAGTCTTGTTATCACCCACCCAGTCATCACCCTTCAGAACCATCTCCTTGGTCTTGTGCCAGTCGCCAAACTTCATAGCCGACTTCAGATCCGGACCATGATGGCTATACAGGTTCGTAAAGATTCGGTCCTGGTCCCTGAGTCCGCCATGGTGCCGCACGGGGGGGGCACCGTCCTGGACAGTCGCGAAGGACCGGGCAGCGGTCTGCGGCCCCTGGGTGCGGAGAGACCGGGAGGAAAGCTGGGTGAGAGAGGCGGTGGACGGAGCCGCCGCTCGAGAGATCATTGTGACAGCTGTGATCCCAATGGCCTGGGTTTTTGGGGCGGGGGAGAGAAGGTGTGGAGGAGAGCGCGAGGTGCAACGGAGGACGTGGAGGAGGTCGGGAGCTTCAGGCAATTCTTGCGCTGCTGAATATCCGCCTTTGGCGCGGCTCTGATTGGTGGGAGATGGTCACGTGAAATATTAATCAGCCACGTCACATGATATTCTATTTACTATGATTCCATGTACAGTGTACAATGTACTAGTAGTCTCAATATTATCTATTTCTTTGTTCGTCTGGTTAAGAAGTAGGAATGTACAGATATGACTGCGTCGACAGCATTGCGGTCTCCCCAGACGGGTCCACGGCGAGGAACTGCAAAGGCTTCTCCGGTAACATGACAGACTCCTGCTCGACGATCATCCACGACCATCTCAACCAGTTCGGGGACAGCCAGTCGTTGCGGTCGTCGGTGGTCCCTGTAAGTTGGGTGACCTCGACATAGAAGCTGGAATGCCCTTCTTTCGTGGCAGCGATGAACTGGTCGAATTCTGCCATCAAGGCCTCGTCGTCTTCCTCTTCAAGTTGCCAGGCGACATCCTCGGGAGGCGGGGGATACTTGTCTAAAAGGAAGGCAGCCCATCGGGATAGGCGTGGAGGCAGCTCTGATTTTCCAGAGAGGTGTGTGGCTGCCACGAAGGATAGAAACAACGGGAACGCAAGGGGAGATTGGCCGGGATAGGCCTGAAGGGCAGATACATGTCGCCCTGCACGGACCAGGAGTTTGGGGAAGAAGCTTCTGCAGAGCTCTTGCGCCGCGGAAGGAAGCAGGGCAAACAGATCGTTGAATTCGAGGAGCTCTCCGACCTGTGACAGAAGGGGGTTTCGCTCGAGGATGCGTACGTAGATCCGAGACAGGATGGCGTCGGAAAATTTGCCCGCGGGGACTTCCGACATGTGGGAGCCGAACAGCTGCTTCGTCTGTTCCCAGCTGTCGCCGAGGTTGTGCTCCCGAGCACGCCGCAGCGACCACGAGGCAATGACCAAGGCCGTCTCCGACAGATGGATCTGGCTGTCACGGTAGAGCTGAGCGTGTCTTTGCTTGAGATTCTGCGGCTGGGGCAAGCCCTGCGCCGAGGCCCGCAGCTTCAATATGTGCGTGATGAGCTCTATGATAATCTGACCCAGAGCCGCGAGGACGGCACGCGAGTTGCCGTAGACGAGGGGCAGCTGGATGCCATCTTCGGAGATCTCGAGAGTCTCCAGCTCCCGGTTGTTCGCGGCGAGTACCGAGACGGCGTTGAACAGTGCGGGCGAGAAGATGGTATGCTCCATCGGCGAATCTGGAGCCAGCAGCGGGTAGAAGATGTTGAACACATAGTAGTGGTCTTCTGGATCTTTCGCCAGATCGGGGAATGCCTGTAGCTGATACGCTTTAGCTTGAGCCAAAGGACTGCCTGGCGGTGCCCGCAGACTGACGATGCGATAATCGCACGAGTTGTCAGGCAAGCAAAAACCGTAGTTCATCATCACTAGGTAGTCAGTATTCTTCTCCATTTTTTTTTTCCAAGGAAAAAAATCACATACATTGTTCATTGTTTCGAGGCCCGTAGTTGTTGGAGATCTCCTGGCCCGGCACCGCATCCTCCAGCACGAGAAGGGCCACGTCCGTCTCACCGGCTCGCCATTCAACTTTAGCCAGAGGGCGATGATTTGGGAGATCGATCAGCGGGAGGAGAACCGAGAGTCTGTCCTCGGGGAGGTCCGCATCGGAAATCACCCCTGACAGAACCTTGGAAGAGAAAGCTCTAGAGGTAATGATGGTGGATGCCCAGAGATACAGATCCCTGTAGGGTCAGTAAGAACAATTATTTGCTCATCCGTAGAGTGCCATACCAGGTATACCGATCTGCATCTTCAAACCCTTCCTCACCGAGTATCTTGGACGCGTTCTCAAACTTCTCCTTCCACACCTGCATCCGTTGCGCTCTCGCGGCCATCAAGCTAGTCCCCTGCAGCCAGGTTAGATCCCCATCTTCCTCCCCATAGTACAGGGGTGTTGTCAGCGAGCCCGGCTGCGGCAACGTCCGGATATAAGGAAACCAAAACCCCTCCGTGCCACGCAGATACTGGCCCATCAGGAAGAAGGCCGTGGTCTCCTCTGGCCCAACGGCATCCACAAACCCGCGGGGGAGATTGAGGCCGTGCATGGAGAAAGTCATATTTGCTTCTTCTTCTTCTTCTTCTTCTTCTCCTCCTCCCAGACGATGCCCAATCGCATTGAAATACGACATGGTCACCCCCAACGGCGTCTGGATGATGCGCGTCTCCCGCGCCACGGGGGCCGGCCACGACCGCTTCACCTGGACGTGTACGCCGCGCCTCTCGTCCCGGGCGATCTGGGCGCTTTCGTGCATATGTCCGCCATTCTTAATCACCCAGTCCAGCAGGGCATTGTGTTCTTCCAGGGCGTCACTGGTAAGTCCTCGTTAGCACCTGGGAAAAAAAAAGCTTGGGGCTTATCGATAACAAACCTGGGAAACGACCCCGCCATCGTCAAGTCAAGATTTGTTCTTGGTCTTCGATACACGTTCTATCCTTGAGATAACTCTCGAGTCAACGAGAGTGATGGCAGGGAAGACGAGGGGGACGATGGGGACGATGAAGGGAGTAAAAGTTGATTTGGTGTCGAGAGATGAAGGTTGGATGAGATGAGGTGGAGTGAGAGAAGAAAGTCCCACTTTTCTGTTCGACCACTACAACGACAATATGAGGATGTAGTATTGATTGATCATCGAGTCGACAGTATTCTCTACTACAAGTTCAAAATAACTAATTTCGTGAATTGACTTTACTCGGTATCGTACACGCCCCCCATGCCAGAAAAAGCCGAAGAAAGCAGAAATCACTGGATAGAAACTGAACGGAAATCCACTGGACAACAGAAGGGACATGCCATATAATCAAAAAAAAAGAGAGAAAAACCATGCAGAACAAAAAGGGGGGCCGTCGGGGAAATGGCGTTGGGCAAGGGGAAAACGCACAGCGTATAGGTCGTAAAAAGTCCATAGTTCCATGGTCTCATAGCAGAACATCTCTTCTTCAGTCTTCCTGGGAAAAGGGAGCCGAGATCATGATATGCGAGCAATGCGAATAAAGTGACCAAAGCCACTGGGGGGGGGGGGGGGGAAGGGGGTAGGTAGTCCGTCTCTAATGCGCTAAGTTGACTTGGCCAAAATTTCGAAGCACTGCATGCCGGGATTCAAAGGTTGGGTATAAACATCCGAAAAAAGATGAGATATATACAACGTCATGCACGGAGGATAGTGTACATAGTTGTGGGAAAGAACTCTGCGTAAGCCATTTGTGGTTTGGATCGAGAGCAGAGCAGGTGAGCTCTGTGTTGGTGAATCACTCAAGCAGGAACGATAAGGGGAAAGAACAATAAGGAAAAAGCATAGGGCAAAATGGGGAAGAAAAGAGGCTCCAAAAAAAAAAGAAGAAAGAAGCAAGTAGATGCAAAGTATCCAGGGTCGCTTAGTGAGAGGCCGAGGATTTTCTTCCCGGAACCAGAATCTCGACTAGACCCTCATCCTCGCCGTCACTGCTGTCGTTCTGGTCCTCATCATTAAACTGGGAGCCCATGGATTGCGAGATGCCGCCTCCCTTGTACCGGCCCACACCGAAAAGATTCGAATAGCCGAGTGACTCGTTGATGATGGCCTCGTCTTCTTCGTCGGAATCCATGAGGCCACTGACGACGGACATGCTGGGCCCAACCATCTCGCCCATCTCATCGTCGTCGTCATCATCGTCATCATCATCGACCTCGAGGGGGATGCGCACCTTGCGTCTCGTGCTCCCCGCACGCCCCTCACCACCCTCTTCAGAGGAATTGGTGGATAGAGAGTCCGGGGGACTGAAGCCCGACTCGTGGAACGTGGGTGAAAAATGATCCTCCCGGTTTCCAGGTAGAAATTCGGTAGACGGGAACGCAGCGGTAGAGGGTGACTCGGCCCCATTCGCATCGTCGTCCAGCCCGGCAATCACAAAGGGGTTGCTGGGCGACGCTGAATCGTGGCTATCCCGCTCATCCGTCTGTCCATTGCTGTCATCCTCTCCTTCAAAATTATCGGTAGCTTGCTGCTTCTGAAGGGCGAGTCGGGCAGCAAGTTGTCGCCGTGCCCGAGAAGGACCCATGCTCAAGGGAGCAGGAGGCGGAGGGAGGATAGGGATGGGTTGGCTGATCGAATTGGATGAAGACTGTGACGTAATTAGCCATAAAGAACCTAAAGGGCAGAGTCGATCATCCGGGGGGGGCATGATATCAGTATGAGTACCCACATTTTCGAGATCGACTTCGGCAGACAGTTCAGTAGCGATCCGTTCCTCTTGTTCATCCATCTCCTCATCTTCGTCGTCACTGGAGCTGCCAAATCCGCTGAGCAGGGAATTGTTATTTCCACTCAGCCCGAACGCGCCACCAGAGACACTCCCCTGATTGATGGTATCGAATCCCTGGAAGTTTGAGTTGGCACCAATGCCACCGTTTAGGCCGGCATCGGCGAGTGCTGATGAGTTGCCGAGGCTTTGGCCCCCGGAATTCAGCATTGCCTGACGATGGCCGATGGAAACGTCGGGGCGGACACCACCGAGGATGGCATTGTCACGCTCTCTCGTTTCGGAAAGAGTCCGCTCGACGTACTCGATCCAATCTGGATTCAACACGTTGTTCAACACGGTGGGGGAGAGCAGCTCTGGCGGATGCCGTTCGGTGAACTTGACCACTTCCTCCGCAATCAGAGTCAGATGACCCATGTATCCGAGTCTCATGTGCTTGGTTTTCTGCGTCTCGTCGCTGCGCCGCTGTCCCTCGATGACCTGCTCAATGATTCTCCCGGTCTCAAAGACGTCCACCGCAAGCATTCGGTTATAGCCACGGTCCATGGGACCATTGAAAACCTGTTGGATGACATCGTAAACGACATTGTGCAAGAAGTTGTTCCATGGGAAACGGAAGAAGAATTCCTAAGACTTGTAAGCTCACACCATTATTAAAGGCGATTGAAGGCAGTGTAGGTGTCATACTAAGATAGTTGGCACCACCTGGTTCTCAACGAACATGACCTTTAGGTAGTCACCAACCACGGCCTGCCCGTCAATGTCCACCTGAATAAATTGGCTTGCAGGATCCTCCAAGTCTATCCTATCAGTCGATGCCATGGACGGCGCGTCAAGTCCTGTCTCTTCATCCGACTTTTGTTCAGTACCGTCCAGTTCAGGCTCAGATTGCGGTTCCTCCGCCAGTAGTGACTCTGGAACCTGTTCGGTCTGTGAAGACGGTGAGCCGACCTCCGCAGGAGAATCCGATTGCTCCGGCTTGTTCACGGTAGAAGGTGTTTGTGCGGCTTGGGGAATATCTGTAGATTCATCTGTAAGGACCTTCTCGTCACTTTCGAGTTGAATGTTGCCAAACTGATCTGTTAAGCCTGATGTAGTGGGCGATGTGGGCTCGGACGACTGCTTTTGGAATAATTCAACGCCAGGCTCGGTTCCTTGAGTAGGCTTGACGTCATCTAGCGGTTCATCAACAAATTGGTCTTCGTTTTCTGCGTCCTGGGAGTTCGGGGGCGCGGTAGAAGAAGAAGAAGAAGTCAATAATATTTCAGGCTTCTGTTCCTCGACACCCCTTCCTTCCGTGTCCTTTTCTCGGTCTACAAGCACCCCGGATGATGTAACATCCTCGAAACCTTCTTCCTCGTTGGCGTTGGTCACTTCCAGGACTTTGAGATCGTCACGAGAGCCCGAGCTTAGCGCGGAGCCGTTCGTGAAGTCGGCTGTGCTGTCATGATAACCCAGACTGCTGACGTCTCCTCTCATTTGACCATGGAGCATTCCTTCGTACAGGAGTCGCTCTCGTTCTGCATTGCGCTGTCGAACGTAATCGTCACTGCCCGGCTCGTTGAGCAGAGCCATGTTACTGCAGTGTAACAGCTCAGCCATGAGCTCGCAGGTCTTGAATCTGTCGAAGCCGAGAGGCTCGATCTTGACGCCCCAGGCGGCGTTCAACTGACCACGCTCGACGGTCTTCATTTTCCCACCCTCGTTGACAGCGTATTTTGAGCTTCGTATCAGAGCCATGAAATCCGGGATATGCTTGGCGAAGATTCGGAGCAGGGAGCCCAGGTAGATCGGGTCGTAGGTGGACGGGACTGAGTCCGGACCGCCAATAGATTCCGGATCGTAGTCGGAGTTGTTCTTGCGGATGACTTCGATCACGATCCCGACACCCACGGTTAGCGGGTTGCCGCCTTTGAGCATGGCGGCGATAAGCGGCTCGACGCATTCTTCGGAGACTAGCTGACGGGTGAGGCTGTTGGGGCCAATGCAGGACTGGTCATTCTGTGTGGCATTTGCCGAGATAGTGATGATTGCCTTGAGGAAGTCTCCTGCCGAGGTTTGAACGGAACCAGGATATTCTGGGGACAAAAAGGAAAGAAGGAGAGGCATCAGGTTGCGTGATTTCAACCACTGCAGCCGAAGATTATGTTAGATTCGATGTACAGCAGATATCCAAAAAGGTTCAACTTACATCCACGATGCCTTGGCCACCTTCCGACTTCTCGAGACTGATGATCTTGAGCAAAAGATCCATAACCATGGGATTGTCAACGTGTTGGAGCATGGCCGGGATTATGCCATCTAGCGACTTGAAGAATTCCAACATATCTTCAGTCTTCTTATCGAAGAGGGTTTCATTAACTTTTGTGAAATAACTGGCCTGGAGCGAATCCAAGGGCGCGGGCCGCCGCAGAAAGCCCCAGAAGTTCCGCAGCACGTCCTGGTTGAGCATGATGGAGTCCAATATCGACCATGCCTCCGAGGACAGCACCTCGCACGCAACGTAGGCATATTTCAGCCGATTCTTCTCGATGCGGTCTAGATCTTCGGGATCGAGAATCTCCCTCAGTGGATCGGCCTTCTTCTCCTGCTTGGCAGCGGCACTGTCGCCGTTCTCTTTCTCCGCTGCCTGTTCACCGTCTGCAGCTTTTTTTTCGTCGTCGTCATCATCATCATCGTCGTCGTCGTCAGGCACCAGGCTCGGTGCGATCACATATTCCATGAGTCGTTTCAAGACATTATCCTCTCGTAGATATTCAATAAGCTTTGTGTTGTGCTGCTTCAGCTCCTGGATCAACTCGGTCTCGTCTAGAAGCTCCTCAAGGCTGAGGTCCGGCTTGTCGAGCAGGGTATCGATAGTGGAGATACTTGCATATCCCCCAAAGCGCCAAAACATTATGAATTATATAACCACGAGGGGTGCTTCATGGAAAAAAAGATTTTTTTTAAAAAAAAGGGTGGAAGTGAAGAAGGAGAAGAAGCCGTGACGACAGGGCGCGTGAGGGGCTGGGGTGAATGGCGGTCCGGAGACCAGTCAGAAAGCCGAGTCGGATCGCCGTCGTGGCCGCAGGAGAAAAGATATCTCTTCCAAACCAACGGTCGCAAAGAAACCCCGGCGTGGTCGAGGGTCGAGCGTGGTAACCGGGTCGTTGGAATCGTTATGACACAGAGACCGAGGGCGTCACGCAGTCACGAATCGAGACGGCCGTGCGCTAAAAGCAGAGAGAGAGCCACGGGTCAGCAGAATCCGACGTACGTAATGATAGTTGTAGTACTAGCAGAAAGCAGAGAACAGCAAAGAAGGAGAGCAGGTGACAAGCCGGAGGATGCAGCTCCGGTTGGAATTGGAAGCCGAAGGTGGATGAAGATTCCACGTCCTCCGGGAGGGAAGTGACCGGCCGCGAAGCATTCCACAGTACCTTTTTTTCGAGAAATCTCTAGGGAGCGACAAATAAACGAACTTGCACGAGGAGGAGAAATCAGGTTCCTCCGTCCGGCAGGACGTAAAAAATTAGAGAAGAGAAGAGTGGAAAGAAGCGAGAAAAAGAAAAAAAAAAAAAACCAAGGCAGCCAGAGAAGCGACCAGCAAAGAAACACAGCTTGCGGCGTCAAGACGTGCTGTGCTGGCGGGCAGCGTCTGGATCGACCGGGAATTCGATCCTTGAGGGAGGTGATCAACACCGTCAGAGTGCGACAGCCCAACGAAAAGACCGAAAAGCGGCGAGACAGCGGGGAGAGAGAAAGAGAGAGCGAGAGAGAGGGGGGGGGGTTAGAAAGGGACTGGAGGCAAGGACCGCAAGACCGCACGCAAGCGACGATGTCTGGAGGAGTTACTTGCACGACCTGACGGGCGAGCGAGAGATTTGGTTCCTTGAATTTTTGGTTCCCTGTGTTTGGCCCCCTTCGCAGACGTTTTCCTGTCGGTGACTTTGACTTCGCCTATAGCGGTTACGACAGCATTGCACGAGACGGTCGGGATGGGGGGTTCGTTTGGTGGGCAGCGCCAGAGCAGGGCGAAAGTATCTGGTACGGGGGCGCCAGCGGTTGCTTGTGCAGGACGGGAGGTACCGAGTACAAAAGACGCGACTCCACCCTGGTTTCATCAATACATAATCTGGAAATCACATTCCCCGACGCCTGGAGAGACTGTCATACCTGGAGAGACAATGCTGGGTACTAACAGAGTACCTCCGAGTAGTGTGAAGCAGCGGTATGATCGACCTCAGCAGAGCCTCGTACGGTTACAGTTACGCGGTGTAATTGTATTGAGGCTCGCACGTGGATCGATTGAGCCCATCGGGTCACATGACTGTATCTTGCCTGGGCCCTGCTGACGTCGGAGCATCCAGAGACACTCCATGAACTTTGGAGTTACTGCAGCGAGGCCAGGGACGGTCAGACGAGGCAACCGGCGTGCAACCACAGGTCTGGAGGAGATACTATGCATTGAAAGAAACAGTGCTTTACCCTGTGACATTTTCTCTTTCGCTTTCTGTCAGTCGGTGGACTGTTTCCTACCCCGCGTCCAAGATGAACCGGCTCTTTGGAGCAAAGAGTGCGGCTCCGAAGCCTACCCTCGACAGTGCTATTTCTAATGTACACCCATCCTCTCTCGATATGATTGGTTATTGGTATTGATGTGTGGTCTAGGTTGATAATCGGATTTCCAGCATCGATGTCAAGCTAGCAGGCCTCAACTCGGAGTTGTCGACGTACCAGTCGAAGATCGCCAAGATGCGCGACGGCCCGGGAAAAAACGCCCTACGGCAGAAGGCGTTGAAGGTGCTGCAACGGCGGAAACAGTACGAGGCCCAGCGGGACCAGCTGTCGCAGCAGTCGTGGAACATGGAGCAGGCGGGCATGATGCAGGATAACCTGAAGAACGTGATGACGACGGTCGACGCGATGAAAACCACCACCAAGACGCTGAAGAAGCAGTACGGCAAGATCGACGTGGACAAGATCGAGCGCATGCAGGACGAGATGGCCGAGCTGATGGAGATCGGCGCCGAGATCCAGGACAGCATCTCGCGCTCCTACGACCTCCCCGAGGATGTCGACGAGGCCGAACTCGACGCAGAGCTTGAAGCCCTCGGTGAAGAGTCCATGTTTGACTCGGCCCTCGGCGAGTCCGCCATGCCTAGCTTCATGCAGGATGAAGTCGCCCCCCCGCAGTTCATCGATGAGCCTCCGGAGCAAACCCAGGTCAAGGAGGCGGCGGGTTAACCTTGTCTTTAATCTCTTTTCTAGCACACTCTTAATAAATACTTATGACGATGGTTATTGTAACGGCATTAGTCTATGTCTAGTATCTATCTATCTTTGTCTTAGTCTTCCCCCATTCCAAGCAAGACCAGGAGAGCAATGTTCATCACCGCGATAACAATCCATATCACTACTGCAAGAGCAGTCACCAGGAAATGATTCCGCATCCCGATCCCCTCCGCCGGGTGGTCCGACTCGCCGTCCAGACCTTCCGGCGCCGGGACCGTCATGTACCGGTTCCGACAGGTAAAGTAGATGAGTGGCGCCGTGACAAATGGGAGGATAATGCTCAGCACGACCTGGCTGGCATTCAGAGCCTGGTCTAACCCATCCTTCCCCACGGCCGCGGCGATGATGATGCTGGGAACGATGCTGATCAACCGCGTGACCAATCGCCGCACCCACGGTTGCACGCTCCAGTTCAGCATGCCCTCGCTGACCATCTGGCCAGCCATCGTGCAAACGATTCCCGCAGAGATGCCCGAGAGAAGCAGGGCTAGCGCAAAGATCAGGCCTGCAGCGGGGGCTATCGACGACGAGAGCAGGTCGTGGATGGCCCAGATATCGGCACTATCGCTGCCAGAGACGCCGTACAAGGATGCCCCCGCGACAATGAGGATCGCGCTGTTCACAAACAGCGCAAAGGTGAACAGAGACAGCGTCAGCTCGATGATCGAGTACTTGAGGCAGCCCCTTATCGCATGGATGCTGGGGCGGTACTCGACTTCCCCGCCATTGCTGCCCAGAGGCACAGACGACTCAACGTATCCCTGAGTGACGTCGAAATGCTTCAGGCGCGCCTGAACCACTCCGCTCCCAAGAAACAATGAGTGCGGCATCACTGTAGCCCCGAGGATACCGCAACTTTGGTAAAGACTTTTTTTTTCATAGTGTTAGTTATGTCTTTGAGAAGTAGAGGGGGGAACCAACCCGTTGGACTTGACCACCGCGGCGGAAGGCAGGTAGCCCTTGAAGACTGCCCCTATTGACTGATCCTGGATGAGGGAGAGTTGGATGCAGAAGCATACGACGACTCCTAGGACGAGGGCCATGACGAAAAACTCAAACGCTCGTAAGCCCCAGATTGAGCCGTTGGGTCGGTAGAAGACCAGTAAGATCAGAACGTCGGCAAGAGTGATGGCACACCCTGCTACTAGCGGGATCTTTAACAAAAGATTGAGAGCAATTGCAGAACCAATAACCTAGACAGCATGAGAATCTTATAAAAGTCCATCTCTCTCAATCAATCCAGCCAACCTACCTCTGCGATATCAGTGGCAACAATGGCCGCCTCCGAGAAGATATAGAGGATTATAACCAGCCACTTCGGCAGATGGTCTCTGCAGTTCTCCGCTAGATTCAGACCCGTGACTGTTCCGAGTTTGATGCATAATGACTGCAGGAAGATCGCGAATAGGTTGGAAAGGAGGACTATAAAGAGGAGGGCGTATCGAGAGCTTGCTCCGGCGGCCACGTCGGTCGAGTAGTTGCCAGGGTCGATGTAAGCTACCGCAATCAGGAACCCGGGGCCAACGAAACGTCCAAAGTTGATTAGGGTCTGCCACATCCCAGAGCAGGAGGTATATAATATTTCTTTGAGGGGTCGGCGAGGTGACTCGCTGTGACTCTTAGGCTGTTCAAAGCCAGAAGTCGCAGCGAACACCCCGCCCTGAGGGGTCTTTTCGTCTCCCGCGCAGGTATTCCCATAGTCGCGATGGACCGTCTCGATCGGTATTGTGCGTCCCGTCGCCATGCCTCCCAGGTCCGAACCATGCTCCCGATGCTCCCTCGAGTTTGTGATGCCGTTCAAGTCATTTCTCGTCGTCGTCTCCGCGTTTAACGGGGGCGGATTCTGATTCCACCCGGGGTGGTCTAAAGTATTATCCGTTCTCGAAGGACAGTTCATCGCCGTTTTGGACACGTCCACACAGAGCTGGTGTGCAAATGCAGGATGGGCGACGATCCCTGATCCCCGAATATATCTCCACCGAGGAATGAATTGCCGACCCCGGTGGAACTACTGCCAAGGTCCTTGCGGGAGAGTACCGAAATTCCCCGACCGTCGACCGCTGCTTATCGTCAGTCGCTCCAAGAGAAACTCGAGTCTGCATAGACGGCAAGACTAGCACTTCACTTACTGCATTCGCAGTCTGGGGCAAATTTGGTTGGGATGACGGCATTCCTATTGGATCACGCCGGATCAGGATCAAAAAAGACATGGACCTGCTTCCGCCCGGCAGAAACAGTCAACAATCTCCATGAGAAGGTAGGTAATCATTCTTGACAGAATGAATACTCCTCCGTACTGATATTGTAGCTGTCTGTTGAGTTGTGCCAGTAATGAGCAATATTCCACAATTGTATCGCATCCCCCGCAGTCCAGAGCAGCTAGTCGGATCCCTGCTGCAGGGCCGCCTAGTTGTCAGCAAGGTCGACGGAATACCCTATCCCCCGCTTCTGTCTGTGTGACGCATTATGAGCAATTATTCCGTAGGTTAAGGAGACAAAAATAGGCACGGAGGACTGTCTGTACTCGCCACCTGTTTGTCAGTGACGTACGGAGTACGGAGTACCAGAAGAGTGGGTAGTAGTACCTTAGGTACTGCAGTAGGCAGTAAGGTATTCAGAGGGGGTAGTTACCGTCGATCAGCAAGATCACATTCCTTCAGATTCACCTTCCCGTATGAAGATAGACACGCGAACAGGCCATGCTTGCTTTACAAGTGTCAGACCATGAATGGATCTTTCGTTTGCAGTGCTAAGGTTGATTTACCCCGGAGTGGTGGGAGCCTGACGCTAGCCCGAATCAGCACTGAGCGAGCTTATCGATAACCGTCAGGCATCAATACCGGATGGCGTAACCAATCATTACAGATTACAGTGGGCAACTCGCCCATGTTTTCAGTGATACTGGTACGGCCATGTAATCCCCGTTACGCCGGCTGTTGCTCCCTCGAAAACCAACCACCAACGCCTGGCCTGTTGCCTGTGGCAACGCCTCGATCCGCAGGTTGTTTACCTCCTCTCACTTCTCCCCGAGAGGTCCGCCTCCAACGTCGACGGAGGAGTGGTGGAGTGTTGCTATTGTGGCGGGACCCGGCGGGTGAGTTCAAATTCCCGGACCTGCCCACTCTTTGTCGAACAGTTTGTCGCCTTCTCTGCTGTTGCTGCTCGCCCGGTTGCTTGCTCTCGCCCTGCATTGCGTTTTGCTGTTCTGTTCGTCGCTTTTCTCTGCTTTGCTTGGATGATCGTGTTGCTTGGGTCGTGTTTAGCATTCGGTGTTGTCTCCTTGTTGCCCTTGGGTGTTTGAAAACGGTTGAACCCTGCGCTGCCGTTCAAAGTCGCCGCGATTGTTGTCCTTGCTCAAGTTACACCCGTTGGCGAGGAATCCGTGAGCCCACCCTGCACCTTCCCGTTGATGTGCGATGTCTCATACCTATTGCTCGACGACTGACGAAAGGGTTCAAGGCAATTAGAAATGGCTCCCACCGGTCAGGCTCCGAACATCTTCGACGACGCCACACGCTCGCCTGCAAAGACATCGGTGTTTCGCTCCTTTATCTCTTCGAGGGCCCACAAGCGAAACTCCAGCGCGGATGATGCCCTGCCTTCCCCCATCCCTCTGCAACAGGAGAGACGTACCGAAACGATGCCTTCCCATGGCAGTCAGGGTCAGGTGCCGCTGGGTGAGAGAGAGCCCAACCGGGACGCCGCAGAGAGCATTTCCTCCGGCCAGAAGTCGCCCTCTAAAAGCATGAAGGGGTTGCACAAGAAGACAAAAAGTGCGGTCTCGCTGAAATCTCTGAGGAGCTACATGGAGCGTAAGGAGCCGAAGACGAGTGACGCCGTGGAAGACGACGATTGGAGACCGAAGAAAGCAAAGTCCTCCAACAGCCTGTCCGCCATCCTGAAGCGGTCGCAGCGCGACCGGAAAGCCGACTCGGCCAAAGACATGCGAGACAAGGAGAATCGAAGCCCGGTGGACCTGTGCGAGAACATGCCTCCTACACCAAGTATCCCCTCGCCGACTTGGGGCAATTACCCAGAGCCTTCCTTGCAGGTGCCGCCCTCGCGTGGATTGGTGCAAGACAAACGGCGGAGCGTCAACGAGGAAATGGAGCTCTACACCCCCAAAGGCTACAATCCCTCCGTCCAGCGAAACTTTTACGATTATAATCAGCCTTCCCTGACCAAGCGCTTGGGCAGCAAGCCACGTCCTAAGTCAGACTGTCTGACCGGTAACCGAAAGGTCCAGGAGATGGTAGGGCCATTCCAACAACGATCTCCATCCGACAAGGGGCCTTATACCGACACCACACCAAATGTCCCTTCTCGCATGGTCGACGGTGTTCGGAAACTCTCCGCTGCGGAGTCTTGTTCTGACAGTGACAAAAAGCAAGACCCTGCCGCGATGCATAATGCGGTGAAAAAGCAGGATGCATGCAAGAAGCAAGATGCAGGCAAAAAAAAATCCTCGCGTGTGCAGGCTGCCATCTCTGCATTCAACGCCAAAGACCAAGAACCGACTGGGCCCAAGGCTACAGGAGCCCCGGATATTGAAAGCGAGTTCGAGAAACTGCTGGTCAGTATGGTCCACAGGAGGGCCGAGTGAAGGAGGAAAGGAAACCTTGCTAACTTTGCTCCAGGATGCCCGCAATATCCCCCAGAACATGAGAGACAAGATGAGATCCCTTGACACTCACATCAAGGCAGATTTCATCCAGAAAGACCGTGCAGAGAATGGCACTCCCCAGAGCGCCGGGCCCGGCTCAAATGATAGTACGGGTCGTCGCGGGCGCCGGAAAGACCAAAAGGAAGAGCAGGAGAGTAAAGGTTCTCAATCGCGATCGAGAAGTCGAGGATTTACCTTCTCCTCCAAGGGAAGCTCATCTCCGTCAAAGAAGCAGCGCCCGGAAAACGGCACCTTTTATCGCCGACCAAAGTCGGTCGATCTTTCACAGCCCTCGGGTGGTTTCAAGATTGCTACGCCTACGGCCTCGGTCACGTCTTTGGCTCTCACAGCCTGCCACGACACGGCCGCCGACCCGTCCGATTTTGTGCACTATCTCAGAGAAATCCAAAAGCCGGAGATGGTAGAAGTAGGAAAGATCCATAAACTGCGTTTGCTCCTGCGCAATGAGACTGTCAGTTGGGTCGATACTTTCATCGCGGATGGTGGTATGGACGAAATCGTCCAACTTCTCTATCGAATCATGAAAGTAGAGTGGAGGTAAGTCATGGTTGAAGATTGGCGAGTCATGATTTTTTTTTTCTTTTCGCTATACTAATAACCTCCACCAGAGAGGAACACGAAGACAACCTACTCCACGAAACATTGCTTTGCCTCAAGGGACTATGCACTACATCCGTCGCATTGAAGCGGCTAACAACTATCGAGTCCGAATTGTTCCCGGCGTTACTGAAGATGCTATTCGACGAAGAAAAGAAAGGTCCAAGCGAGTTCACCACCAGAACCATCATCATGAACCTCCTTTTCACGCAGCTCTCGATGGCGCCAACAAGTGCCATTGCAGCTGAGCGCGCCATCCGGATTCTTTCATATCTGCGAGACCCCGCGCCATCCGAAGAGAACCAGCCCCCGGCGTTCATTGCGAATATCTACCAGTGTCGCCCTTATCGTGTATGGTGTAAGGAAGTCACCAACGTGACCAAGGAAGTATTTTGGATCTTCCTCCACCATCTCAACGTGATCCCGATCGTCAAAGATGAGGGCCGGTCTGCGGAAAGAACGAGCTACCAGCAGCGTCACTTCCCTGCAATCCGACCCCCGGTTCCTGCTGCACCATATGTAGGAGGAGTCGAATGGGATGCAACCAACTATCTGGCATCTCATCTGGACCTCATGAACGGTCTCCTTGCCTCCCTACCTGGAATGAATGAGCGCAACCAACTCCGCACCGAGCTTCGGGCATCCGGGTTTGAGAAGGTCATGGGGGGCAGCTTGAGAACTTGCAAGGAAAAGTTTTACTCTGCCATTCATGACTGTCTTCGAACATGGATTGCTGCTGCTATCGAGGATGGATGGCCTTATACCATGGTTCGCGAAGGACCACCTCGCCCGGGCGAGCCTGGATCACCCACCAAATCTCCTCTCAAAGCGGTTGGTGTCAGCCCTAAGAAAGGGCTTATCGATGAAAGACCTCCGAAGCTGGAACTGGCGCTGGACCTGCCCGTCAACAACCAGAGTTCTCACACGGAGGAGAATTTCGGCAATTGGCTATGACGGAGCAGTTCTACATTCTAACGAATTTCCTTTTCGATTCTTCTTCACCCCCCCCTTTTCTTACCCCATCAAACATATTTATTTTCCGCTTCCTTATTGATTATTGAAGTTGACTCATGAGTGGCGTTTCGGAATCAGTGTTGTTGTTGATGTTGTTCTTTTTTTTTCTTGGAATCACAGGACATAGGAAGGTGTCGCTGGCATTTGGTGTTTGGGGGATTTTGTTTCTCTTTTTCTCTTTCTTTCTTGAATAGCGGCCACGCTTAAATGACTTGACGAAGCCAGGGTTGGAAACGGACGATTTTCCACCTTATGATGCAGTGCTTTTTCCGCTTCAATCTTCAGATTGTGATTATTCATCCTGTCATCCTTTTACATGCATGGTTTGCAGTAGGACAGTTGATAGATAGGAATGAAGTAGTATTATACAGCACAGTAGTGTACATTATGAGATTGGATATAGACAAGAAACAAACCGATCATTCTTTTGTATCCCTCCTCGTCGGTGCTGGAGGTGGAGGCGTCGAAAACACAGCCTTGAAGCCTGCGAAGATGGAATCCCGGATCTGCTCTGTTATCAGCTTATATGTTGGCAAGTAGGAGAGAAGAAAGGTGAAATACCTCGTCGAACGGCCCCCCCTTTGCATCCCACTCCATGAAGAGAACAGCGTAAACGAGGATGACTGAGATATCAAAATATCAATATAAGCCTTTGCCAAAAAACATGGAGATTCAACACAGAACGTACATCCTATCACCCACCACTGCGCGAGCTTTGTCGCCTTCATCCATTTCGGACGGGCGTATTTCAAGGCGGCGCGGCGACGGTATTTGCGTTCGAGACGGAACTGGTGTTTGGGCGAGAGCTTGGACATATCAGGGGGCCAGAGCCGTTTCGGTTTGTGAGGACTATAGTATGCGTGTGGTTTTTCCCCGACGGCTAAGGATTCATATTCGTGGTCTGGGTCCTGGTCTGGGAAGGCGGGGGGTTGTGATGGTTGTTGGGGGGTTGAAGAGAGACGGAACGGGGAGGAATGGGTGGAGTAGAATTGCTATTATTCTATATTAGATATAGGTATAGATAGATATAGATATTAGATTCAATGTAGAATCTAGGAAACCAGGGTACTCACTGTGAGTCTGGATAGACGGTACGTGAGCAGGGAACGAGCTGGCGGTGCCCTTAAAGCCGGGAATCTGCTGAAGAGAGCCATCTTGACGTTTTTTAGACCAGAATGCGCGGTAGAAGACAGCAGCGCTTGCTGAGGGTGGTCTGTTGCAATTGTTGAAGCCTTTGAATTTGCGGAGCTGCGGAGGATGATTGGTCCGAGCGTCTACAAATACGGAGTATCATACCTCCTAGGTAACACTGTCACCATTACCGGGTTTATTTCAGACTCAGTTAACTACCTAGTAGTTACTCCGTATAATTCATTCAAGACTAGATATAGATTATAGGATATTCATGCACACTCTCTTGTCCTCGTGCTTATGCTCTTTTATTTCATAAGATAGAGCATTACTTTCAATTCCTCTCAGCTTCTCGGTTAAGAGTCTATGGAATATCTGACATCATAAACAACTCCTTCACATGCGTCCAGAGTAATCCGTAATCCGTATTTATAATTTTATCCCATCCAGGCTATCCCGTGACACCGGCAGGAACAACGTTGGCCCGGAGATGCCTCGGCAGTCACGGGTCGGACCAGGACAAGAGCAATTGAAAAGGGAAGAAGCTCGCAGGCCGAGGACTGAGAGCTGTAATTCATCCTGTTCATCGAGACACGGAGTGCTTCTATTGTGTTTCTTATTGTGTATTGCTGATTTCCACGCACAGTCTTGCTGAAATGTCTTCTGGTAAGAACCACCGATGACCTCATACTCCATACTCAGTCCCCCCTTTAGCTTACCGGCACTTGACAGCACGGGAACGTCTCGGCCAGGTGGCCTCCCACCTTGAATCTGGAGCCAGGAAGGGCTCGTCCATCACCGAGAAGCAGCCGGATGATATCGTTGTGACGTGCGCGCTGCGGACTGCCTTCACCAAGGGCGGCAAGGGTGGGTTCAAGGATACCGCGGCGGCAGATCTCTTGACGGGGGCGTTCAAGGCGGTGATTGAACAGAGTGGAATCAAGCCTGGCCTGGTTGAGGATATTGCTGTCGGCTCGGTGCTGCCTCCTGGCGGCGGGGCGACCGAGTTCCGTGCTGCCGCCCTGGTGGCGGGTTTCCCTGAGGACACCGCTGTGCGGAGTCTCAACAGACAGTGTTCCAGTGGTCTTCAGGCTGTGGTGGACATTGCCAACGCCATCAAGTCGGGAATGATTGAGGTTGGGATTGGGGCGGGGGTGGAGAGCATGTCACTTCAATATGGGTGAGTTTATATATATACATATATATGTAGCGTTTACTTTGAATTTGCTGTTATGTGTCAAGAAAAAGCTAATGTACAGACAGACCGGGTGCTGTGACGGAGTTCTCTGAACTGCTCGAGAGCCATCCTGAGGCGGCCAACTGCAAGGTCCCGATGGGCATGCTTTCGGAACAGATGGCCAAGGACCGCAAGATCACCCGTGCGGCGCAGGATGCATTTGCGGCGTCGTCGTATCAAAAGGCCGTCAAGGCTCAGCAGGGCGGGCTGTTCAATGAGGAGATCGTTCCCCTGCAGGTGCAGTGGACGGACCCGAAGACGGGCGAGGAGAAAACCATCACGGTCAAGGCGGACGATGGCATCCGTGACGGGATCACGGCCGAGTCGCTGGGCAAGATCCGCCCTGCGTTTGCCAAGGACGGGTCCATCCACGCGGGCAACGCGTCACAGATCTCGGACGGCGCGGCGGCTGTTCTTCTCATGAAGCGGTCGACTGCCGAGCGGTTGGGCCAGAAGATCGTGGGCAAGTTTGTCGCCGCCAGCGTTGTGGGGGTCAAGCCGCTGCTGATGGGCGTGGGGCCGTGGAAGGCCATCCCCGTGGCGCTGGCCAAGGCGGGCATCTCCAAGGACGAGGTCGACATCTACGAGATCAACGAGGCGTTTGCCTCGCAGTGCGTCTGGTGCGTCAACGAGCTGGGCCTGCCGCTCGACAAGATCAACCCCAAGGGCGGCGCCATCGCCTTCGGACACCCGCTTGGCTGCACGGGGGCGCGGCAGGTCAGCACCCTGCTGACGGAACTGAAGCGCACCAACAAGAAGATCGGGGTGACTAGTATGTGTGTTGGGACTGGCATGGGCATGGCAGCCGTCTGGGTTGCAGAGTAATAAGATATTTCATTGACTATGACAATTGAATAAGATATTAGATTGACTATGACAATTTGAATTACTTTCTAAACTTCTGAAACGCCTCGTAGACGCTCATTCCATTCACCACCGCCTCCTTGACGCGGTCATCCATAGCCACCAGCTTGGGCATCAACTCCAGCACCGGGTCGAGCAGATCCTGAGGGATGGCGACCACGCCTTCCAACGGATCACAGAAAATGATATCTCCCTATACGTATTAACACGGCAACATACACAACCTTATACCTAGAGGCTAGACATATAAAAGATAGGTCTTACCGGCGACACAGTCACTCCGCGAATAGAAACCGACACATTTCTCACCCCGGGCTTCGCCTCGGCACTTGTACCAACAGTTGACGTTCCAAACGCCCATACCTGTAAAGAACAACGCTTAGAATTATTATAAAAAAGTATTCAACTTGAACGTATTCAATGCATTAAAATTATAAGTATTGGAAAACTTACTGGAATCTCCGTGGCATGGAGTTCCGCCAAATCTCTGACGCGGCCATCGACCACGACCGCCCGCACACCAAGATACTTCATTCTAGCAGCCATGATGCCGCCCAGGACGGCACAGGTCTGGCCCTCTGGTTGTTCGAGGACGACCACGGTCTCCGGCTGGGCGAAATCGACCCAGTGCGTTCCTGCGGGGAATCCGTGGGTGTCCGGTGAGGAGGTCGCCAGCACGGGGGGTTCTTCATGCCTCGGTATGAATTTGAAGGTGGTCGCTGGGGCGATGATTTTGGGGAGAGTTGTACTCCGTCCAAGGGGGGAATGGGGGGCTATAATTAGTTTATTTTGTCAGTTCTATCAGTTTAGATCTTTTTTTCTGATGGTTATGGTTATATCTGATGGTTATCTCCTGGGTTTCTCACTCAGGTCTGCTAGGTATCCGGCGCGAGCAGGTTGGAGCGTTTGAAGTTTGAGAAGAGCATCTGATACCTGACGATCAACATCTGGTCAATTTATCTGGCAGGGTCTTACATCACAGGCAGAGTAGCTCTGGAGCTGGGCGAGTTTCTGGGCGAGGCTTGACATGTTGCTTGCAAGAGGATTCACTGGACGATAGGACTAGATTGTTATACAGAAGCTGTATTACAAGTACTGTATGTATGTATGAAATACTGTATGAATATGTATGAGTATGTATGAAAATGTATGATATGTATGATATGTATATTTATATGCTTGTCTCTGTCTACTCTATTCTTATCTAAATATACACAAGGCTCCCTACTCTGACCATCGACTCAACATCAAATATACTGAAGACCTAAGAATCAGCCGTGCATTCCCGATAATAGGCAGTCATGCTGGCAATGGCCTTGTCGGTATAGACGCCCAGGATCTTCAGATGACCATGCCACGATCCACTACCAAAGCGCAGAGCCCAGCATGAGGCATAGTACTCGCCCGAGGTGATCTTCTTGAACGCCTTTTTGATTCCCTTGGCCACCTCGGTCTCGGAGTGAGTGGTATAGCATTTTCCCGTGGCGTGATACATCACATAGACAATATCCTCACTCAGCGTGGTGGTACGGGTCTGAAGATCGGAGGAAGAGGAGGACGAGGAGGAGGTACCAGCATGGAAAGCGATGGATCCGTTGGCATTGAGAGAAATGCCGGAGATGGAGGTCCCATTGTTGCTGATGGTCCCGGTATAGTGGGCTTCGGAGGTGTTGGAAAACAGCTGGGAGTAGCTCCAGCCATCGTAGTCGATATTGAATCCCGAGTCCTGCAGGTCGTCGGAGATGGCGCCCAGATCCCACTCGTAGTAGGAGGAGGAGTTGCTGGCATCGTATTCCTCGGTCCAGTCTCTGGCCGAGACGCGCGCGCCGTGAACAGTGCAACCGCTGGTGCTGCCTTTCTTGAAGGCCACGATGATCGCAGCAATCCCTCCGGCAATGATGCCAAAGGTGTTGGCGTAGTTGACCACGATGGTGCTCGTTTCCACACTCCAGATCTTCTTGGCCGTCTCATCCTCTCGGACGACCAGGCCGTTGTAATGCGGCGTCTCGGGGGCGGGCAGACTGGCGGCCACAGAGCAGGCCACTCCAGACACGAGGGTTATCCAGGATGCAACTTGGTTGACCTTCATTTTGTTGGATGTGAGTGACTGCTTGATGAATGAGATGAAGAGAAGAGTCAATGGAGAATGTCTGATTCTGTATTCCTGATGTCTGGTATCTCCCTTTATATACTTCTCAAGCTACTCCAGTTCACTTCCTATGAGGGAATTTCGCTACTGGATGATTGAATTCAACTCTTCAGCCTGTTAGATGTCCATGTCCATGCTACACTACACACTATACACTATACACTTCATACTAACCAAGTCATGTAGTCTATACTACCAAGACTAAGCGGGCGCCGTGTATCTTTCGGCTTTAGCCGTGCAGTAACAGGCGCTATGACTGATGCAGTATATAATAGGCAGGGGCTTTGGCTGGGGAGGAGTCAATAGGACCCTCATGTGCATTGTACGGAGTAGTTGACCATCTGATGAGTATCGGTTAGATGACTTGAGGCCCCCATCTCGTTGATAGTTGCGTGATGAGTCCCTAGTTGCCAGTAGGGCTACATTAGTTACCATTTTAGGTCCGGAGATCGCCGTGTAGAAAGAATCTTTCATCACATTAAGCTGTACTACTTACTACATACCTTAGTATATCAGAGTTGCACTATCTGCCATACATATATAATCATAGACAGTCTAGTTATCCTTGTGATGACCTAGAGTCAGAGGTTAGGGTAGGGTTACAACCTCCCTTTCTGAACCAATTCAAGCTTTATGAAGCATTGCGGCAGTTTCCAAGAGGCGGATCTGCCGCTGTATCAATAGCACCAACTAGTGACCAGACTGCGGCTACTCCGTACAGAGTAGCTTGAATAGCTTCTGATGAAGATCACCTTAGTGGATAACTTCGACTCTTGGCAGAGCCACAGTTACGTATGCTGTCGGCCATCCCGGATCCATAGTACTCATACAGAGTATACAGAGTAGAGTAGAGAGTACGCTAGATAATTTACTTAAAGCCTTGCTATAATTTCATATTCCTAGTACAGAGAACTTATCTACCAAGTCAGTTCTTCACTATCCATACACATTCTGTAAGATATCCTCATAGCTCATAGTAGTTAATATCTAATAGATCAATGGTTAATATCTAATAGATTCAATGGAAAAAGAAATCACCCAATTCTCTCCCCCCCCCGGATGGTGGTCTGTCGAGACAAGCACGATCATATCAAACTATGCCTTTGCCCTCTCGTTCATTCTGGTTGCCATTGCAGTCCTTGTCTGGATGTCACCTCGGGGTGCTGCCACTCAGGCGCCATCTAGAAATGGTCCTGTTGAAGCATTGAAAGCTCAGCACGAGTAGGTTGGTTGTCTTTAGGGTTGGGTAGGGTTAGGGTGATTTAATAGGATAGCTATTATATGGAATAGTCAGGGACCTATTCAGAAGTATTAAAACCTAAATAATAAATACTGAAAGAATAGTAATAAGACAGCCAAGGGAGATTTTTAAAGTATGGCTGACAATATACTATCATGGAAAGTAGGTGAGTATATATTCAAATTAGTATATGATGCAGCTCCTATCAAGAGCTCTAGATGAACAGCAGTCTGGATCCCATGTACTGCCCTGCTGAACATTTCCTGAATGTCAGTGCAAGCCAGTACTTCATTGATATTTCTCCCAGTTCAACACATGGCAGGTGGACTTGAAGATTAGAATGTGGCAGATCTTGCTTCTTCATTCGTCATGTCTCGTGGGTATCGCTGCAAAAGTCGGCCATAATGCCAGTTCCTCTCCAAGTGGATGGTCTTCTATTCTTCTCCAACTGTATTTATCCGAGTCGGTCTGCTCCATCCTGTACATTCCAGATCGAACGTTGGGCGTCCCCTCGAACCCGGTCGTCCTTGAGCATTCTGTTCCATTAGCATGCAGTCAGTCACAGTCACAGAGGGATAGACCTACCGCGAGTCCATGCGCACGTCGTCACCCTCCACCTGCAGCGACGCCTGAGGCGTTTTGGCGTCGATCACAAAGTGGTTATCGCAATGGGGGCAGTACTCATCGCTGTCGACAAGCCCATTCGCTTCAGCAGCCAAGCACGGGTTGCACTTGCATTCGACAGCCAAGTCCAAGTACTCACCTCTCGTCAAACTCTGTCCCGTCCTTTCGAAAACACTTTTTGCACTTTTTACACGCAAAGATCTGTCCCCGCACCGCGATGGTCAGCCTCGTGGTACTCCGTCCCCTGCTCGCTCGGTTGACCAACACACCATCTCGTTCGTCTTCAGCAACGCGTGCGATTCCTGTTCCTGGTGGCATTCGGCGCAGTCGAACCATTTCCGGCCTGAGCAATCAGCAGAGATCCAAATCAGCTTGCTGACAAGGCTGTGTTGTGCTGTGTTGTGCTGTCTTGTCGTGACTGAGCGGGGTACCAGAGAACTCACAGCACGCAGACCGGATAGACACTTGGGCGTTGAGGATATGTTTACTCGATCGCCAGTCAGCCTTGACGAAAATAGAACATTCCAACCAGTAATACCGCGCTTACCACATGATGTCGATGGCCTGTCAGTGTCAGCGTTGCTCTGAGGGGTCAGTCAAATCGTAGCCTGGTTTCGAGAAAGACGCGGGCAGAGCTAAAATCGACGGCGGTGCTTGGCGTTTGGGGGGAGACACAATATCTACAAGAACATACAATAACACATCAAAATATCCTCAGTCACTATTACATACTCTACTCTTGTCAAGTAAGCTCGATTCCTCCTTCCCCTTCCCCTGACGTGGACTCTGTGGATTTCTCCCCGCCACCATATTCCTAGCCTTAGTAAGGAGCCAGCCGTCATCCCTCGACGCAGCCACGCGTGAATCAACGGGGCTCTGCCTATTCTTGAACCTCGACTCGGAGCAGTTTAAATTGCCCAACAGTCCCCAGCAGTCTCTCCCTCGTCGCCAACCTGGAGATCATCGAACCGCGAGGCTCTGAGGATATCGAGATCGCCCTCCTATGAAACAGCTAGTCTGACCGCTCCTGCCTAGAACAAAGTTTCCCCCCCTCCCCCTCTCCAGCGCTGAGGAGGCCACGCAATTTCTCCTGCCCCTCGCTTTGTCTGGTCGCCCACAGAGGATCTCCGGCTGTGAATCCGCCATCTCAGGGGGCCTATGGTCCAGCTCGATCGTTCACCTGCGAGACGGATTTGCGGTTGCGGCCATGGAGTCTGACGGCAAGGGCATGGGCAAGGATAGCACGGATAATGCTCCCATTGTATGAAGATGATGAAGATAAGCCTGGGGGGGGGGGTTTTTTTTTCTGCTTTCCCGTGGTAGCTGCTGACAATGTGCTGTGTTGTTGCGGAATAGAGACCGGTATCGTCGTTGCTGTCGCATTTCGAGAACCTGGCGGCGCATCGGAGATCGCCCTCTGCCATCACGACCACCTCCCTGCTCAAGACCCCCGATCCGGCGGACGATGGTCGCTTCTCCAGCCGGATCTCGCTCGATCTGCCGCGACCCCATCTGCCTTGGACGTCGGATCCCGATCTTCACAATGGCCAGACCCTTCACACTCCCCAGCCGGCCGTGTCGCCGGGCAGCAGCGGTAGGAAGGGGCGGCCCATGTCCATGAATTTCCACTCGTCACCGCAGCTCGCCCCGGTGTTGACGGTGGACTCGCCTCGCTCGCCTCCGCGTGGCTTCGGATCGAATGGAGGAGACAATAATAATAATATTAATGATAATAATGGCTTTGCTGAACGCACTCAGAACGGTCGCTCCCGGGCATCCCCTAGTCCGCCCGCACCGCCCGCGCGCGAATCGACAGAGTCTCAGGCGTCGCTGTCGCGACCGACCACTCCCCAGTATAGAACGTCGGTCATCACGGAACAGAAGACGGGTCGGCTCTCTCCTGGGGCTCCCGTGGCCAGTGCCAGACGAGAAAGTCCTTCGGCAGGCAAGACGAAAAGTGTCTCGTTGCCTCCGCCCGTTAACCGCGCCGACAAGCCGAAGATTCCTACCAAACCGGTCGGCCTCTCACACCTGGATACTAACCACGCCTCCTTGCTGCCGAAGCCGGAAAATGGTCTCCCTCCGGACGAAAGAGCTGTCTCGCCGTTTAGTACCCCCCCAGGGAGCCCCGAGAAGCTGCCGTTGAAGCCCACGCACACAGGGAGAAGCAGCATCGTCATCCCGGCCAGATCGCCCTCGCGCCCGTTGATGGAAGATCCGCAGCCGAGGCAGTCCTTGGATGAACGGCGGCGCCCGCCTGGGCCTCCTCCTCCTGCTGCAATCCGAGATGCAAGGGAAATGGGCTTTGCGCGAAGAAGGCCCGCGCAAGAACCGAATCGAGACACTAAACCTTTGAGCGTTCAGATCCCTCCAACGCTGCCTTTTCGTTTGGAGCCCCAGTCTGCCGCTGCTGCTGTTGCCACGACGGCTCCTCCTCTTTCTGCCAACCGACTGCGTTCGGGTGACAGTCTGTATGAACCTCCCAATCTCCCACCTCGTCAACCGTCGCAACGGTCGCGGAGACCCCCTACCTTGTCTCCAAGAATTGCCCCCGCGGATAATACGTCGGTCAATCAGCTCCCCGTTTTCCGAACAGAGACCTCCAACCCGCAGCGGCACGAACTTCAGACCCCGGTCCAGATCCAGCGGCAGCCTTCGTTCTCGCGCGACACGAAACCGGGAGCGCGCGTATCCTCTACTCACCTAGAAGCCCCACCGCTCAGAGACGCTGAAGAAGAGGGCCTGCTCGTCGTCCCCGATGAGCCGCTAGTCTCACGAACCGATTACCCGGATTCATCACAGGTCAACCGCAGGCCACCACTACTCAAGTCTGGTCCCTACGAAATCCACACCAGATATGACACCCGCCTATTCGACGTTTGTGGCCGATACGTCTGCACGACGGGATACATCACAAGGGTCTGGGATTTGACCACGGGAGAGCAAGTTTTGAGCCTCAGCCATGGGGAGACGGTCAAGTGTCTTTCCATAGCCTTCAAGCCTGGCAAGGACCTGGAGAGTGAAGGCCAGCGTCTCTGGCTAGGTTCCAGTTCGGGTGAGCTACATGAGGTCGATATCGCTACCCAGTCGATTGTCGGCTCCAGATCATACCCGTCTCGACGAGAGATCATCAAGATCCTTCGGCACCAAAAGGAAATGTGGACTCTCGACGATGAGGGCAGACTGTTGGTCTGGCCGCCGGACGAGACAGGCACGCCCAATCTCCAGTATAGCTACCACAACCCTTACGACCGAGTTGCGCGAGGGCATACCTTCTCCATGGTCGTGGGGGACAAACTCTGGCTTGCGGCAGGGAAAGAGGTCCATATCTACCGTCCCAATGCGCGTGACGATGCATCTTTCAAGGTGCTCAAACGCCCGCTCGGCTCGCTGCACTCGGGCGAAGTCACATCGGGGACCTATGTCAGCAAAGATGGAGGGCGTGTTTACCTCGGTCATAACGACGGCAAAGTCTCCGTCTATTCTGCAACAGAGTATACATGTCTTGCTTCGGTTAATGTGAGCGTCTACAAGATCAATTGCCTAGGGATGGTCGGCGATTATCTCTGGGCTGCCTACAAAACTGGAATGATCTATGTCTACAACATTACCACGAATCCCTGGACAGTAAAAAAGGACTGGCGTGCTCACGACAGCCCGGTGTGTGGCTTCTTATTGGATACAAGTAGCGTGTGGACAATGAATCGCCTCCAGGTTGCTTCCTTGGGGACTGATAATTGCATTCGCTTATGGGATGGGATGTTGGAAGATGACTGGCTGGGTATGATTTTTTTTTTTTTTTCTTTTCTTTTTTCCTTTTTCTTTCCCCTCGACGTGATAGGAGCTGACCTCTGAACAGACGACCGCATGCTGAGTAAGGACGTCGAATTTTGCGATTTCCGTGAGATTCGAGCTACAGTGCTCACCTGGAACGCCGGAGCTTCTACTCCCAGCAACGTGCGATCCAGTAATTTCATTCAAGATGCAATCCATCCTGAAAATCCGCCCGAGATTTTGGTGTTTGGATTCCAGGAGCTTGTCGATCTGGAGAACAAAAAGATTACAGCGAGTACGTCTACGTCGTCTTCTTTATATATCAGTACTAACGTGCTATCTTTTCCAGAGAGTCTGCTCCTCGGCAGCAAGAAAAGGGAAAATGGAGAGAAAGAGCATATGAGTCGTCAATATCGGGTCTGGATGGAGCACTTGACGGGCGTCATCAATGAGTGCATGCCTCTCGAGGAGTCATATGTCCTTTTGCACACAGCCAATCTGATCGGTCTCTTCACCTGTATCTTTATCAAGCATAAAGAGCGAGATAGAGTCCGGAACATCAGCGCAGCAGAGGTGAAACGAGGTATGGGAGGATTGCATGGCAACAAGGTTTGTTTGTTTGTTTTCTTCTTTTGCTTTCGAAACCTCTGGAGTCATTCAAGGGCTTGCTAACAAAACAAGGGTGCACTGATCTTCCGCTTTGTACTGGATGATACTTCTCTGTGCTTTGTGAACTGTCATCTTGCAGCCGGACAGACGCAAACCGCGAATCGGAACAACGACATTGCTGCCATTCTGGAAGCGGAGTCTCTTCCATCTGAGAGCAACCTCTTGACTCGAGCCAAGCATTTCGTCAGTGGAGGCGATGGAGCAATGATCATGGACCACGAGGTCTGCATTCTGAACGGAGACCTGAACTACCGGATCGATGCAATCCCGCGAAACGTCATCATCGAAGACATCCGCAAAAACAACTTCTCCAAGTTGCTGGACCGAGATCAGCTCCTTGCCTCCCGACGAAAAAACCCAGGGTTCCGCCTTCGGTCATTCATGGAAGCACCGATCACCTTTGCGCCCACCTACAAGTACGATGTCGGGACGGACGACTATGATTCGAGCGATAAGAAGCGCTCTCCAGCCTGGTGTGATCGGGTGCTGTACCGTGGACTGGGTCGGATCAAGCAACTGGAGTACCGACGGCATGAAGCTCGCGCGTCTGATCACCGGCCTGTGAGCGCCTACTTCAAGATGCGGATCAAGACTGTCGTGCCGGATGCACGGGCAGCCACGTGGGAAAAGTGCCAACAGGAGTTTCAAACCGAGAAGCGGCGGTTGGCTTCTGATGCAAGGTATGCAATCACTATATCAAATCCATGGCGTTGAGAAGCTAATTAAACTCTAGTATCGAATATCTGATCAATGTCCTCGGAACGGACCCCAAGTCAGCTCGAGCCTTGATCATGGGCTAGCAGTAACTCCTCCATAATATCTTTCTTTCAAGCCATGGATCTAGTGTATGCCGTTTATACAGTGTATACTGGGCAGTTTCCAGCAAGTGCGATTTTTGTTGTATGAATAACGACTGACGAATAGACATGTATCATGAGATGCGGCACATCTAGAGTCGTGTGCTTCTTGGTTTGCATGAGTATACAGTTCGGCTTGTATATAGTCTCCTGGTCTAGTGGAATCCAGGTGAATACAGATATCATCAGTAGATTTGTCATATAGTCATATAAGGCGAAAGCTAGATCAAAGTCACTTTCGACCTCCCGTACCCATTATAAGCCACCCCGCGCAGATTCCACTGCGAATGATCCGGTTGTGTATTTCCTCCTGCATCCGTTGCCCTGCTAAGAATCACCCGGTGTCCTTTATGCGAGGGAGAGACTGGAATCTGCGCCGTCCAAAGGACCCAGCACCACTTACTCCGGGCCTGGGATTCGTCCAGACGTGCTTCGATCCACGTCTTCCCCTCGTCCATCGAGACTTGAACTCCAGTGACGGGCCCGCTATCGCCCTGCGGAACGGCATACCCTTTCACTTCAATCAGAGAAGAAACCACGACCTCCCCCTCTGGCAGGGCGACCACCGAATTGATCGGCATCTCAGCCATTGCCGGGACGCGCGCCCAGAATTTCTCCGCGGAGAACGTATCCACAGCTTCGGGAGGGAGGATCTTGTAGTCGTGCTGTTGGTAGAAATTGGTAGATTCGTGAGGTTGGACGGTGATTGCGTCGAGCCATTTCACCCACCGCGCGCCTGCGATGCCTGGTAGGATGATCCGAAGGGGGTATCCATGTTCGATTGGAAGGGGATCATCATTCATCTAGAATAAATGGATAGTCAGTTAGAGAGAGGATAGATGGATGGATAGACAATTAGAGATGTCTGAGAGAGAGAGGATGCCTCACCTTTAAAGCAAGTATTATATCTGCATCCTCCCTCATACATCTTGATAAAGGGATACTCCCCCCGAACCAGTCGTCTTCCTGGCATCGTTCCTGGTAACACGAAAAGGCGACATGTAGATCTTTCCTTTCGCTTCTTCTTCTTCCTCCTCCATGCTGTATCACCGCACGAAGTAGAATATCTCGTAATCGCGGCCCACGCCAGGAACAGTTCATCACCGCGCCATCCCCCCAATCGATCCCCTGGACTTCCTTGAGGAGCGTGCGCATCGTGTGCCGTCTGTTCCCGGCGCATTCGAGCGCGCAGGTCACCTCGTGCTGGGCGAACTCGGTGGAGAGGGCGTGCATGGATAGCGAGAGCGGATGCTTGACCTGTCCGTTGACATGGAGGGTGTGTGTCGAGGATGAGAGGTGGGGGATTGGGCCATGGTTACGGTCGTAGCTTATTGAAGGGGGGGTCAGGAAACTAGTTGATCATTGAGAATCAGAACTTTGTCTTGTTTCTTATGTTGAGTCAAAAGTGCGGTTCTGGTCTGGTCTCTCTCTCTCTCTCGCACCTTTCGATCAACTCTTTCACGGGAGGTTCCCGGTTTAAGGGATTCTCGACTGTCTCTGTCTGTTCGGTTAGCATGTTTTGTATCAAGTATACTTACCTAGTAGGTGGAACGAGCTGTAGCCCCATACAGCTCATCTTGGGTTGGGAAAGGTGCTACTCCTACTACGTCAGCGGCAAATTATGAATATTTCATTATATCTTGATATTGTACAAGAGTTGTGAGTAAGTAATATGTATCGCACACCCCAATTGAACCACCACAGTGGTTATATACCTCTTCTTCAGATATCCAATCGAAAAATAAACCAAATAACGCCGAAAATGCTTCCGATCTATCCCGATCAATGTAGAACTGTAGAACACAACACTGCGCCGTCCCAATGAGAAATCAACCCGTATATCCTTGAATATCTTTTTTTCTCCCCCCTCTAATCAGAGTCCGATGGCATCCGCATATACGCATCGATCGCCGCGCTGAACGCGGCAAAACCAGCACAGCCCGCCGCCGCTGCAGAAGGACCGGCCTTGGCGCCCAGAATCCCGCCGGTGATGCACCCGGCCGCGACACTGTTGGTGAGATCGTTCTTGGCCCGGAGGCCCTCGATGCAGCACTCCGTCCCGGAGTAGAGGGCGCCGACGATGCCGAAGTTCTTGGCCGAGGAGAAGGAACGGGAACCCATGTCTTTGAAGCCGCGGCGGACCTGTTCGCGCCAGGGCAGGTTTGCGATCTCGCGACCTTGAGGAGTGAAGGTGGAATCGTAGGACATCTTTCAATCATTTTTTGTTAATACCTTAATTTTGAAAGCTGATGAGTTTGGATGACTTACACTGGCCATAAACAGACCGAAGGCTCCTCCGAGAGCAAAACCCATTCCACCAGCCATGACGGTCTTCACCGGACAAGACTCCATAGCGGCGTACATCTTAACGGTCAGCTGGCTTCATGTGACAACTGGAAACACATCCCCCCCCCCCAAAGCATACCATTTTGACCATCGCTTGTTCCTGTTCACTCATGCCTTGCATATTGGGAGTCGAACCTCCCAGGCCCGCCAGGGGAGGAGTCGTTCCGGGAAAGCTCATAGTGTCTGGCTTGAATTTGAAGTCGAGATCCGAAAGAAAACAAAAAAATAAACCACCCGGTACAAGCACCCCGCCGAGAAACGGTCTATCGATAAAAAAAAAGGTGCTGCGCAGAAGCTCGGCGAGATGCGGAGATGGCGATATCCGCAAATTTATTTTTTCGGCGTGCGACAGAAACCATTAGCGCAAGATTACACGTGATAAAGAATCCGATTATGTAACAAATGCACTATACTAAAGTAAGGTTAGCGGGTCCATCGCAACTGTTTCCTAAAATGGTCGACTTTGCCGTCCAATCGCCAGTTGGTTTTATTTTGATATTCAACCAGCAACTGCGGGTAAATGATAGCTGGGCAAGGCTATGAAGTGATAGTTGAATGTTTAGGACGTACAGTATAGACTATACACCGCTATAGTTAATGGATACTACTACAGAATACAGCCCATCTAGCGCCCTGGCTCGAGGTATGTATGACCTAGTAACTAGGTAGACACTTTATATCCTCACAAAAAGCTTGAGCGGCCTTTTCTGGCCCACACAGCGCATCTAAGCATCTTCCAAGCTCCTCCCAGTCACCTCCGACTTTGGTTGATGCAATGTAAACGCCTGTCATGCTCTGGATTGAGGCCATGCACGGGGATCCGCGCCTTGTCCCAAAGCGGTAACCAGTATGTCTTCAGGAGAACTCTACCACTGACAAACCCACGCCAGTATAAAACAAGATGGATCCCATCAGGTTTGAACATCGAACCCCCGCTCACTACTATCTACTAAATCAAGATGGCCTTTCTCGATCAGCAACCACCACCATGCTATACCGAATCCTACTACACACCGCCGCCACCACCACCACTACCCCAGACCGGCCTCGCACTACCGGTGATAATTCCACAGCAACGGCCGGGCTCTAAGGAACGTGGCTTCATGGCTGCCTATTCGCCATCACTGGCAACCTGTGGAATCGACCAGATGACCTTCCTACGCTTCATCGAGGAGTGCAACGAAGCTCTCCTCGGCAACAAATGGATAGCGGGTGTCCAGGTGGTCGCGCTGGGGGTTTCCCTGACGCCGGAGCTGATTGTCACGGGTGTCTCGATGGCAGTTCAGGCTGCAGCAGCGACGGCCAACAAGGCACAAGTTAGATACAAGTGGGTTTGTTCGAAAGAAAAGAAAAGAAGAAGAAAAGAAATTATAATGAGCGATCACTAAGTATAAGAGAACCAACCAGGTCCTAGACCGATATAACGAGGATCTCTTCGGCCCACGAGGTCTCTACTGCATGGTTGTAGGCTACAACCCCGATCCAAGCCCACAAGATCCGTCCCCAGGCTCGAGCCCACTTCAGCAGCTGAGCTCGAACATACACAGGCGGCTCCGGGATCCGGTATCGAGTACTGTGCGCGGAACCGAGGGCCTCCCTGCGGCCGTGGCGCCGCTGATCTACTTTGACGACCGCCGACAGCTCGACGTGCTGATGGGCCGGCGTGAGCCTGTCGACTCGTCATCTATAGAGGCGCCCAAGAAGCCGTCTACCGCAGAGAAGGCCAAGAACGCGTTTGCCGCTTACAACGACTATCTTGACCGGAGGGCGCGTGCTAAATACGTATGTACTCTATTCTTCTCTTGTCTATCCATAGGTCTCAGACTTCTAAGTGGATGGTTTAGACTGCAGAAAACCAAGGCGATATCCTAAACGTGCCCGTCACCCGCGGCTTCAAAAACCGCTACCTAGACCCTAACCACCCGGCCACGAACAACGGTCTGATCGGGCTCCTCTCCGGTGGGTACCTGGCGAGACGCAAACAACAACACACTAGCAGACAGGGTGACGATCAAGAGTCCCGTCTGGTAGACGAGTACCAGGCACGGCTTCGCGATATCGCGCGCCAGAACAGACGACCGACGGAGATTGACCGCCAGCTCCGGCAGTGCCATGAAGAGTATTCGCGCCGGATACAGGATCTGCAGAGAACAAAGAGGGAGGAGGATAACACTGGAAAAGATCGACGTATAAGAAAGGTATTCCTTCATTCCTTTACTTGACCTTTCTCTTCCATTCATGATGACTGCTGACCATCAGGATATTCTTTATCTTGCTATTGTCAATAAGCCATCTCCTGCTCAACTGGCGGCTGTAAGTACACAGTTATCAGGGTCTAGGATCAACATGGCAGATATATAGGATTATTCTGAAGCATATATATAGTAGACAGGATTATTAATTAATGACAGAGTATGGTTGAGATATATACACAAGAATCAAAAGCTAGGTTAAGAAGCAGGTTGATGATGCCCCCCATTATTCCGCGCCAGAAAGATGATATTCCTCTCACTCTGATTCCAATCCTCATCGTCGCCTTCGAACGCTTCATACCGAACCTTGGACATCAGCCGTTTACCCGGCCCCAGACCCAGGTGGCCGACCTCGATCCCCTCGGAGGCCGGTGAGGCCACGTTCTGTACGACCCCGGGAAGCTCGTCAAGTACGGTGATGGCGTCCATGTTGCGCCCGACCAGAAAGGGCAGGCTCTTCTCGCCGATCGCTGCCCCCATGCGCAGCATAGCGAACGAGTCGAGCTGGGAGGTCCATCGCGGGGAGAGGGACGAGTATATCGCGAGGAGGAGCAGGGGGATCATGTACAGGCCCATCAGGGCCGAGACGACCACAATGCCTGCAAGTGAGATGCTGGGGACCTCTACGTCGGTGCCGAAATCCTTATAGACGTAAAGCTGGCCATCTAGGGTTTGGAACCAGGCCTGGTTCGCTAAAAGGGCAGCGGCGGTGAAGGCGTTGGCCATGTTGTCTGAACCATAAAGAAAGTCGTAGATCCACTCCATTAACCCATCGGAAGGGGTGCCCTTTGAGTCAAAGCTCTGGCAGCTATAGCTGTCCTCTCCTAGTAGCAAATTTTGGAGTGGCGGCAGCTCGAGACAGATGTTGTTGGAATTCGGCACGCTCTGGGCGAGGCTCGCATTGATTTCAGCAAAGGTTGAGGGCCAGGTCTCGATGAAGGAGCTGGGTCCAAAGATGGCGGCTGCAGTGGTGAGGAGCGGGCCTGGATTGATTTGCGTCTCCACAAGGGCATTCCAGTCGCTAGAGACCACATCATTGGTGGTATCGGCACGTTTAACATACAGCCACTCGTTTTGATCGGGGCAGTCCGTGCCACAGAGCGAGGCAAAGTCCTCATCCAGCAAGGGGCCCGGCGTAAGATCGTTCATATAGTTGGGCAACTCGAAGTACCCTGCGGTCGTCTTGACGGTGATTTTATACAAATGGACGTTGCTCATGGCGCTATATCCCTGCTGCGTAAGATTGAGGTACAGGGTTTCAGAGAAATTCTGGGGCTTGCGCGTCGCCGTCCACGGGGATGTGGTCGTGTAGTCCAGCATGCAGGCCACCACGTCAAAGCTGCTGTCATATTCAGTGTCTAGATTGGCAGAGCTGTAATGAAAGTAGAAGCCGGACTTGGACGAGGAGTTGCAGTCGGAAGGCCAGTCATCCTCTGTGATGCTTGTGGATGTGGCCGTGGAGTTGATCCGGGGCGCAAACTGGCGCGCCTGGCCGGTATTGAGCCCAACCGGCAGCGGACAATAAAAGGGGTCCGTGAGGCTTGAAATATCCAAAAATGTCGGAACAATCCCGCCCTTCTCGCTTTGCCAGAGGTGATACTGCGGGGTCGCCGTGGTGGCACTGCTCAGGCTGTTGCGGGCGATCAGCATGATAACGCCCGGGTACCCAGAAGCGTCAGAATATTGGACAGAGTCTATCTGGGTGAAGTCCACGGTATTGGCGACCTGAAAGGGGCTCTTGGGCACCGTGATGGTCTGGGAGGTGAGAAAGATGGATTGGATGGGGTACGTGACGAGCGCGGCGAGATAGATGCACATGGCCCCGAGAAGGAAGCTGCTCGTGTATCGTTTGGAACCACCACCCGAGCCGGTGAGGTGGTACCAAACAGTAGGATCCATCCACCTGCGGTCTGCCAGCGTCATGACCTGGCGCAGGGTCAGGGCGTCTGCGCTTTTCTGCTTCTGCACGAAGATGACAGCGGCGCTGGCGCATACAGCGGAGATCCAGGGGAGAGTCACCACGCTGACGATGGACTGGATGACGCGTGCCGAGCGATAGACTCGATCATTCCCCGCCATGCTCGGCGTGTCGTCATCCCAGTATACGCTTGCTGGCCATTGCCAGGACTTGAAGCCGTAGAGAGGGCGGTACGAGAGGATGACGGTGATGACCCACGAGTACACGGCGAGAATCAGGTATAAGAGCGTCAGCAGCAGCACCCATCTCGAGCGACGGAGGGTGGTGGTATAGCCTCGTCCAGAAACGAGCTCTGGCGGCGGGGCGTGACTGTAGGGGGGCAGCGTTTCCATCGGCGGGACTGTTGACTCCGCGTGTTGCTCTCCAGTAGCACTAGGCTGCTGCTGCTCCTGCTGGCGGTGGTCATGTTCGTCGTAGCCTGGAGGATGCTGCAAACTCCCCCTCGACAAAGGTCTCAGCGGGATAGAAGAAGAGCTGGTCTCCATGGCTGTAGGGGCGAGCTGTCGAGGCTCAAAAGTCCGAGAAGTGAGCGGCCGTCGCCAGACAACCTAAGGCGCCGGGTCAGCTTATTTTTAAAACAACAAGCCCACTCTCACAAGGCAGACTGGCGCCGATAAGAAGCAAAGGCTTGATCATATCTTGGACCCTAGTCGAAGACCGCAGGGGTCTACACAGTTGTACCCCTCGTAAGTACCAGTGCCAAATGGCAGGCTGGTTGCATTAGTGGGATAGCCCTCATTGGTGATGTCTCTGTCGACAGCAGTAATTTATTTCAGGTGCTCCGTACGCTGTAGACGCCAGGAAATCCAGCTGTCGCGACACGTTTGCTGCCACTGCCACTGGCTCTGTTACTGTCAAGGGTCTACCGGGCGTCTCCGTTGTCCATCGCATACTCCGTACCACTACTCCGTAGGGGCTTCGCTTAGCCTCATCGACAGCCTAACCACCAGTCAGCTGGAGGGCTAGTTGGTTGGTAATTAATCGTGGAGAGAACTCTAGACTCACAGCCACGAATTAGAATGATGACCATGGGCATGGTGGATGCCTGCGGTGGAGTTGTGGAAGGATGGAGGAGGAAGAAGTGCCGGAAATTTGTTTGAGCTGTAGGAAGGATTATTATCTACAAATTTCTACGATGAGGGGATAAATAATAAGCACAAGATACTGAACCATTTAGTAAGTCATTTCATCCTTTTATCTACAACACCTGTACTAAATACTTTGAATATATACCACTCAATCCCTCTTGCTCTCCCCCTTATCCAAGGAAGGCGATAGACTCCTCTCCCATTCCGCCATGAGCGTCGATGCAGTCCGTGTCAGTTTCGAGGGTGCCAGTTTCGTCAGTACAGGCCAGGGGATTCCATCCGAGACGCTAGGGTCGGGAATGTTGAATTCAGAGAAACTGGAAGAGTAAGTATGAAAGTAGAATCTGGTACGGAAAGGGGAGGGGGGGGGGGGGGGGGGGGGGGGGGGGGGGGGATACCTTGCGCTCGTTCGGGCACTCGTCCGACTACTCGTCTGCGTGATGGGCGAGGCATCATGTTTCGATTCAAGAGTCGACCGGCTTGAGGACGGGGTGTGTGTCTTCGTCTTGGCCTGCGGAGTAGAGTCCCACGAGTAATCCCAGCCGTCATCGGCGGCTTCGGTGGGAGCGTTCACGGTCTGCGCGTGTTGGGAGGGGGGGGAGGCCTTGCGGGTGGGATGTTGTTGATGTTGTTGTGGTGGGTTGTTGTGATTGTGGTTGTGGTTTTGATTGTGGTTTTGCGTCTGCCCAGCTGTATCAACGCCGAATTCACTCCAAAACGACGAGTCAATGTCCGTGGACACGGCCGGAGTGGTTTTTTTATTACCAGAGGTAGTGGTTGTCGTCGATGAGGTCTCCCTGCCTCTCCCCGTGGACGACATGGACCTTGAAGACACAGACCTTGCCGACGGCGACCGCGACAGTTTCCTCTGCGAATTGTTACCCCCGTTGTTGTTGTTCACAGACAGCCGATCCCGGCTCCGCGAGGCAGTGCTGACATCTCGCTGGGCCCGTGCAGGCACTGTTCGCGACTCGGTTGCGTTGATCCCTTCCTCGCCCACCGTCGCCTGGCGGATATCCTCCAAAAACGTCCACAGCCCTTCGCGCAGGTCCGATGCCATCTGCTTACCCGTGCGCATCAGCGCCTCGCGCGATGGCGGCGGCATCGACCGCCGCCAGTTGGTGATAAGATCCTCCGACGGGTCGGCGACAGCGGCAGCAGTCCCTCGGTTGCCGGTTTCGTTCGACACGTTCGGAGTGTGGCCTAGCAGATCGGTGGGTCGGCTGCGTTCCACGGAGGGCAGCGTTGCCGACCGGGGCGGGCGCGACACGCGCTCTCCTGATCCCAACTCGCCTGGCCTTCCACTTCCATTGGTACCATTTGCGGACGGTGACAGCAACGACAGCGTCCGCGTGTGTGAGCCGTGAAACACCCGCCGTCCGTTTGCCGAGATACTCGTCCCCGGCGCCGCCGGGGTGTTATTCGTCGCCGTGACCAACCGCAGACTAGTCCGTCGTTCGAGCTCGCGACTGTGTCGAAGGTTCGCTGTGGTGATGTTCGAAGTATTAGGAGGTGTAGTAGTAGTAGTAGTAGTAGTGGTAGTGGTAGTGGTAGTTGATGTGGTAGTAGTAGGGGTGATGGTAGACGCATTGGCAGTAGAGGAAGAAGAATCGTCGACCCGGTCGGGCGACTTGAGCGGCAGCATCTGTTCAGCGCGATAGCTGATCTCGGTCTTCTTCTTCGCGCGCTCGGACAGCGCCCACTGTTTCTTGAGGAGAGCCAGATCGGACTCGGCGCGCTGCAGCTCCTCGCGTAGCTCAAGCACTTTCCGCTCCTGCGAGGCGATGGCCGTCAGGAAATCGTAGCTGCCACTCCCATCGTCCGCCATCTCGCCAGGCACGGGGGTTGTTGACAGGGGCAACGAAGACGCAGCAGCAGCAGCCCCGCCTCCAGCTCCAGCTCCAGCTCCAGCTCCTCCACCTCCTATTGACGATAATCCAAACGGGGCCATGGCCGGCGAGCTCGACGAGGGCGTTTCAACGGAGGACAAGGCGACAAGCGAGGGCGGGTTGATGGGGAAATTCAGAGTCAAACGTTTGGCATGTCGAGCCGAGCCATGGGGATGCGAGGTCTGTCGTTGCAGCTGCTCTCGTATCTCTGCTCGAGCTTGTCGCTGTTCTTGTAGTGGTGGTTGTGCTTGAGCTTCTGCTTCTGCAGGACCAGCTGCGGTTTTCTGGTCCGTTTCCGGCGAGTTCTCCATGGCCAGCTGGGAACGAAACAAAAACAAAACAAATAAAAAAAAAAGAAAAACGGAAAAAAACAATCAAACCTGAATCAACAAAACTAAACACAAAAAGATATACAAGGTCAAGAAAACAAACACATGGTGGAATAAAAAAGAAAGCCAGGAGAGGATCAGGGGGGGCTGTGGAGAGCCATACGCCAGCCACGAGCTAAGAACTGCCAATATCTACGGAGTAGGAGGTAGTTTTACTCCCTAAGTCGTTCTGGCCAGCGATCGCTATGAATGACCACAATACTCCGTAACAGTCGATAATCTCCGAGGATTATCTAAGGTTCTCGTGGCCGGTGCCTCCAGTTATCGCCCTCGTTTCGAGTCCACAGTACACACAGACACGGCTTGAGCGGGTCAATCATTGCGTTTCAGGAGTCTTACTTGGGATCGACTGCATTGACAGGGGCAGCGAGAGAGAGAGAAGAGGGAGAGCTGGAAATAAAAAAAAATAATCATTATTCTGATGGAAAAGCTACGCCCAGAATGTTAAAATGACAATATCTATCTCGAAGCGAACAGCCAAAATACACAGCCAAAACACACAGCCAAAACATAGACACAGGCCAAGATAAAAGGGAAAAAAAATTGACAAGACAATGATAGTGAAGTGATAGAGAGACAATAAAAAAAAAGAGAGAGAGAGAGAGAGAGAGAAAGAAAAGTAAGCAACTCCATGCTCCAAAGAAGGTAATCGACAAGAATTGAACGAATTGAATCGAACAGGGTATTAGGACACCGACAATGCTTCCTGGTCGCAAGCAGGTATCGACGAAAGAGAGCCACCCGGCGAGAAGAAAGGTGTATAAATCACAGGACAGACCATTTTCAGACAATGAATGCAGCTGCTCTAGGCAGAGAGAATAAAGGAAATAAGAGAATGGCAGGGTGAAGTAAGAAGAAGAAAAGAAGGTTAAAGACCCGGCCAACGGTTACGCAGTCCCTCGGACCAGCGGTCATACAGTACATCGGCCAACTGCTTTGTGTGTTCCATTCCCATCACCTGCTGGCCGGGCAGGTTGGCCAGCTGGGCGTTGGCGCTGTGCCAGCTGGCCTCGGTGGCTTGCGCAGCCGACTGCCGGCGACGGTGGCTTTTGAGATGTGGGTTGTTTTGTGCCAGTACCAGCTTCGGCTTCTGGGGGGATTCTGGTGGAGGAGGTGGTGAGACGAGCCCGGCGAGTCTCGAGTCCCTAAGAAGAAATTAGCTCAGTCATACGCTTTTTTTTTGGTGAGAAGAATACTCACCCATGAAGCTTCTCCGTCATCGTGCGGACAATATGGTAGAGGCCCTCCGGGTCAACCATTTCCAGGTCGCTCCAGGCCTCCGCCAGCCGCGAGATGGCCTCGCGCTTCTCCTGGTCACCCGTGGTGCCCAGCACCTCCTGACAGGCCAGCCCGACAGCCTTGCTATAGGCGCGCCGGCCGAGCTGCGCCTCTTTGCTGTTCGACTCGGACGGGTGCATGCTCTTCTGGCTCACATTCTCGTCGATCCCCGGCGGGTACCGCGGGGCATACGACGGGGAGGCCTCTTTATCAGACACACGCCGGAACTGGCGGACGGTGGACGGGCTGTTGCCAAAGCTGAGGTTCAGCCCTAACGGCTGCTTCACGCCGCTTGACCGGCGCTTCTTGTTGTGGTTGTTGTTGATATTGTTGCCTCGTTTCACCGAGGGGCTCCGTTCGACGGCCACCGGGGGGTTGCGGCGGACGGTCGGGTTCTGAACGTGTTTCGGGGTCGAGGACAGGTGAGAAACGTGCATGTTTTCCATCAGCTCGGTCGGCTCGTCCATGTAGTCGAAATCGTCTAGCTCGTTCTCCCGGTCCTCCGGGTCGGCGGCAATGTGCATGGGGGGGGCCTTGACGGTGTCGAAGACCCATCCGTCGTCGTCGTCGAGTTTGGTGATGGTGTTTCTAGCAAGTTAGACTGTAAAATCCAAGCATTATGAGCTCCCAATAGAGAAAAAAAGAACGTACAATGACTCGGCGTAGTATTTGACATTCTCCGTCATGCCCCGACCCCCATCCCAGTCCTGTTTGCGCTGGATTAGCTCCTGTAGGGCCTCAGTCTTGCCGGCGTTACGAATGAACTTGTGGCGCAAGAGCTCCTTGGCCGAGGGGCGACGGTCGGGGTCTTTGATGAGGCACTGCGAGATAAAGTCGCGGAAGGTCTGGCTGTACTCGTCGCCCTCGAGACGCGGGGCGGGGTTCTTGGGGATGAGGAAGAGGACCTTCATGGGATGGGTACTGGCGTGCGGGGGCTCGCCGTTGATCATCTCGATGGCGGTGATGCCGAGGGACCAGATGTCGGCCTTGAAGTCGTAGCCAGCCTGCTGGATGACTTCGGGGGCCATCCAGAATGGCGTGCCGACAAAGGTGTTCCGCTGGGACTTGATGTTTGTGAGCTGGGCGGCGACGCCAAAGTCCGCCAGCTTGACTTTTCCCAGATGCGACAGCAGCACGTTGGCGGCCTTGATGTCGCGGTGGATCTTCCCTTCGCTGTGCAGGTAGTCGAGGCCCTGGAGCAGCTGCTGGCAAATGATGGCGACGTGCGCCTCATTGAAGACTCCTGGCTTGAGCTGTTTTGTTTGTTTTCTCCGGGTCAGCAAGACGTTTTCCCATCAGGGTCATTCCGTGATAGACTGACCAGATCCAGACAAGAACCTCCCCCCAGGTATTCCATCACAATCCACAGCTTGTGCCCTCGCAGGAAACTGGCCTTGTACTGCGTCACGTAGGGACTGGCGCACGTCGCCAGCACCGAGATTTCCTGCTGAATCTCCTGGATATCATCTTCGCTCGATTCCAAGTCAATCTGCAATCCGTTAGCCGGGTAGTCGGGTAGTCGGAGGAGGGGGGGGGGAGACGAAGACGAAGACGAAGACGACGCCGACGTACATGCTTGATAGCCACGATCTCTCCAGTCGCGCGGTCGATCGCCTTGTAGACGGTTCCAAAACTACCGCCTAGAAACGAATCAGCCATCCCAATTCACGTCGAAAGGAAAGATAGATCAACGTACTCCCCAGCTCCTCCAGCATCTGGTAGCGACCAGCCATATCGTCCGCCATTGCGAGGGAGAAAAACGAGACAGAGCGGAGAGGAGAGAAAAACCACAGGGCGTTGCACAGAACCCAGGCGCCCGCGCAACGACCGAGAAATCCAGGGACCCCAAGAATTCAGAATCCTCGAGTTTCCAGATCCTGCCAGGCAAACTGGAGAGACACCAGCAGCAGCTCGGAAGGGTTCCTGGTCCTGGTTCTGGTTCTGGTTCTGATGGTCCCTCCGTCTCCACTGCAGCTGAGAGAGCAACAGCCCGTAGCGCATGGCAACCAGGGGGGCTGACTCAGCAGGAACATTTATAGTCCTCAGTTCTAAGTTTAGTTGGGCAGTTAGGTACCTACCTACAAAGTAAATTAAATTAACTAGAATAACTAATACTTGTTCTATGGCTTCCTTGCATGATGCAGGTACAGTCCAGTTGTGGAGAGCTGTTCGTTGATGGCTATCAGCTATAAGTATGGGTTAGTTACCGGGTCCTAGTTACCATGGTACAAGTATAGGTCTATGGATAGTACGGAGTATACCTATAGTTAGTAGTATATGTAGTACAGTATTATTTTCTGGTAAGAAATACTACACGATAATTGAGTTAATCTATTTTTATGATATTTCAAATTATGCAGATAAGTGAGGGATGCTGCCAGAAGTTTATATAGATGTACGGAGTAGACTGGATGCACCATGCAGTCAGGGCTAATTACCTGCCGGCTTAAGACATGCATTGCCTTGCTAATTAAATATGCAAGATAGATGCAGGATAGATGTAGAGATGTAGTGTACCAAGGCAAGTAGGTGTGTTATGATATGTTGTGTTGAAAGGTAAACAGAATTATACAGACTAACTTTTGACTAAATGTACTTGTAGGGGTTCATGATGCCATTCTAATCAATTAGTATAAAATATTATATCGAAAGGGTCAAGGGAAAAAAAAAACATACCGGGTCGTAGAGAGCCTTGAGCTGCTTCATGAGCTTCAGATTGGTCTCGTTCTGGCTGTAGCCGATGAACTCCTTCTTGGCAACACCCAGGCCGTGTTCGGCGCTGATGGAGCCGTTGCGCTGGGCAATCCATTCGTACACCCAGGGCTCGATGGCCTTCTCGACCTCCTTGGAGTACTGGCGCACGGCAACGTTAAGGTGCAGGTTGGAGTCGCCCATGTGGCCGTAGCCGACGACAGCGCGCACCGGGTACGAGTCATCCTCGCCGACCAGGCCCAGGGAGGTCAGGCGGTCGCGGGTGTCGTCGACTAGCTGGTACAGGTCCGTGAGGGGGATGGAGACGTCGTACTTGTAGGTGCCGCCGAGGTGGGAGAGGGCCTCGGTGATACCCTCGCGCCAGCGCCAGATGGCCTGGAACTGGGTCTCGTCCTGGGCCAGGACGCCGTCGGCGACGATGCCCTCGCCGAGGATGTGCTCGAGGAAGGCCTCGAGCTTGGCCAGGTCGTGCTCGCCGTTGGACCCGCTGGTCTCGACCAGGCAGTAAAAGGGGTACTCCCCCTCGAGTGGGTACTTGTTGCCCGTGGACTCGTGCACAAGGCGCTGGCTGCGGCCATCCATCAGCTCAAACGCCGACAGGATCTCCGACAGCTGGCCCTTGGCCTCGCGGAAGGCGGCGCGCACCTGGTCGTAGCTCTCGAGACCAAAGTAGGCAACATTGACGGCTTTCGGGCGCGGCGGGCATTGGACCGCCACCCCCGTGATGATGCCCAGCGTGCCCTCCGCCCCAATGAACAGCTGCTTCAGGTCATAGCCCGTGTTGTTCTTGCGCAGGGTCGACAGGGCGTCGACCACCGTTCCATCCGCCAACACGGCCTCCACACCCAGCACCGAGCCGTGCAGCGAGCCATACCGCAGCAGCCGCAGTCCACCGGCGTTGGTGGCAACGTTGCCGCCCAGATGACACGACCCCTTGGCCCCCAGGTCGAGCGGGAACAGATGCTCCCGTTCCGCCAGGTACTGGTCGGCCACTTCGAGAATCACACCCGCATCGGCGACAAGCACGCCCGAGGCCTCGTCAAAGGACCGGATCTGGTTCATGCGCGACGTGTTGATCACGATCTCGTCGAACACGGGCACCGACCCGCCCACCAGGCCCGTGTTCCCCCCCTGCGGCACCACAGCCAGCTTCTTCTCGTTGCAGTACCGCAGCACCGCGCTGATCTCATCTTTGTCCTTGGGCTTGAGCACCAGCCGGGTGTGTCCGCGGTACTTGCGCATCCAGTCGCTGTTGAACGGCTCGATGTCGTCGGCTGCGTTGTCGCTCGTCACCCCGTCCACCACGGCTGAGGGGGCCCCCAGCAGCTCCTGGAAAAACCGCACATCCTCCGCGGTGACCTGGGCGAAGTTCGGGTTCCGCTTGATGTTCGGGTACGCGTCGCTCGTGTATTTGATCTGTCGAGTCGAGTCGGCGGCCACCGTCGACGAGGCCGTGAACGGGCGGGCGGAGATTGAGGAGGTCGTAGAGGAGGTCGGAGAGGGGATTGAGACAATCGGCCGGGCAGCAGGGCGAGCGCTGGGCAGCCGGGCCCGTCTAAGGGCTAGAGAGAGGCGTCGTGAGGACATGATTGTGTGTTTTTATGTTCTTTTCCCTCTTTTTTGCGAATTATTCCATAGATTCGTGGTTGGGGGATAAATAAATTGGGAGAATCGTCCGGATTATTTTCCGGATAACGCAATGCTACAGAGAACAACCGAAGAAGACGGAGTACTTTGCAGAAATAATCAATAATAAGAGAACAGGTACTTCAGACAGATTTAAAAATAGAATAAAATTATGAGACATCCAGATAGCTAAAGATAATTAAAGCTATCATGGTTGTACCATTCATCTCTACGGCACTGAGCATAGGGTATAGAGCACTTTATACCTAGAGATTGAGCGACACCCTCTCCTTCTATATAAGGGAGTTCTCTGCCATATAATCTAGGTATTAAGGCAGTTAGGTACCAAGTGCTTATAGGTATATAACTTTGATCATAATCCATTCATTCCTGCGTCGATTCCTGCGTCAGGGAATATATATATAAGGGTAAACATCAAGGCAAATGGCCAATGAAAACCAGCTAGGTACTTAAAGCCCAACCAGTATCTGCTGCATTACTTTAATAATACTATATACTAACTATATATTTGCTATCTAGTGAGTAAAGGCTTCACTCTATCAGCTGGAAAGGCAGGGTAGGCTCAGATTAGGGGGTTTAATCTTCCGTCATAAGAATTCCAACTGTATCATGTGAGTTGTAATCAGCAACGACACACTTGACTGACAGTGCAAGCTGTGAATCGCCGACATGCTCTCATAGCGACCATGCGCCCAATCCAACGTTGTTCGATGGACTCTGTCCCTTCTAATATACGCATTATGAAGGAACTTAGCAGATCCGATGCGTCTTCGATATTTGAGGTAGAGCTTGACGGGGAGAAATACGCTATGAAGCTTGTACGTGTCTGATTGATCTGATGGTGTTTGATTCTTCTTACTCACGGCTCAGTTTCATGACAATGGGGACCCAGGGTTTGCCGAGAACGGCCGAGATCTCAATCGGTTTCGCTGCGAGCTGAACGCTTATATGAATCTTCGGAAACATAATGTTTGCAAGCAGGGATTCGTTCCGTACTTTCATGGCCACATTGATCGAATCAATCCTTCAGCGTTCCAACCAGCTCTCCGAGGTTTTGCTTGCGACAAATTCCACCCTAGAGCAATACTGCTCGAATATCTTCCAGATGCCGAGAGCTTAAACTGCGAGAATTACTCAGATGCTCGATACCAGCATGTAATAGACGGTATGAAGCAAATCCACAAAGCGCATGTTCACCACCAAGACATATACCCTAAAAATATTCTCATTGTTCCTGGTGCTCGGGAAAGGGTGGTCTGGGTGGATTTTGACGTCGCAACAACCTTTCCACATCTGGGTCCCAGCGAAAAGCAGTATAGCGAATATGAAGACGAGCTTGTTGCAGGATTCGGAGAAGCCTTGGTTTGTCCATCTATCAACTCGTTACTTACCGAGAAAACTAACCCATATACTGTATAGCGAGAGGATCAAAAGCAGGGACTTCGTAAAAACACCAAGTTCTACTAGTACGAGTCGACCTGATGAGCGAACCTTCGGCCTTGAAGACATGGAATACAAAATACCATCTATTCGCGACATGGATAATCTAAGAGACAACATCCTTGTAGGTGGTAAGCTATGCAAGCCAAGGCCATCAAAAGAATCATTCAAAGTCCTTAATAGGGATGCGGAGGACAGTCACGACAAATGCCATATTCTTCAGCTTGGAAAAGAATTCTTAAATAGGTTTTAGGTTGGGTGAGTATGGTGGTAGATACAGCAGCTTAACCCCGGCTTTAGAGCACATCTCCTTGATCTTTTTGGAGGGTTGAAAAGGTGCATTGTCCATGACGATCACAGTGTAAGGCTAGCTCTAACATGACACTAACATCATATTATACCAATGAGTCTGACCATTGGAATCCGTCATTAGCTAACACTTTTTGTCAGTGGAAGAACCAGATTCACTACTAATTATTAGAAGTATAAAGGACTGTTACACATTCTCATCTTATATTTTGCTACAGACGCGTAAATTTCCTCTGGTTTCCTTGGTAATCGACTTACAATGAGAACGCGATTGCCCATCCAGTGTATCCGAGCCTCTTTTCTTCCTGTATCGCGCGTCATCCCGGTCTATCAACAATTCCACCCCATGAGTGAGTATATCAGGTATCCTGACCGTCTACATCATTGCTGGCTAATTCAGAACCCTTTCAGGCACTTCAACAAGACCAGAGCTATTCTCCTACACATCAGGGAGGTTCCTTTACGATGAAACAGCCCGGTTACGCGAGCGCTATATCGAGTTCGATCCCGATACTCTTCTGCGAGAGATCGAAAAGCATATTGGCCTATCCCATGGACAGGCTAAGCGTCTCACTAAATTCGCAGAAGGGGGCTTTAACCGCGTCTTTCTCATAACAATGGAGGATGGGTCTGAGGCTATTGTCAAAACTCCATACAGCATTGCAGGACCAAAACACTACGCGACCGCCAGCGAAGCGGCCACTCTGCATTATCTCCATTCCCAAGGTATCTCTGTGCCCAAGGTCTACGGTTACTCCTCTTCGAAAAGCAATCCTGTCGGTATAGAATATATCATCATGGAAAAGGCTCCGGGTGTGAGTCTGGCGACAATGTGGCGAAGTATGAGCAAGAAACAGCGACATACTCTTGCCTCTAGCTTTGTTGAAGTTGAGAAACAATTCTTTGATCTCCCTTTCGGATCTCTAGGAAGTCTCTATTTCAAGAAAGATGTCCCTACTGAACTCCAGGCCGGTTTGTACGATCGAGATACTCGAACTGATGACTTGTCGGAGATCTTCTGCATCGGCCCAACTGCAGACTACATGTTTTGGCATGGGGAACGTGCTAATTTTGATCTTGATCGAGGGCCCTGTGAGTGAATCTGTCCTAAGTTGAGCTCATCTTCATATTACTTAGCCATATCAAGGGAATGACCCCAAGAGGTACCTTGCATCGCTTGCAGAGAAGGAATCGATTGGGCACGGCGGCTTGGAAAGCCAGTAGAGCTTTACTTTCTACATAATGGCGTCTTCCCTGGGATCAAGTACCCGGAAACCTATATCGATCTCTTGGACAAGTATCTCGCGCTGGCGCCGTACCTTCTTCCTAAAGACCCGAAGAACCCATTCAACCAGCCAACTCTCCGCCATCCAGGTACGTCGACCCCTCCATCCCCTCCGCGTCACTTAGGAAAAGTATCCTGACATCTCTTAAGATCTAAATCCGAACAATATCTTCATCTCACCTGAAACCGGTACTATATCTTGTATCATCGACTGGCAACATTCCAAAATTGAACCACGTTTACTTGCTGCTGGTTATCCTCGCGCATTCGAGAACCCCGATCCTGAACAATCCCTTGAACTCAAAGAACCTGCGCTTCCGGCACATTACGAGACAATGCCAGTTGAGGAGAAGGATGCAGCTGACGAACTCTATCGCCGTCGTCTTCTCTTCTATTATTATCGTATCTTCATTGGTCATCTGAACAAGGCCCATCTTGCATGCCTCCGTGACCCAATCCTCTTCCCTCGCCAGCACCTTGTGGATAGGGCTGGCAGACAATGGAATGGAAACACAATGACGTTAAAGGGAGCGCTACTGCGCATCATCGAGTATTGGCCTTACCTAGCGGATACAGCAGGGGTCTCGTGCCCTGTACAATTCCCCGAAACCGAGGTAGATGGATTCCACGAGCAGGAGCAGCTGTGGTTTAGCTTGAACAAAGTTGTGGATCATTGGCGAGATCAAGTCGGTGGTGTCAACGAGGATGGTTGGATCAGCAACGAAACGTATGAAGATTCTATGCGGAAAATTGCAGAGCTCAAAGCTTCTCTGATTGCCGAGGCGGAAGGGGACAAGGAAGATATTTATCTTTTAGAAAAGGGATGGCTATTCAGAGATCGTGAAGCCAATCCCTCGCCAGATTCAATTAAATCATAAATTTCACCCAGGGATATGACTTACGTCATGTCCACCATGCCCCACGTACTTAAGCATCCGAACAAATATTCATCACTCCATACTACTTGCATAGTCAACTAATATAACCATCATTGACATGTCTCAGGTTGTGCTTGTCACCGGTGCCAGTGGCCTCTTAGGCCGCCAGGTGTTCAACACCTTCAAACGCTCCTCCTGCCTGGTGATCGGCCAGGGATACTCGCGAGCCACCCCGCCGACGATCCTCAAGGCGGATTTGGAGAAGCCGGATGAAATCGAAGCTCTGGTGGACGAAGTGAAGTATTACTCTTCACTTTCCTACAAGCATCAGTACTTGTTCTTATTCTTATTTATAGGCCAAGTATTATTGTTCACTGCGCGGCGAACCGGTCACCCGACTCCTGCGATGCAAACCCCGAGCAAGCACGCCAGGTCAACGTGGAGGCCACCCGGACATTGGCACGGGCGGCCTCTACACGCGGGGCGCTGCTCATCTACATCTCGACCGACTACGTGTTCCCCGGGACAGAAGGACAGGCGCCGTACGAGGCCGACGCGGCGACCAACCCACCGAACACGTACGGCCAGTTCAAGCGGGACGGCGAGGTTGCCGTGTTGGAAGAGACGCGCGAGACCGGTCTGGGGATCGTGCTGCGGGTACCTGTGCTGTACGGCTCTGCAAAGAGCAACGCCGAGAGTGCAGTGAACGTGCTGGTCGACGCGGTCTGGAAGTCCCAAGGGGAAGGGGAAGTCGTCATGGACGACTGGGCGATCCGCTACCCGACCAACACAGAGGATGTGGCGCGTGTGTGCCGTGACATCGTCATCAAGTACCTACAGAACCGGACGCGGATGCGTGAAATGCCGCATATCCTACAGTTCTCGTCCGAGGACCGGATGACCAAGTACGAGATCTGTGAGAAGCTGGCGGGCGTGCTTGGGTTGCCGCTCACGGCCATGAAACGCAACTCGCAGGGCAACGATCCCAACGCCGCCGTCCAACGGCCGTACGACTGCCATCTGTCTACGCGTGAGCTGCAGAAACTGGAAATTGACGTCTCGACCATTGACTTTGTGGCCTGGTGGTATGTTTTTTTCTTCAACCTTCCCTACCTTTGGTGTTTGGCTAGACTAACTTCAATTACAGGCGCAGGGAACTGAAGGCGTTTAAAAAATAATTAAACAGACAAGGCAAATAAGTACAGAATGGTGGAATGAATCTTCTGTCCAGATTGATCTCTATAATAAGACCAGCGCTATTAGTTAATAGACGTGGTGGGTACACTATTATTGATTGGTATGTTGATCAGTTCTCGCAGTAAATCATACATGCTCTGTAGACTCATGATATTAGTATTTACAATGATAGCTTATTTAATATTATTCGTAGTAGTAGTAGTAGTAGTAGTAGTAGTAGTATTAGTAGTAGTAGTAGTAGTCGTGAATAATAGAGTATTGAGTACTGAGTATGTATTGCTTCATAGATAGGGAACTACTCCGTCTTACCCATAGAGTATTTCTAAAATAATGTCGGAACATTCCCCTTGCGTCCGTAGATGGCCTACATGCTCGAGGCAAGATTCGCTTCGACCGGTTGGCAGTAGTTATGTAGTATTCAATCCTCCCTCCCTCTCTCTCTTCTTCTTCTTTTCTTCTTTTCTATTGTAATCTCCGCTTCTCCGCATTTCTCGCCAGGGTCTAGGGTCCAGCCCATTAATCTCTCTCTCTCTCTCTCTCTCTCTCTCTCTCAGATATCCTCGAAAATCCAAGATTAACGAACAAAACAACAAAAGATGAGATTTCATTGATTCTGCTTCTATTTCTCTCTATCACCAGTTTCATCACGCGCCACATTTAATTTCCCCTCGACGCCACTTCGTGATCCTTGGCGAGATTGCGCGAAAAAAAAAAAAAAACAAGCTGGAAGGGGAATAAAAAGCATCGAAAGAAGAATGCACCTGTGAAGCGTCGGGGGAGAAGAATTCGAGACACGCGACTACCACAATGGCCATGGAGATCCAGCAAGGTGCCGCCGGCGCCAGTGTAGGGCCACCCCCAAAGTTCTCGCGATACCGCTCCGTAAGACAGGCAGCGTCGCAGAAGCAGGCAGCCCCTCCGCTGCCCTTATCAGCGCCGAATGGCGCACACTCTGGTGTGTCGCAGGCTCCGGCTATTGCGAAGAGCATGTCGCGTTACCGTCGTGCGAAACCTGCGCCCAGCGTCCCGACAAATGAACTGCAGCCTCCCGTGCCGACGGCGGTGGAGCGGAGACCCGAGGACAAGGATGTTATTATACAGGGAGGAGGGTGTGGGATCCAGTCTGGCATTGAGGGAAGGCTGCCGATACGTACATCCCAGGACAGTGATTCTATCGACGACAAGGCCGAGGAACTTGAACTGGAGCGGGAGAGACACCGACAGGAGGCCATGGCTCGGCTGACGGGTGGGGAGAGCCTGTCTGCGCCGTCGATGGGGGGTGGTTCGTCCAGGCCGACCACGCGGGGTACGGAAAGCAGAGACCAGAAGAATAAGAAGCTGATGAAGGTCAAGGAGCGAGAGCGAGAACGGGAGCAGCAAGATGTGAAAAAGAAGGCAGCGGCGGAGACGGATGCGAAACATCTGTCGTTCAAAGAGAAGTTGAGTCTGCCATGGTCCAAGGGACCCGAGGCCAAACACTCCAAGCCGGATGCAAAATACATCGAGGTCGGCGGCGGGGGGATCGTCCCAGGCATTGACGCCCCAGTCTCTGCCGTGAATGCTGGGGAGAGGAGAGTCGTGGTGCAGTACAGGGGAGCGTCGATCCGTCTCCCCATCACGCCGTCCACGCGCGCCCAGGACTTGTTGTTCTCGGCTGCCAACTGCCTGGGCCAGGATATCGACCCCAAGAAGTTTATCCTGATGGAATCCTTCGCCGAGCTGGGCCTGGAGCGGCCGCTACGCCGCTACGAGCACATCCGCGACGTGATGAACTCCTGGGCCCACGACGGCGAGCACTCGCTGTTCATCACGCCCCCGTCAAGCGTGTCGGCTCTGAAACGGCTCGATGCCAGCGGGGTCCCGGCCGAACAACCCGAGGACGCCACTTTCTCGCTCTACTATTCCCAGCGGCCGCGGAAATGGGACAAACGCTTCGTCACGCTGCGGACGGACGGGCAGGTATCTGTCTCGAAGAAAGAAAGGGCCCAGGAGCAGACGAACGTCTGTCACCTGTCGGACTTTGACATCTACACGCCCACCCCGCACTATCTGGCGAAGAAGGTCAAGCCGCCAAAGAAGATCTGCTTTGCCGTCAAGAGCCAGCAGAAATCGAGCATGTTCCTGTCCACCGAAAACTTTGCCCATTTCTTCGCCACCAATGACCGCGACCTGGCCGACCGCTGGCACAACGCTGTCCAGCAGTGGCGGAGCTGGTATCTCGTCAACAAACTCGGGGCGGGCCAGAAGAAGCCAGACGAAGCACAAGGTGCGGAATCCAAACCACCAACATCAGCCTCGGTCTCTCGTCAGACATCTCGACATCGCAAGGGGATGCCTTCCGAGTCGACGCCTTACCAGCTGGGTGCCTTCAAGCCGCTGTTGGACATGGATTCGCTTGAGTATGCGAGCGGAGATGACCAGGCGACACACCCTCCGTCCTCGTCACACACCAAAGACCTGTTCGCACGGAAGAAGAGCACCCGCGAGCACGCCCCGCCGCCTGCCTCCTTTCCGAAGAAGCTCTCTGTTGACACAGACGTTGTCAACAACAACAACAGCACATTGGTCAAGGGCATGTCGCGCGAGGAAATGGACGCCGCGACGTTTGCCCCCACGGGACTGCTGGGCCGCAGCTACAGTCAGCGCCAACGTGCCATGTGGGATCGCGAAGAGAAGGAGCGGCGCATGAAGCAGCCCGACAGCGCAGAGCCCTTTTCGCCACAGGGTCTGCTCAGCGGCGTCAGCCCCCTGACCTCTCCTTCTTCGACACACTGCCAGCCAGGCGGCGGTGGCGGCGGCGGCAGTAGCAGTGGCTGCTATCCAGCCAGCAACCCGGCCAGCCGCTCAAACACGATGCGGTCCGCCCAGGCCCCCGATTTGAGCGGGTTTGTCCGACGCTCGGATTCTCTCCAGCGACCCAAACCCCTCGTCGATCTCACCCCGGTGTTCCAGGAGCCGCCACAGCATGCTCGCAAAGGCCGCGGGGTGACTATCGAGCCGGGCGTGCCTCTTGTTGAAGCCGCCACGGGGCCCGAACTTCCTACCGGCGCAATTGAAGTTCCCTCGGCGACGACGTGGAGGAGGCCAGCGCCTCCTCCGCTACAATCATCAACAACAACAACAGCAGCAGCAGCAGCAGCAGGAACAAACAATTACTCCAGACAGCATGGAACAGGCGGAGCGAATGGAGGTCCTGCCGTCTCGCCTACCTCGCCAACCTCTCCCGAGAGCCCCTTTGTACCAAACAGTCTGCTTGCGCGGTCTGCAAAGGTTCCAACGCATGCTCCGGGGATACCCACGGGCCACGGTGTCGCGACGGGGGACCGCACGGCGAGTAAGCCGATGCTAGACATGACGCCTAAGAATCCATTTATCGAGGGGAGTCTTCTTCATGATTTATAAGTTCCCCCTTCATATGTAGTAGGATTTACTGGCGTTACAGGAAGGTTCAAGGGTATTTGGATTTCTTATATCTTGTGCTTTCTTTTTCTGATTATTAGCCATCGGATACCCATCAATTGGAACCCAACTATTACAACACGTTACTCTCTTATACTGCAGCATATGTCAAAATCTGCAGCTCCTCCCATTTTATGTACTCACCGCTACCTTTGAGTTTCCGATGAGTTCGAGCAGGCAAGCAGCGAGTCATCTGGAAGCCACGAGCAGATCACCCCGAACTGCATTTCTTCCGTAGGAATGCTAATAAAGAAATATTCTATCGGTTTACTTCTGTAGGTTAAGTTCATCCATCGACGTATGATAGATCAACCGAGTGTTGTTGTCCTGTCCTGACTGACGTCTCCACGGCGATAATGGACCAATCCTGGCGACAAACCACGGTGTCACCATGGGAAAGAGTGCAGTAACCGATCGATAGACTGAACAGAGTGAGACATTAGTACATGAGGTAAAAGCGAGAATCGAGGAAAGCATGATAATTGAATTTACCATGCAGTTTTATCGACTTAAAATGGCTGTTAACCAGCGATACAGTCAGTAGCTACCTACCTACTCCCGGTAGGTAGAGCTGAGTGACCTTCCAGGAGATTAAGACCCCAGTCTATACACTTAATCGCATGTTGGGACTAGGCATTGCTCGCCTATCGATACGCCCCTCTCCGTTGGATCTGATCCGATCGGTGGTTGTCGAGGTGTCCTCGAGGAGGAGTTGCTTCTCCAGCAGTGTTAGTATTAGTAGTGGCACTGGCACTGGCACTGGCACCGACACGCCGCCCGGACCAGGTAACGACCTCCAGCTGCTGCCACCGCTTCCCGACTCGCCCACCACCTTGACCAGGACCAGCAGCTCGACCAGCATCGAGTGTTCCGCCCTCTCGTACCCTGTTTTGTCCACCCACCCCTCTCTATCGCACACCATGGCGCCTGCTGGAAAGGACAGGAAGCGTCTCGAGGCCGACCAAGAGAACTATGGTGCTATCTTCTCGGTCTCCGGCCCTGTCGTCGTCGCCGAGGACATGATCGGCTGTGCCATGTACGAGCTGGTAAGCTGGCCCTAGGCTGGAAGACTTTTTGCTTGCTTCAATCGTTATTTTTTTTTCTTTTTAATTTAGTTCTTTATTTCTCACCTTCTCTCTCTTAGTGTCGTGTCGGTCATGACCAGCTGGTCGGCGAGGTCATTCGTATCGATGGAGACAAGGCCACCATTCAGGTCTACGAGGAGACAGGTACCGATTAAGCTCCCCGGTTTCACATGTTTACGATCGATACTAGCTATTTTTAAATCATTTAATTCTCTTTCAATTATAGAGCTTTTACTGACAATTTTCACTCATAGCTGGTTTGACCGTCGGCGACCCCGTGATGAGAACCGGCAAGCCCCTCTCCGTCGAGCTCGGCCCCGGTTTGATGGAGACAATCTACGATGGAATTCAGCGCCCCCTCAAGGCCATCTCCGACCAGTCGGAAGGTATCTACATCCCTCGCGGCATTGCTGTCAACGCGCTGGATCGTGAGAAGAAGTGGGACTTCAAGCCTGGCCCCCTCAAGGTCGGCGACCACATCACGGGCGGCGACATCTGGGGTTCCGTATTCGAGAACAGCCTGGTGAACGACCATAAGATCATCCTGCCCCCGCGTGCCCGGGGTACCATCACACGCATTGCTGAGGCCGGTAGCTACACGGTCGAGGAGAAGCTGCTGGAGGTGGAGTTCGAGGGCAAGAAGACCGAGTACCCCATGATGCACGCCTGGCCTGTCCGAGTGCCCCGCCCCGTCAACGAGAAGCTGCCTTCCGACTCCCCCTTCATCGTCGGCCAGAGAGTGCTGGACTCTCTCTTCCCCAGCGTCCAGGGCGGTACCGTGTGCATCCCTGGCGCTTTCGGATGCGGCAAGACTGTCATCTCGCAGTCCGTCTCCAAGTTCTCCAACAGTGATATCATCGTCTATGTCGGATGTGGTGAGCGCGGTAACGAGATGGCTGAAGTCTTGATGGATTTCCCTGATGTAGGTTTCCCCCCCTCCCCTCCCGCTACCCGACGCAGCCTTTATCAATCTCCTACTAACAAACCTCTTATCTAGCTTTCTATCGAAGTTGATGGACGCAAGGAGCCCATCATGAAGCGTACCTGTCTGATCGCCAACACCTCCAACATGCCCGTCGCCGCTCGTGAAGCTTCCATCTACACCGGTATCACCATCGCCGAGTACTTCCGTGACCAGGGCAAGAACGTGGCGATGATGGCGGACTCCAGTTCTCGTTGGGCCGAGGCTCTGCGTGAAATCTCCGGTCGTCTCGGAGAGATGCCTGCCGATCAGGGTTTCCCGGCCTACCTGGGTGCCAAGCTGGCCTCCTTCTACGAGCGGGCCGGCAAGAGTGTGGCGTTGGGTAGCCCCGAGCGCACCGGCAGCGTCAGCATCGTCGGTGCCGTCAGCCCGCCCGGTGGTGATTTCTCGGACCCGGTCACCAGCAGCACCCTTGGTATCGTCCAGGTGTTCTGGGGTCTGGACAAGAAGCTGGCCCAGCGCAAGCACTTCCCCTCCGTCAACACCTCCATCTCCTACAGCAAGTACACCAACATCCTGGACAAGTACTACGAGAAGGAACACCCGGAGTTCCCCCGTCTCCGGGACCACATCCGTGAGCTGCTGACCAAGTCCGAGGACCTCGACCAGGTTGTGCAGCTTGTGGGTAAGGCCGCGCTGGGTGATTCCGATAAGATCACGCTGGACGTGGCTGCCATGGTCAAGGACGACTTCCTGCAGCAGAACGGCTACAGTGACTATGACCAGTATTGCCCTCTGTGGAAGACGGAGTACATGATGAAGGCCTTTATGGGCTTCCACGACGAGGCCCAGAAGGCCGTCGCTCAGGGTCAGAGCTGGGCCAAGGTCCGCGAGGCCACGGCTGACATCCAGACCTCTCTCCGCAGCATGAAGTTCGAGGTTCCCGATAACGAGAAGGCCGTTTCCGAGAAGGTATGTCAACGATCTAACCCCTCCCCAGTTTCTCCTTTCCCTGCTTACACACTCTCTAGTACGAACAAATCCTCCAGACCATGACGGAACGGTTCGCCTCGGTGTCTGATGAGTAGGCAAGTCTCTGCTGAATAGAAGGGCTTGTAGCATACATAAGCAAATTCCCACCTGTAGTTCTGTTCTGTTCTGTTTTTCTTTTCTCTGTGTGGTTTAACCAGCCAATATCCCTTTGATCACTATATATATTCCTGTTAGGTAGAGCAATAGCAATGATTAGAGCTATATTCTCCGTGTGCTACTACTGTCAGGCAGCAGCACTGTTTGGCTCTTGGGTGGCTAAAAAACCACCTGACGCACGGCCGCTATTTAGGATCGAGGGTCGAAGGATACCCAGGCAGACGAATTTATCATTCGGAATAGATTCATTTCTCGAAAAACAAACAGGAAACCACAGCCATCCTATATCTGTTGTGAGATCCCAAAGCCTCGTGGTGCTTTTATCGCCTTATCTCTCTTTCTAGCGGGCGACTCGGAGCGGAAGCGAACACGCTCACCTCTTCTTCGCCTGGCCTTGCCTCTTATTATTCACCACCACCTCTTCTTTAACCCCCCTCGATCCTCCACCTCCCTCCTGTGACGAAGTTCCTTTTTTATATTTTCTTTTTCCTTGTCTTCGATTGTCAGTCAATCGCTCCCTTCAGATCGCCTGCCATGGCAAGCCCAACTAGCCCAACTGGTCACTCGTGCGCACCACCCTTGCTCCCCTCCCCCGAATTCACTGTTCCACCAAGGCTAACCTGATTCCCGGCGGCTCTGCAGCATAAACGTGAATGATCCGAGCTTGATCTCCTTGGTGAATAAATTACAAGATGTCTTCACGACGGTCGGAGTACGTTGTCTTCC